AGAGCCTAGAACCGAAAGGTCATGTGTTCGAATCTCCAAGACCCCAATATTAACCGTTGTCTTTAAAGCACATGGTATGGTGGGTCTGTGCAAACTTCAAGCCCATGGGTTGGCTTTCGTTTGAGGGGGCGTGTTAGAGAGTGGTATAAGATCCAACATAACCTTCTCTCAAAAACTCGAGTTATTGGAACCAACTGGTTTATGACACCTAAAACAACAGTTTTTCAACGAGATCTGAGCCCCGGCCTTGTTTGGACAGTGCTCTCCGATAATCCGCGCCGCCCTATGATAACAAGCTTGGCAGACGTTGAAATCATCGCTCTCGCAAGGCCTGGTCAAATAGAACGACAGAGCCGATTCCGTCCCGTTAAGCAGTGTTGTCAAACGATATATTTTTTTAAGGGTGATATAAGTTTACTTTTTGTGATTAAGGTACTACTAGTGAGATTTGAACCTGGAACCTCCAGATTTTAGACTAGTGGTATCACCACTAGACCAAGTCCTTGTTCGTCGTCAAACGATATAATTTAACTCAATTACTTCACTCTGAAACAATTGGACAAAATTGTCTCATCCAATTCCATTATCCAAACGAACTCTAATAGTCCTCATTTTATTTCACATTGGAAGACCAGTGCTTGGGGGAAACTGAGGGGTATCCCTCTGGCAAGGGGTGATCCTCTTGTCTTAGGTTCTCTTTGGGCCTTCTGAGCATTCAATCTCCTTCAGCCAAACTTTCCAGAACAACTTTGTTTAATCCTGTGCTAGGACATCATCAAACTTCTTTGTAGGGTGGATGGAAGCCTTTCAAAATGCCCTCATCTTTCACATTGAAGAAGTAGTCTATGATCATCTTTCAATATCAATTCGATCCCAACAATGAAAAAAAGGTGATAAAAATTGCCACTGAACTTTCCAGTTTCCTCAATCAAGGTTGTTTCCCAAAAGAATTGAACAAGACTCACATTGCCCTAATCCCGAAGGTAAACAATTGGTCTTAGCCTAGGGCTGCAAATGAGTCGAACTGTTCGGGAGCAGCTCGACGTTCAATTCGAGAAAACCTCGTTCGAAACTCGGTTCGTTAATAAACGAGCCGAACATGAGCTAAGCTTTGTTCGGCTCGTGAAGCTCGAGAGCTAGCTCGACTCGGTGGCTTGTTGAGCTAAACTCGTGAGCTGGCTCGTTTAGAGCTCATGATATGTCTCAACGACTCAACATGTGGCTAGAGAGCCAACTCGATTATCGACTTAGGAACTAATCAATCTATATCTTATTATCTTAATTCATATAGTTGTTAAATTATATATATATATATATATATATATATATATATATATATATATATAGTGGCTACTTCGGCGCACTCACTTTTTTGGGTGCACTCAGTGCACCCACTCTAAAAGTGTCCATATTACATCAAATTTTGAACTTTAATTAGTACTCTCAATATAATATGATGATATGACATAGAATCATAACAAATCAATCTATTACCCTAACCCCTTAACCTTCAATTTTGAATCCCAATCCAAAATCCCAAATTTTAAACCTAATCCCTAACCCTAAATCCTTCAAATTAAAGTAAATTTTGAATGAATTTTTTTCAAATTCATGTGCTTCTTGTTCATAATATCATAAGCAACAATTGATACCGTTTTGACATGAATCACATGCTCAGAATGACCATTATGAGGCGGGTGCACTGAGTGCACCCAAAAAAGTGGGTGCACTGAATACGCCACTATATATATATATATATATATATATATATATCACCATATATAAAGTTTAACACGTTGAGTATGTGAGCAATTATATCTTATTTTCTACTTTAAAAAGAAATTATGTATCATAGATTGCTTCGATACTATGAAATAACATGATTTGGAGTAGTTAAAATTTATTAAATAAATGATATATGATATCAACAAAGTATAATATGAGATTAGCTAACAAAATAAATCATATGTATCATGATATACAAAGTGAAGTACCAAATAAAAGTCAAGATTTTAGTAAATAAGCTAGCTCGAACTCGATTCGACTCGATTCGGCTCATTTATAGCCCTACTCTTAGCTTTGAAGCACATGTAGTGTATTTGTCTATGGGAGATCGATCATTGATACTATTATTGCAGTTTTTGGGTGCAGTACCTATTCTATAAAGCTGAATATCTCTCACCTCAAAATTCTAAAGGAAGCAAGTTAAGGGGAGCTAGGAAAGAAACAAAATTCGTAAAATGAAAACAAACTTTGTAGAAAACTAATTATTCATTCTTAACATCTGCCATATGACAGTCATGATCTCATAGTATTTCGCTTTCTGATCCTTTCATGTATCAGCTTATTTTGTATGACTATCAAGGGCTCTCCGAATCCCGTTTGATGTTGAATGAAAGCGCGTACTTATTTAAAAAAAAAGTTTCTCAAATTATGAGAATTTTAGATTTGTTTAAATGAAAAAAAATTATTCTATCAATAAAGTATTTGAAGTTTGTTATTATGACATTGTTGAACTCCAAACTTTTATCAGCTGTTGTCCTGCATTTTAGTGTGGTTCTTCTAGATCACAAATGATAGAGGGGAGCTGAAGCCCATTAGGAAAATGGAGAGCGCTGAAGATTGAACTTACATTTGGGCCCAATCTAGTTGTGGCTAAACAGCCCACAAGATAAGGATCGATATTTGGATGAATCCACCAAGCAAAAGATAGAATACTAGAGTTGATTTATTATTGAATGACAAGAAAAGGCCCAAATAAATTTTTCTCTGGGTGTTCGTAATCACATCGTCTATTATACTTTGTTACAACATTCATAGATCAATCTCATTTGGTGGCCAGGAAAGCCCTTTTATTGTACCCAGCTGTATTTCGCTGGTTTGATTTCACTAGCTGGCTTCAGGCCTGGTTGTAACTCCTTTTTATCAATATATTTGATTATCTTTTGACAAAAAAAAATCTCATTTGAACACTAGATCTAAATTTTTATAGAGGTATTAGTTAGTGATCCAACTTTTGTTTCATTTTATTGTCATTACGATTTCGAGGTTGTGCGCATTATATGTATGGTGTTGTCTTTAAACTTTAATATGAAGATCTAATAATAAAAAAAGAAAAAGCTTATGGTTATGTGACCCAATCGAATTATATGCAAAGTATTAAGTTTCAATTTCTTGGGAGTGAAGCAAAAGTTTGATCATGGGTTATGACCCACCTAGGAAGTGAACTAGATTGCACAAAAAGGAAAAGAAATGAACAAGATTAATTAAAATATTTGGAAATGGTTGAGAGTTCATATCATAATTAATATTTTTTTAATTGGATTTTATTTCACTTTTATTTGTAAGTTATGATACGATCACGGCATTATTATCTTTCTTTTTAATTGTGTGTAGATCAAAAGGAGCCGGAGCACCTAGCAATTTCTTTTCAATAAAGCTATCAGGAATTTAGGATAATTAGTAAAACTGTGATTATTAGGGGGGGAAAATTTAGTGTTCTAAGTCTAAAATCTGACAAGTAGATACTAGATCATGCCTTTTATTGAGTTGAATATCATAATGGATCTTCAATAAAGATGACAATCTAGTCTATAATCTATATCAGCAGTTAATTACATATATTATGCTGTAATATTCGAGGCAAAGGATTAAAAAACAAACAATAAAACCGCCCAACAGATTTTCGAAAGAAATTCATGTGATAATATTCGGTGGATATAACATTGGTCTTTACATTTACCATAAAATTGGGAGATGTGGTACAATTGTACAATATTAATACCCATCTTTGGAGTATTGATGAGCCGCTTAATTATTGAAATCCAACCTTGGAAGTTAGCAAAGTTGCGCCCATATTTTTAGTGGTCAATTTGACGGTTATTGTTAGACATTTTACATTTTTACAATGTTGTTTCTTTTGGATCAAGATCTTACATATTTGTTTTCAAGCATTCGTGGCATCTCCTCAACCGATATGATTCATCAGCCATCTTGTTTTATCATAGCTCCTTCGATCTATCGATCATCTTGTACTAGCATATGTCTAGAAACAAAGAAGTAGACAAACCTTATATTTCGATATCACTTGTTGAGAATCTTCCTTTGTTTTTCATGTGTAGGACTTGAATCGTACACCCTAACTGTTATTAGTACCAGTTCCAAACCAACATCGGACTTGTTTCTAGTTTAGAGTTCCTCATACGTCCATTTTGAACTAATAACAACTTTGATCTTGTAGGATTGTATAACCAGATGACTACATTTTTTTCCAGTAATGATACTTCTTCGTATTTAAAAGATGGTAAACCCCGATCCATGAATAGTCGACAAACTCGTCTAATTGATCTGCCCTAATCATCTGTCTAGGCCACAAAATTTATAAAATTCTTCTAATTAATAATTATATAACTTCTAATAAGCTGTAAAATCAAATAGTTTATTGTGCTTAATCCTTATGGAGTATGGACTCTCCATAGTAATTTATATTTTCTTTCAATGGTTAATAAATTGTAAACTCTACCTCAACCTCATAAAAAGTATGGTACTCCACCAGTAAGCTTCGTCAAATATATGAATAGAAGTAAGGATGAAAATCGATACACTATCGGTATTTCAGTACCAATCACCAAATTAAATCTCTTCAAATAGTGAGATTGTGGATCGGGTACTAGTGAGTTGGAGATTAGAGAGTCTAACTAAAATTAATAAACTAGCTTAAATTTTGATATTCATAAATATTTTGGCCTACTTTTAGCATAAGCCGTAAAGCCGATATCAATATCGTAATTTCTACTATCAAATTAAATAAACTTAAAATTCAATCTCAACAAAAAGGGCTTCTACTCACCTAGTCCATACTAGTAGATAGGGGAAAAGGAAACGAAAAAAAAACAAAAAAGGAATGAAATTTGCGGAATAATTACAAAACGTGCGGTCAATTTCCCCGTAACTATATATTGCCAAAGAAAAGAAGTGACCCCTCGATTCTTCCATTCCATTCCATTAACAAAAAAAAAAAAAAAAAAATACGCCTCCCCTGACCCCTCCTTCCTTCACCACTCCTCCAACCCCACTCCCTTTCCGATTCCCCCAACCTACCCCACCCGCCGCCGCTCGCCGGTAAAGTCCCCCACCGCCGCTGCCTTCCTGATTTCCCGTTCTCCAATTTTCAGCATCTTCTTCGTCTTGTTCGCCAGCATGTTCAATTTCGGAGACGAGTTGACGCTCCAGAGCTCCAGGATTCCATGGCTAATCTGGATTCAGATTCTGGTCCTCGCCCTCATCATCTTCCTCTTCTACAGCTTCTCCATCACTCCCACCGACGATGCCTCCCTATCATCCTCCTCCGCCGGCCCCGCCTCCGCCGATTCCCCTTCCTCCAGCTACCGCCGAGATCCCGACGATATGAAAAACATCGCGAAGCACGACGGCGGCGGTGATTCCTCGACTGCCGCCGCCGATTACATCCGCCAATGCCAGGTAGGTCTAACTGATTCCCCCGATTCTAGCTCCAATTTCTTCTATCGATAGCTTTACGTTTCTTCCTTTTCGGTCGTTTTGCGTGCCGTTACCGTCCGTGTTTGGTGAGACTTTTTTTGTTTTTTTTTTTTTTGTTTAATTTGTTGATGAACTCGATAGGAGCTGTTTGGCTCTTCGCTTAACTTTTTTGGTTTCTACTTAAGCTCCGAAAAGGATATTAGGAGTAGGAGGGGGATAAAGTTGAAGAGAAGGTCGCTGCTCAGTTTTCTGCCGTGTTTCAGTTCAGGGTCAAAGTACAGCTGTCAAAACGAGTTGATAAAAAAAAAGAGGGGAGACCAAAATCATTCCTTGATAATGAAAGTTGGTTCACCATCCAAACGCGGCCTTAACTGTTTGCCTTCTAATTTCGAGCTAGGAAATTGGGGTAGTTATCAATTTGATTAAACACGAGTAATGATATGCTTGGTTGTAACTTACATTGCCAGTCTCGTCAACATCATTATGCCCTTTTGAGTAACTCGGGCGAATGATAGCGGCAACCCGGTAAGGAATGATTGTAATTTGTAGATGAATGACGATTTTAACGTGAATATTCTGTGTGTTGACTACATTTGTGGGTATTATCTTAGGTGTTTGATTGACCCTTGATGTAACAAAATTTCGGAAACTTGTATTTGTGAGAGAATATTTTCCACCCCATTTGACATGGCTACTTTTGTAACGAAAAAAGTTTTCATTTTTGTTAAGCTATTTCGCTAAAATAAAAAAGGTCGATTGAATGAAACATATATATAACATAATGCAGGCCACAAATGTGATGTTTTGTCAAAGATCAGATCATCCAGTGAAATAAACCCTGAATTGAATCCAACTATTGTCTATTAAGTCAGATCAAGATTGATCTTTTTATCATTAGATGCTTGGTAGTGGAAAAGATTAAAAGAAGAACTCTTTCTTGCGAAGAAGAAGGGGAGGGGGAGAGAGGTACACGTGAGCATCTTTTGGACTCCACGAAGAATTATATAACAACAATATAGATTAAATATATTGCCTGCAACTATTAATTCTGCATAGGTCCAGTTCCAGCGTTATTCGCTGTTCTTGTTGTCGACTTGTATTCTGTCATATGGTTGGTTTTAATTAATAAATAGAAGGGCAGGTCTCATCAATGGATAGACATTTTATGGTAGGGCAGAGAAGGACGGTGGGTGGCTTTGATGGTTTTTATTTGTTTATCTATACAGAGTTCACAAGAAAAATTTGTCCTTATCTGATACTACAGCAATGTCAAGTCAACTGTAATTGGTTTTTCTTCAAGCACTTCATATTGCCAGTATCTCTGCTATACCATCAAGAATCACTTGACTGTGTTAGGGGAACTGGTAGCCTCTGTTGTTCTGTTAGCTTAGTCACGAGACTAGCCGAGCAATGATCTTACGCAGGCGTTTCTTGAACCCGAGAATTCGGTTTGATTTGGTTTGGTTTGCAGCCAGTGTGCTTAGGTTGGTATTCTCATATTGGTTGTTCTGATTGGTTTTGAACTAGAAAGAGTATTTATATTCATCCATTTCTGGTTGATCAAGCTTCCTTCTTTTTACCAATGGAGCCCCACTTTGTTAGCTTTGCTTCATGCCAAGGCTAGGCTGCTAGGAAACTCTGCATCAGAATAGCATTCACTTGACATGGTTCATATTCTTCCTCAGGTGACTAGGAGCCAGAGCATAAAAGGAGAGGTAGCAATGCCGGCGACCACAGGGAGAAGAATAGTGAGGGAAGAAGCCACAGAGGGGGATGGTGTTACTAACTACCATCCCTGCAACTACATCAGGCTCGCTAAACTGGTGTTCCTCAAATGCTTTGGCCTCGACTGCGAACTCGAGCGATCTTCGAGCTCCGAGAAGAAGAAACGGAGATGACAGTTTAGTTAGGCACTGAAACTGTGGGTTTCTCCAATTTCGTCTGTCTAGATTCAGTCCTGTATGTATGTATGTATGTTTTGAGGTTAAGCTCGGAGGGCTTGCGGAAGCACAGGAAGGTCTCTACTCTCTACTGGAAGTCTGTAGATGAAGCAAATATGAGGTTGATGGACATGGATGAAGAAGGGCCATTACAATACATGGGGAAGGATTCAAGCAAAGGTGGACTGACTTCAAAGACCTCTCTTTGTCTGTTGTGAAAACGCTTGAGATGTTAGATCTTTGTGAAGGATGCCCTGATTTATGTGCAAAGTTCAAATTTGTAAATATTTAGATTCAATTTGAGCCAGAGGATGCAAGTGTAACCTGTAAATTTGGCATCGTCCGAGAAATACTCTACTGGTGTAACTGTTTAAGCCACATTGGTGAAGTATCATCCTCAATCCTGGATTGGAATGGTGGATCCATGGATCAAATGGATTGATTCAATGGATTGGTGGATTCATCTATGAATTCAAATGACATCCAAGGTTTGGACCAAATTGTAAATTTTGAAAAGTTTAGGTACTAAAATAGTAAAATGTCATAATAAAAATTTTTAGGGACCAAAATGTAATTTTCCAATGATATTTTTGTATAAAAATATAATTTTTAGGTACCACAATATAAAATATAAAAAATATAGGTACCAAATTGTAATTTGTCATTTTGGATTCATAGATTGATTCATGAATCCACCAATCCAATTGGATTTGGATCAAATAGATTGGATTATATGAATAATTTGGTGGATGGATTGGATTAGATTCATGAATTTGGATCTTAATTGCAACCTCTAGTTGGAATCGAATTCTCGGTTCTCACTAACACAAGAACAAGTAGTCTGCTTGTAGATATCCAAAGCCACATATAATTTATTGCTAGATGAGTATTGTCCACAAGACGAATTAGATAAAGTTGAAAGGTTATTCAATTCTATGATTGACATAGGTTGCAAGCCTAATGTTTACACTTATAACATAATGATTCGTGGATATTACAACAACTATAAAAGAATGAATGAAGCGGAGCAGTTATTTGTTGATATGTTTTTGGGGGGAAAATTGAATCCTAATAAGTTGGACAAGCGTTATAAGTTATTCAATTCTATGGTCAAACATGAGGTAATCCTAGCATTTACAAGTATACATCATTGGTTAGTGAATATTGCAACAACAAAAGAATGGATGAAGCTTAGCAGTTATTTGATGATATGTTTGAAAATATTTTGACTCCTTATACGGTTCGACAAAGCTCAGAGGCTATTCAATTCTATGTTCAGCAATGGATGCAAGGCTAGTGTTTCCAGTCATAACATCACGGTTCATGGATATTGCAACAACAGAAGAATGGATGAAGCTGAGTAGTTATTCAACGATATGTTTGAAAAGGATTTTGACTCCTAATTATAACGCTAAACATATGAGAGTTTATTCAATTTTATGGTCAACACGAGATGGATGCCTGTTGTTTATAGCTATAACATCACAATAACAAAAGAATGGATGAAGTCGAACAATTATTTAATGAGATTGTCTGAAAAGGATTCGGACTCCTTGTATGTAACCATATACTACTCTCATGTTATACAAAGGCTTGAAGATGTACGGAACTTCTCAAGAAGTGTAATATGTAATAAAATTAGGGCTGAAAATTTGTCTGTCCCGTCCCTGTCTCGTCCTTGTTCCTGTCTGACCCGTCCCTGAAGGGTAAAGATGTATAATCGTCCCGTCCCGTCCCTGTCTCCTTCTTGACCCTGTCTGACTCTCAAGAATTGGGACGGGACGGGACGAGCCGGGAAAGTGGGTCGACCCTAATCAACACACTACTTTTTTACAAATTAAGTTTTGGTACCCAAAATTATTTCTTCTTACAATTTAGTATCTAAATTTTATTTTTTTTACAAATAAGTCCATAAATTTTGATGGTAAAATTACGTTGTGGTACCCAAATTTTTTTATTTTTACAAATTAGTACCTAAACTTTTAAAACTTTACAAAAAGGTCCAATGAAGTATGAGATATTTGTTGTTGCTAAGGGTCACAGGGTCAAAACGTGACCCGTCCCTAAGTTGTCTCGACCCGTCCCGGCCCTTACAGGGTCAACAAATGACCCGTCCCTAATCTATCCCTGTAGACAAACTGACCCGTCCCGACCCTTAGGGACGGGACGGAACGGGTCGGAACGGGTCAGTGGGTCTTCAGGGACAAGCTTTCACCCCTGAATAAAATTGTAAATGTGACTTCTGCAGAGAAGCTGTCCATGCTCACGGAATGGAGTGCGGCAATGTGATGTGCTTTTGGGAAAACTTCCCCTAACCCTGCGGACCAAACAACACATTATGGGCCAAATGTTCCATCTACCTCCATACCAGAGTTCGGCCCAAGTCACAACTCCAGCTCACCACCTCTTCCATATCAACTATCGTTTCCCCTAAGCCAGTTCGCAGAATTGTGGATCCAACTAAAATTCACATTGTAGAAGTTCCACCACTAGAAACTCAGGTTTCAAGCAAAGGTAGCCCATCAATAACAGAGAGCGTGAAGAAGGTACAACGTAGTAGCCATCATCACAAACAAGGAATCTCACAGAGCAACAACAACAAACTCATTCTATAGATATTATTAGACGAAATGATAGAAAAAAACGATCATGTCCAGAGACGGAGCTAGCATGGATGAAGGGGGTTCCATGGCAACCCCTTGCCTTGATATTTCGTACCGTTTAATTATTTCGCTTTCGATATGAGATTTTTTTTTTTGAACCGCCGGTACATCATGGTTTTTCAATTATTGGAAATAAGTACTCAAATGTACTCTCGAGTTTGTTGTTTGGGAGAGAAAAAAATTCATATTTTTTTTTTATCAATTTAGGATAAAAACTAAAAAATTTAAAATTTCACCAAAGACTAATTAATCTTAAATTAACACCCACGCAACTAAACTCTAATTCTGTCATTGCTGACATTTCCTCAAAAATTTCTTAATATTTTAAGTCGAATAAGCAATGATAATAAATTCTCTTTTTATATGAGACATTACAAATAAAATTCTCAATAGCTAACATTTTCAAAGTATAAGCACGCCATGACATATTACAAAACTGGAACCCCTTATATCAAATCCTGACTACGCCACTGATACGTACAACCTTGCTATCAGAGGTGACTCTAGTCCTGTGCCATAAGGCTCAACGGCACATGGTTTCACAAATTTTGGGACCTCGGCCCATCAAACTATAATGAATAATGAATTATGTGTTTAGTTTTGGGCTTGTACAAAAACTGATTTTGGTATCTGATAAAATTTTGGGGCCTCGGTCCATAAGACTAATGAACTAGTAAGTTTAGTTTTGAACTTATGCAAAACTTGATTTACATAATTTACATGACCTCTAAAATTTCAAGTCCTGTATTTAGTTTGTGGAACTGGGCCTCGAAAAATTCAGAACTTAGCCCTGCTTGCAACGTTCTACATATTGGTGGATGCATTTAGTAAGAAAGAAATTGTGTTGGAGGTTTGCTTTCTGAAGATACATCACTTGTTAACGGGTACTGTTCACCCAACAAATCATAAGAAGTTTAGAGATTATTTGATTATATGGTCAACACGAGATGCGAGTCCAGTGATTCATGGATATTGCAGCAAAAAAAAAAAAAGAGATAGAGGAAACTAAAACGTTATTTTTTTTAAATTAGGAGGCAGAAGCCGAGGTTACAGGCCTAGTTTATAGTCGAAACAGCCATATCATAAAACACTCTTCTAGGGAAGCTAACCCCTCTCATGTCTTCTTCGATAAAGCTTCTCGCCTCACCCGGGGGGGGAGGGTCCGACAGCTCATACACACCGAAGGGATAGACGAGACTGTACTTCGAGAGCTAGTCCGCGACTCTATTCCCTTCGCGGTATGTATGCTCTAGTCTGACCACCCAGTCTTAGGCAAGCAGTCTTCTAATGGCAGCTAGGATCGTCGAGTGCGGATGCACTGGGTCCTCTCTTTTATCAATGAGATTCAAGGCTAACTGTGAATCTGTTTCAAGAATGAGGAATCGAGCTCCCTGTTTCCAGGCGTAATCCAGCCCATGATATATTCCCCAAAGCTCGGCTAGAATAGCAGTACCTGATCCAATTTTACAGCAGAAGCCTCCCATCCATTCTCCGTGATTATCTCTGAGGACTCCCCCTGCAGTTATTATTCCCGCGCAGCCTTGAGCAGCCCCGTCGGTGTTCATCTTGAGCCATCCCGCTGTTGGCGACTTCCAAGCTATTAGTTCTTCCCTCCGCTGTCCGCCGTGTTGCTGAAGGAGATTGTTGCTAGCTTTTTCCCACGTATGAATCAAGTCCTTAGCTTTGGTTAAGAATGATTTTTTACACTTAATAAAAACGTATGAATCGAGTCCTTAGCTTTGATTAAGAATGATTACTAAAACGTTATTTAATGATGTGTTTGAGAATGATTTTTTACACTTAATACGTATAGCAACATTAGAGATTACATTAATGAGACCTACTCCCACTCCACTATACATATTTGATATTATTAGTTCATTGAGGTACAAGATAGCTTACACACCCAAATGCGCATTAAATGAACAATATAGCTCTCGTCAGACCATAATAATAATAATAATAAAAACTCCGGTCATCAGTAAAAAAAAGAAACTGCATTGAATAAGGTGGTAGCAGGTAACTGTGGCGTGGCCAGCGACTCGACAGCCAGCGGTGACTAAATATTATTAAAATATTATTTTAATTTCCCATATATATGCATGGTGCGGGTAGCTGCAGAAAATTTAATTAAAATCCCCTCTTTCATTTCATCAACAAGAAGGAGAAGGAGCGGTGTTTCCATGGACGCGAGCGCAGAGGATCAAAATGGAAGCAAAAGGGAAGCAGAAGAAGAAGTAGTAGGAGGAGGTGAAGGGGAAGGGGAATCATGGTGCTGGTGGGACGATCTGGTGCGGCGGAGTCCATGCTTCTTACGCTGTGGTGAAGCTCTCCAGGTCTTCCTCAAGTGCTTGGGCTGTGGTGGTGGCGGTGATGACGGCGGCGGCGGCGGCGGTGCAGCCGGGGCGGAGGATCCGCCGGTTCCGGAGGCGATGGCGGGGAGAATGCCGACGCGGCCACCGGTGAGCTCTGGCGGAGGTGGCCAGATCAATTAATTAGTTTGTTTGTATAATTTTTTTTTTCCTTTTTACGGACGAAATAATTAGTTAATTATTAACCTACATCATGGTAGTAATTACTAATTAGTGTTTGTCTTAATCATGATTTTGTTTTTTTTGTTCATCTTATTATCTATCTTGTTGCTGTGGAATTTCTGTTGATGTGATTTGGATCTCATTTTTTCTTATGAACTATAGGCTTTGTGAATGGTTACTATTATAATTGTTATTACTGTTTTAATTATTGTTAGGGTGGTTTGGATGTTGGATTGCATAAATGAGATAATTTGATCTAATCGTCTCGAAATTGTCTCAACTCAATTGATATGTCTTCTATTCTGTAATGATGAACAAGTGAATTTGATCCAATTGCTTCGTTTAAATGCAATTGCGCCAAATTATCCAATCCAAGTTCCAAACTGCCCTTACTGTTTTTTGTTTTTCTTCTTCTTCCTTCTTTGAGATTTTCTTTTGGATGACTGCATTTACTATTTAGGTTAATTGTATTATAATTATGCAGAATTCAATGAATGGAGTGTCTGTTTGAAAGGCTCCACAGACCTGATAGTTATGGTTGATTTGAAGTGGTTGGTTGGGCCACTGCTGCTGCTTCTGGTGGTAATTAATAGTTGGTATCTAGGGTTTAACTGTCGTTCAGATTGTAAAAAGAAGGGTTAGTTGACCTTTAGTTTGGTGTAGGATATGAACAGTAATTAATTAGGCCAACTACTTGTTGTGATTACCCACCAATTAATCTTCATTATTTTACAGATCATCGAGTCTTTTTTATGTTTTACTAACTTTTAGTTGGAGAGATCAATCAAACTAGTTGAATGGAAAGTGAGTTGTATCGAAATTATAATCCTTACACGTCTAGTTAATTTTATTATTCGAAGTTTGATGAATAAAAATAAAGTTTAATTTATTAAAGGAAATAAGCTGTGAGAGAAATTTGGTCTTATCTTAACTAGAGACGTAATTACAATTTACAGTAGTAACGTGTCAGTTAAAACACGCTTACTAAATATGGATTTGATTAAATTTTTATGGAAAATCGATTTGAATAAAATCAGGACTTAGTTGTAGAAAATTGTAATGTAAGAACCTATTCACAAAATAGAACATAATACAGAGGCTATACACTAAGTCTAACTATCGTTCAGATTGTAAAAAGAAGGGTTAGTTGACCTTTACTTTTGTGTAGGATATGAATAGTAATTAGGCCAACTACTTGTTGTGATTACCCATCAATTAATCTTTCGTATTTTACAGATCACACAAAACTTTTTTTTGTTTTGCTAACTTTTAGTTGGAGAGATCAATCAACTCGTTGAATGAAAAGTGAGTTGTATCAAAATTATCATTCTCATACGTCTAGTTAATTTTATTATTCGAAGTTTGATGAATAAACAATCAAGTTTAATTTATTAAAGGAAATAAATTGTGAGAGTAATTTGGTCTTATCTTAACGAGACACGTAATTATAGTTTACAGCAATAATGTGTAAGTTAAAACACACTTACTTAATATGGATTTGATTAATTTTCATTGAAAATCAATTTGGATTAAATCAGGAATTAATTGTAGAAAATCGTGATGTAAGAACTTATTCACAAAATAGAACATAATACAGGGGTTTAATTTATTAAAGGAAATAAATTGTGAGAGTAATTTGGTCTTATCTTAACGAGACACGTAATTATAATTTACAACAATAATGTGTAAGTTAAAACACACTTACTTAATATGGATTTGATTAATTTTTATTGAAAATCAATTTGGATTAAATCAGGAATTAATTGTAGAAAATCGTGATGTAAGAACTTATTCACAAAATAGAACATAATACAGGGGTTTAATTTATTAAAGGAAATAAATTGTGAGAGTAATTTGGTCTTATCTTAACGAGACACGTAATTATAATTTACAGCAATAATGTGTAAGTTAAAACACACTTACTTAATATGGATTTTATTAATTTTTATTGAAAATCAATTTGAATTAAATCAGGAATTAATTGTAGAAAATCGTGATGTAAGAACTTATTCACAAAATAGAACATAATACAGGGGTTATATATTTGTAAAAAATCATAATATAAGGACTGATTGGCCAAATAGGACATAATACAAGGGATACATTGTATCCTGTTACCACAGAAGGAGGGAGAAAAAACAACACGCCCAGTGGGACTCGAACCCACAATCGCTTGATTAGAAGTCAAGCGCCTTATCCATTAGGCCATGGGCGCTTGTTGTTTAATATTTCCGTAAATTTTATTTTGATATGTTTAGTTATTCTCTGTTTTTCTCATCTAAGATGACCAGTGTTTCGGTTCTCTAGATCTACGGTGAGCAGCTGCAGGGAACATATTCGCAGCAGAGTTGACCAGAAACTTCTAGGAGACAACAAAAAGGGGGAAAGGAATAATAATAACAATAAAGTACCATTTTTATATTATAAAACGTTAGTAGTTTTTATTAAGGAAAAAAGAATAAATAAAACGAATAAGAAGTAAAATGAGTGTGCCTGTCCATGTCATGTAAAGCTACATTGCATGAACAACATGGGGGTGGGAATGGGATCTCAGTTTGCTTTTGGCTTTATTTACTTAACAAGAATCTTCTCATTACATTTTGTTTTTTTGTTTTACACGTATAAATCTTGCATGAGAATTTGATAGTACTTTTATTTTATATATTATCAAAATTGAGTCGGTTTGAACGAATAGTTTTAAGTTATCGTATTTCTGTTTACTTCTATTCGTTATAGTTTGCTACGTTGACTTCGGCTAAACTTTAAAATCAGATTTTTGAATTTGCATGACTCTTTACTGCTAATGGATTTTTTTTTTTGTCAAAGATATTCCCTAAATGGAACAACTAGATAGGAATTGAAAGTATTTTATAAAAAAAAGGGACGACGGTCGACAAATAGCCTAATCCTTTATTCTTCTAAAATCCACTTTCATTAGGTACCACCAAACGCGACCCATTACATATTGTTTATGCGCATACATGTTTATAGTCGTGTTTGTAAAATCATACCGTATCAGCAGTCCTACCAGGAAAATCTCCTAACCTGACTTAAACCAGTAAAAAAAAAAAAATCAACGATGACCACAATTTTAATACAAAATATGTCATTCCAGCTAAGTTTTCATGTACATACGGTTTTTAAAATTTTGATTTGTACATACTAGAAATAGACTCATAATAATATACCTTGTGTATCTATTTCTAATTAAATTATTAAAATAATAAAAGCTCGAAAAAAAAATATCTAGACGAAAAGAAAGGGAACAAAAAGCTCCAAATTTCATACAACCATGTTGGGAGGAGTAAATATGGCATTAAATATACTGAGGTGAGGTAGGAAGGTTTGAGTGAGGGTATATGTCGTATTGTCAAGTGTTCTGTGTGTAGAAAGACAGAGAGACAGAGTTGAATAGATAATAAAGCTCCCTTTCTTTCCCCCATTTCCATTCCATCCCCACATCCACTGTTAAATAAAGCATCACTTCTTCTCAATTTGCAGCAGAGAAACACAGATAAGTAGTAGCCACCCAAAAGCAAGAATCGAAGAAGAAGAAGAAGAAGAAGAAGAAGAAGAAGAAGAAGAAGAAGAAGGGATGAAATGGAAGAAAGAGGGAGGTGGTGGTTGAATATGGATTCTGTGTTCCGGTGCAGCCCATGCTTGGAAACCCTTTTCAAATCCTTCCTCAACTGCTTTGGTTTTCATGGTGATGATGATGATGATGTTCATCAAGAAGAGCAGCAGCAGCAAGAAGAAGGAGAGCATGCAGCAGCAGCAGCTGATCAAGATGGAGGAGGGTTCATCACTTCCATAAACACCAATTACGTAACCATTACATATCTCTCTCTTCTTCTTAGTTCCTTTCATCTTCTTCTCTGTAGATTCCATGAAAAAAATTCAATGTTTTAGAAACGGTAACCTTACTGTTCGGTCGGACTGGGAATATTGGATACCGAATTCTAAATGGATGGTAGACGATTTTAGTGACAAGAAACGGTTAAACGACAGTTAAACTACAGAGGAATTTGAATACGATTACGTACAATGGGTTCTTGTAATTACTTAATAATTAATAATTAGGAGAGAAGTGATATTTGTGTAATTATTTTTGTGATGAAGCAGCAGCAGCAGGAAACAGCAGGTTCAACATCAGGAGTGGTGTCCCTTCGAGCTGTAGCGGTAAGAAGACCTGGAAGGCCTCCAGTGAGCTCTGGAGGAGGTGGTCAAATCAATGCTGCTTCAGCTTAATTAATTATTCTACCAATTATTTACCTTTTACCTATATCTATCTGTTCTTTTTTTCTTCTTTTTTGAGAAGCTGGAGTCAAGAATTGGGTGTGGCTTTTTTGGGATTCTCTCTTCTCTCTTTTGGTGTTGCTCAAGTTTCATAGTACTATTGTAGTTGCTGGATGTACATGTATTATTATACACTACTATACATGGCATTGTATTTTAGAGCCATATATGTCAAATTGGTCACTCAACTTCAATGGTTCTATGAATTTTCGTTGGTCGAGAAAGATAACTAATGTGACAGTCAATTCATTTTGATTTTATATGGATATTTCTATATAAATGATAAAGTTAGTTGAACTGGGTACGACTCGTCTTTTTATCTCGTAATCGAAGGATACTTGAGAATTATAATTCATAGTACTCGTCGAAATCATGCTACTCACATTCAACTCCTTAGCTACCTTATAGGTAACTGGAGAGTCGATCCGATCCTTACTTTTCAACTATATATGTATTTCGGTGAGTGAGCACATCGGTACAAAATGATTTCGACGATAAACCTTATCATCATATATATGATTTGATTGACAATTACGTTAGTTTTCTTAAATTCTAGCAACACGCTTGCCAAAATTTTGATTTTTGATAGTTATTTACTTGTTAATGACTCCCAAAGTCTTATTATAATCATGTTATATAATTGATCACCCTGTATATATTTGACAATAAAGAAACCGGAAGTAATTAAATTCACAATTACTGATTAACAAGTACAGCTGAACAGAAGGTTGGTTAAGATGAGTGGGATTTGGGGGTTTAAATGAAAGAAATTAATGATGGGCCCAATTTCTCAACCTAACATCGTTAAGAAAAAGTAGCATCTTCTCCACTAATGGAAAACTTCAGTTTGCTTCTCTTCTTTCCCTTCTTAGTATCCCAATTCATGGCATACCAACTGTCTATCCTGGTTCCCATTGAATACAGACGGAATTAATAGCTTGTAGTTAGGGAATATATAGGAGTTTACAATTTACACCCTGGAGCTAATTGTTCAAAAGTTTTGTTTATAGATGTCATGTGAGTAATTTCCCAAGTTGATCTTTGTTAATTATCTCTAAAGGCAACTTAGGAATTATAGAAAGAAAAAAGCTTCAAAGCATCTCTAATTGGATTGTTAGAGATAGATTATGAATAATCTTATGAATAGATTGTGAATAATCTTATTTGATGGCCATATTTAGGAATGACAACTCGTTGATTTGTTGGGTAGTTTGATCTAATTGTCATACCTGTGGCGGACCCAAATGGTCCTTATGCACTTTTAATGGTCATAGGTTCAAGTTTGATTTGAATTGGGTCCATTTAGGGTCAACTCATCATATAGGTATGATTAAAATGAGTCTATTAGAATACAGATAATTGTATATGCAAAAGGACAATATCGATAATCTTTTTAACCGTCTTCAACACAATTACACTTTTAGTGTTGATGTTTTCACCTTTCTATTTGTTTGATAAAAACTGTATTTGAACTATATATCTATTTCCTTTTCGCTACCTAGTACTGTGAGTCCAATTTAGACCAAACTAAAAGTTGGGTATGAGTTTGCTCCAAAAACAAAATTACCCAAACATGATTTATCACATACTAAGATCAATTTGGATAATACTCAAATACTATGGCTTTTTTGCTATCTCCAGATATATTGATTAAAGCGAAGTGTAGTTTTCGAGGATAAGAATGATTTGAAAAACTCACTCAATAAAAATTAGTTCCTCGTATTCATTTTTGTACTTTTTGGACATAATTTCCTACATAAAATAAATACACTGAATCAAGCTGTATTTGTACATATATTAGAACCATGTCATTGCCACAAATAACATCAATTTGCAAACTCAACCAAACGGACACTTTTTTTCTTTCTTTCTTTTGCTTTTGAAGTGAACCAAACGGACACTCACCGGGGAAGAGAGAGAATTAATTGCTTAAAAGGCCGGGAATGTCAAGCGGTTTCATGGGTAGCACATGGGCCCTTGAAACATGGGCCTTGACTGACTGTCTTGTGCGGAGGGAGGATGGTTAAGAATATTAAGAGGCCAAAAATGTCCAAAGAAAATTTTGACAAACAAGAAATTCCAATCCACAAAAATACAAATATGTTGTGAATTTTGGTATGTAGACGTATAGACTATGAAATAAGACAATATGAGATATAATAGACAAAGTAGATACAAAATAGATATAAAACACTTTCTCTTCTATTTCTTTCAACAGAGTATATACATAGAGAGAAATTCTCTCTTCTCACGAACATCTCTCTGAATGAATTCTGAAATCAGAAATCTCAGCTATTTATAGAAAAGGAAAAGTTACTATGCAGATACTATGCAGTCCTGTATACACGTTTTTGGGGACGGCTGCTCAATGAACAGCCAGCCGCCCTTCAATAATTCTCAACACTCCCCCTTGGATGTTCATTGATCAAGAATATGCCTCGTTAAAACCTTGCTAGGAAAACCCAGTGGGATAAAACCTAGTAAGGGAAAAAGAGTACACAATTCTTGTAATACGCTTTTGTATACTGCCTCGTTAAAAACCTTACCAGGAAAACCCAGTGGGAAAAACCATGGTTAAGGGAAAAAGAGTGCAGTGCGTATTTTCTCCCCCTCAAGGGGAGATCCATCAATTTTGAAGTCATCAATATCCAATATATTATGTACTAGCTTTTCACATAATATAGAATGAAATATTCTAGTGATACTCATGTCACATTAATGTTTAAACAAACTAGCCAAACATTTAGTTGGGTGTTTGTACGAAGGTCATGAGTGAAAAAAAAAAAAAACTCTTGTGGAATACAATATATATCATATCTCCATCATCATCTCTAATTTCAATTAAGAGATATACTATGATTACCTGGTAAATTCGATCTGCTTTTTTTTGGCACTTTCTGTGTGTTATGGCGGCCGACATACACTACAATATCTATTTTCTTTTTCAAAATTTCAAACCACAATCTCTCAATATCTACCACATCAACATCCTTATCTTATCCCCAATTTCGGCTATAAAACAACAACTTTCCTCCTTTTCATTTCATTATACTCAAACCGAAAATCATACATCATCTCTCAATTCCATCATTCTTCTTCCCTTCTTGAGAACTCTTCTCGTTATAAGTCGCTTCAGGGATCTTATCGAGTTCGGGTGAAGCAATGGCCGAAGAAATCTCTTCCTTTCTAATATTGATTTGGGTGTCATGGATCTTTATGATTTTCTTTCTGATTGCAATACTTATATTGCTAGATATACACTATCGCAATCATGAACGCTACGTTTCGATACACAAACGCGAGGATCATAAGCATGACTAGATATTTTCTAGTCTTTGCTCCATATATGGTAGTATGAAAAATGAAGAGATCGATAGATCTCATACAATGTATCCTGCTTGATTTATAAATCAAATTTATCAATAAATTCAAGTTTGAATACTTCCCTTTTGTATCGACTATATGAGGTACTTATTGAGTACCAATGTGATGAAATCACCGAATGTGATTCGGATTTTTTCTGGCCAACGCGGCCGTGTGGGTCATTTTTTATAGGCTTCAGGCTCGGTATACGGGCAAGCCACACGGCCGTGTGAAGTATACATTTGCCCGTGTGTGGCCGAGAAAACCACACTGGCTGGCCGAGGATTTTCACACTGCCGTGTGAAATTGCACTTCTGGCCGTATGGGAATTGCCGAGCCTTCACACGACCAAAGGCCATTTCTAAACGGGCGTGTGGATTTTTGGCATGGCCGTGTGAAACTCCCATAGTATATATATATGAAAATTTTGGGATCAAATCCAATCCAACCAGATAACTTTATTGGATTCTTCCGTACATATATATACCTATTGATATTTCGGTATTCATGGAACAAATGGACATATAAATTAAATCTCATGGGTTCAAACTTGGCCATGTCGCGAATCACTTTTCGTCATAAAATTATCTCCCGGTTTGAACATTTCGTTCAAGTGATTCTTGGTAAAAGTCGACCATACATAATTGATTCCTTGTAACAGGTGGTTAACTAATCATATACTTTAATTCACTTATGGGATATGCGGATTGTACCGACCACAGTTCCACCACAATGAATATAAAATCATCATCATGAACATCATGTACAATAAGTACAGAATATGACCAATATCCTTGTTCTTGTCCATTTTTAAATCCATTTCACGTACTACTTGTACGGTAACATCTTTGTCCTTTATAGGAAATTTCTTTACTATCCCATTTTTCACTGCAGGTGAAAATTTATTACTGTTGGAATTTCTCATCATTAGAACAAACCAATTTAGGTTTAGGTATTTTAACCTTGTCCTTTTTCACATTCACTTCCGGGAATGGAATTACGTCCAGAGGATTTCTCATAATTCGGATAACCCATTTATCCATAGGTCATTTGACCTTAGCTATTCACTTTAGCTTTTATCATTCTGGAACCTATCAATTTCAGTAATTTACTCTGATTCCTTTTAATTTGCTATCACTTTAACATAGCATATAACAATAATTGTAAGAGTAATAATAATACGATTAGTGTGTTAGAAAGTCAGTGGCATAGCGGTGCCCATCATTCAATATAATATCATATAAAAACAATAATAATAATGTCATGGGCTCCACAAATAGTATATGCATAGTAATTTTACTATTTGATGAAAGCGACCCTGCAACATTACGTTAAAAAAAAAACTGTGCAAATACTGTGCATAATGGCAAAATAGTTAAGGCTCTGTTTGTTTGAGCTTTTTATAGAAAAGAGGGTATGCGTACCTGATGATGAAAAATATCTACCTCAAAAACAATTTTTGACTTGCAGGACCTTGAGTAGGTAGAGCGCTCGTGCTGATAACGTGTTGTGAATTTTGGTATGTAGACGTATAGACTATGAAATAAGACAATATGAGATATAATAGACAAAGTAGATACAAAATAGATATAAAACACTTTCTCTTCTATTTCTTTCAACAGAGTATATACATAGAGAGAAATTCTCTCTTCTCACGAACATCTCTCTGAATGAATTCTGAAATCAGAAATCTCAGCTATTTATAGAAAAGGAAAAGTTACTATGCAGATACTATGCAGTCCTGTATACACGTTTTTGGGGACGGCTGCTCAATGAACAGCCAGCCGCCCTTCAATAATTCTCAACAAAATAGACTTCGGTCTGTTTTTTTCAATTCAGATCGATGAAGCGGTGGCAAAATATTGGTTGGTTCTCTGTTTTCTGCGTGCCACCGCCTCCATTCCCCTTTGCTTCTATGAAAAACTTAAAAGAGGAGCCATCCCAACTAGAGTTCATTCACGCTATTTATTTATTAAGTGATTATTCTGTCTACAATTTAATGCTTATTCACTCTCACATAGCAGGGTTTTTTTAATGTGCTGTGCGGAAAGAGGAGGACTCCATAATTATTCATTCATCGGAATTAGAAATTAAAATTTTGACAAATCGGAATCCCGTCCTAACCATTTCTTAAGAATGAGGCAACCCAAAGAGAGCTGATGATTCCAACTATCAACCACATAAGATCCATACTATATCTGGCCATCCTACCTCCTAAACGTTCTTGACAAGTGACAACCCATCTTTGTCTCAGTAGAGTCTTTCAGTGACATGTTTTAGTCCTCTTCCCCCATTATTAAAAAAAGAGCCATCGGCTCAAGTACAAGAGTCGTTCAGTGGCGTGTTTCAGTTGCATGAATTAGTCATAAACTAGTTGAATTAGGATTTTTTGATTTTTCTATAAAAAGAGTTGCATTTATCATAATCTACACAATGACATCTACATATAGCAATTTGAACCCGCCTCATCGAATTATACCCGACCTGACCCGCATTGTGACGTGTTACCCAACCCGTAGTAGCGTGGGGCGGGACATGGGGAATTCTTTTAACTTGTCTCGTCCCGCCCCGCCTCGTTCTTAATCATCATATATCAAAATTTCTTTCAATATCTATTCGTATTCTTCAATGTTAGCTTTTTTGCCGTCATTATTTTACATTATGAAACTTGAAATAAGTGCAAGACTTGATCTTTTAACTAGTTAGACTCAATTACTCATTCAATTATAATATTTTCATTCCTAGAGCGGTGTTCGTTCATCTTGTCCACAGTTATTATATAATGAAAATCTGAGCGCGGCCAACTACTTTGAGCGGAGGGGGGATGGGTCGTGCCAATAATGGGTTAAGACTAGGGGTGACAAACGGTAAGCTGGTAAACGGTTTTACCGAACCATTTACTGGCAGTATCGACGGCCGAGCGTCAAATGGTGAAGCTCGGTTTACCGGCCCTAGTATCGGTAAATACCGACGGTAAATCGGTAATACCAATACCGACGAGTGCGCAAGTTTGAGTTTGCCAAATATTAAGTTAAGGCATTAACATATAACATATACTTCATTATTCACAAACATTACATACATGAATGGAAGTAAGTATAAGCTCAAAAATATTATAAATAAGAGTTAATACTAAATTATTAATTACAAAAATGAAGAAAAAAACTCAGAAAAATCAAAATATTACATCACCCCACTGCCCAGAAATTCGGTTCGATAATTTTCCGGTAAACCGAACCGAAAAATCGTCCTCAACTACTCTTTACGGTAAGTCAGTAAAACCGGTTTGTAACCGTTTATCGATAATTCGGTAACCGATAAACCGGTTACAAACCGGTATCGGTAATCGATTCCTCCTTACCCACACTCGGCATACCGATAAAATCGGTAACCGGTTTACCAGTTACCGACCGAATACCACCCCTAAGACAGACCGCGTTAGAGAATAGTGGGGAAGAGAGATTGGAGGGATGGTGCGTTCGACTCTGGTAATATTGAAAGGAGCGAAACACGCATATGTTCAACGGTCATAAGCTTGACGAAGACGAAAATTGTTACAAGAGCTAAACATTTCTTAGAAGACTGCAAGCAACACCAGCTGAAGGATGCATAACGTTCAACAAGTAAAGAGACCACAGTAGTTGAGGTGTTCAAGCCAACTAATAGTGTTGCCAAACAGTGAGCTAAGCTTATGCATATACTGAAAATTGTAATGAAGTAGCTTCTAGTCACGTCAATGCATCAAACATGGACTATCCAATGGTAAGAAGTACTCTTAACTCAAATCTATCAAGCCAATAAAGAGGAAAGTTCTCCAGCTCAAATCTACCAAGCTTAAAAAGGCGTCTCGTTCATTACCTAGGGAAGCCTTCACGGCACTTTATGACCCAAATGCTTGTGCTGTGATAAGAACTCGACATGAGCTTTTGTCTGCCACGTCAAGAAAATTCGAGACTGGCGTGTGCATGATGCAAATCTACGTCTTCCCATGTCGCTCATATAACTAATTACTGCTCAAGGTTTTCTTCTTAGCTCTCTTTGCAAAGTAACTGAGTGCCAACCTGGTGAAGCTGGTGAGGGTGAGAAAAAGTTGGAAGAGCGACCGGCCTTTCACGATCCCCTCCTTCAATCCCCTCGCTGTCCTAGCCACCGCAGGTGCTTCGTTCCTAGTTGCCAAACTTGCTACCCTCTGCACTGAAGCTAAACAAAGTGAACACCTAGTAAACTTCATTCTGTGCCATATCAGTTAATTGAACAAGAAAATGGCTAAACGAACTACGGCTGCAATCCACTTCAAGAACCTGGTGGAGCAGCAGCCACATTGGTTAATCCGCGAAGCTTCTCCTCGGCAACACGCACTGCCTTAGTGGAGCTCTTAACTCCATGGGTTATCTCCTGACTGTAAACCAGGGCATGAAAACGGAACTGTCACTAACTAATGAATTCCCAGCTAGCAATCATTTGGTGCACATAGACCATTCTGGGGCAAAGTGCTTACCCTAGATCGCTAAGTTCCATCGTTAAGTCACTAATCTCCATGCCGGATAAGCGAATGGCAGCCATTGTATTGGGAAGCTCTTCCCTTGTAACATCCATCAGTTTCTCCAGGGACTCTGCTGCTCTCTTGAAAGCCTAATGTAACAAATTACCACTAAGTAAAGCAAACAAAAGATTCCAATTTCCAACCCTAAAACACAAAAGAGAGATCAAAATGGCATACCAAAAGGGTTGGGATCGCAGAGAGGAACAACCAGGTTGCTGAAACTGCCGCCTGAAAAGCGAGCTTGAGTTAGTAAATTAACCGAATTTCAAACCATCAGAAATCTCCAACCTTTCGTTCGCCCCAATTTCTAACACAAATCAACAATTGCACAACTGCAAACCCTAATTTTCCAAACACTAGAAACAAGCAGGAAACGTGAACCACATTACAGAAATGGAAGCTTTTTGTCGGCGGTGGAAGAAGAGAGAAAGCAGGAGGGGAGGCGAATTACCGAGCAAGCGAAGACATTAAGAAGGAGGGCATGGCGCTGGCTGAAGTTGAACTGAATAACGGGAGCAGGAGGAGCCATCGCTGGCGATCCGACGGACTCGGTGTACCGCGATGAGATCGACGGCTGCTTCGCCGCGGAGACGCCAAAGTGGGACCGCACGGAGAGTAGGCGAATCGGCCGGCGGCGAAGCAGGGGAGCCGCGCTGAAACTGTGGCTCGAATTGGGAATCGGCAACGGAGTATTGGAGACCTGCAAGCTGGCTGCGCTCAACATTTCGTTCATACTTTCTTCAAACTCTGCCGGAGGCGGCAAAATTGTGGAAGATTTGGCTCGACGACGGAGATGGCCGGGCGGCTTCAGAACGGTGTGTGGTGTTGTCACTTGCCACCACTCACATTGGCAACTTCCCGCCTCTCTAGTTACGTCCGCCGCGGCGACGGTCAAAGTTAAAAATGCTCTAACAGCCGAGTTTATGTTCCACTTCCAATAAATGGGCGTATTTTATTTTTTCATACCATAGTTTTTGGAAGTTGTCATTTCAAATGGTGTATTGATTATGTATTTAACAGATTCATTCATTTTTTTAGTTTATATTGAAATAAAATACATTTATTAAAGGGTTGTTTGATTTTGATGATAATTATATATATATATTGTTATCAATACCTGCATCTTAAAAAATATTAAAAGGGTTTTAGAATTCCACCCCCTCCACGTCAGTCACCGAAGCATGCCCGCAATTCTCGGGTTTCAGGACTTTTTTTTAATTTTTTAATCTTTTTCCTTCCTTCGAGCAGTTATCTTGCATTAGTTATTTTTTCCTCGCTTAAAACCGTCAAACCGTAATGGCGCAATCCAATCGTTGCCTTCTTTTCTTTTTTGCCTCTTAAATCTTAAATCATATTAAAGAGGCTACACATCAGCCCCCTTCTCCGTTCCGCAAAACCCAAATCCATTGAACGTTTCCGTTTAACTTCTTCCACAGTTCCGCCCTTATCAAGTCCTTCTATCACCTTTCTTTTCTTTTCTTTTCATTTTTTAGAAAACCCAAATAACTACTACGTTCTCCAAATTTCATTTTTACTAAGAGTGGTTCAGGCCGATGCGCTCGAATTATTTGCGCGATTGGCGGGACGGCAGTAACGAAGTAACAGAGGAGCACCCAACATAGATTCTCATATTCAGTCTGTGATCCAAAGATCGATTAAAGAGATTAAGATATACAGTCTTCGGACCATGCATCAAGGGAGGCAGAGGATGAAGAAATTGTTACTCATCCCGGGGGAATAAAACTTTGGTGATTGCGGCAACGACAATAAAAGTTTTGTGTCTCAAAATCAGAACAGGTATGAATGAAGCGAGATGAAATATGACCTGCAATCTCTGATTGTTGTCTTTTAGTCGTTGCTTCATGTAGATTACCCAATTTCAGTAGCATTGTTCTTCTAACATTGATTCTCATTTGTAGTAATTGAAGTGGTTGGAAAGGTTGGATGAACTTTGTTTGTCCAATTTAGAGATTACAACCTCTTTGGTCTGCTAGCTTTTGATTCCTCTATTTGCATATTCGGTTCTCTTTTTGCAATGAAATTTTCTTATCACTGTCGAGTCTCATTACCCATCATATTGTTCACTTCCCGTCTTAATTTGCAGCCGCAAATGCATTAATTTTGTATCATCAACTTTCTTTTCAATTTTTTTTATGGCCTGCTCTTATTTTCTAATCGGTGCACCAGGACAATAGAGGCTAGAGTTATTTAACTAGGTATTGGGGCACCAGGACAATAGAGGCTAGAGTTATTTAACTAGGTATTGGTAAAAGTTCCACATGAATATATTCCAGAGACCAGTCTATGCAGAAAGTCAGAATGACCATACGTAATGGTAAAATTCATATTGCAAATTCGTTCTAAGAGCATTACAATTCATATACCCTAAAATATGTGTTGTATGTATGAGTTTGTTGAATGTTAGATATCAATATTATCGCATATTTACGAGTGATCAAATAGTTTTCGCATATTTGTGAGTGATCAAATAGTCTCAAACACTCTTTGTAAATATAACTAATTAAATATTCAAATAAAACTCATCCAGCTAATTTAAATGATACTCACCCGATGATACTCACCCGGCCGACGGGCCGGGAAGTTAGCTAGTAATATTAATAGGTTATGACTTTTGTACACTCACTTTTTTGGGTGCATAGTACACTTTTTTGTGTGCATTCAATGTACCCGCCTCATAATTGTCATTCTAAGCAAGCGATTCATGTGAAAACATGTCAATCATCACTTGTGGTGGTATGATGAACAAGAACCACATGAATTTGTACAAAAATCATTCAAGATTAACTTTAATTTGAATGATTTAGGGTTTAGGAATTCAGGTTTAGGGTTAGGGTTTACAATTTGGGATTTTGGGTTGAGACTCAAAATTGAAGATTAATAGGAAGGATGATGGATTGATTAGTTGTGATTATGTGTTATATCATCATATTAGACTAATGTTACACATTAAAGTTCTAAATTTGATGTATTATGACCACTTTTAGAGTTGGGTGCATTGGATGCATCCAAAAAAGTGAGTGCACTGAAGTAGCCACCAAAATTAATATACTTGTATATAAGAAAATTAAAAGTTAAGATATAATAATCACTCATTTTGAGTGATAGTTTTTGTCACATCACAAAAACAATCCATATATTGTTTCTGCTAAAAATTTAAAAACAAAAGATGCATTCTAAATAATACATGTATAGTAACGATCTCAACAAAACAATCGAACTTTCAAACGACCTCTTAGTATATGATAGTTTACATTGTTGGTTTAATTCACCCGTGTAGCCATAACTTTCACGGTTTTGGCAGATATAGCCACTTTTTGAATAATACACAGATGTAGCCATTTCCGTCCTATTTTTTGACGGTCCACTTAACTAGCTGACTGGACTAACGGTTGCGGCTGATGTGGCGCGTTTTGGTTTTCGTCTTTGCCACGTGGAATTTTTTTTTTAATTAAAAAGTAAAACGACATAGTTGGAGACGAAAAGGGGATTCAGATCACTTTCCCCTTTTTCGTTTTAGGGTTCCCAACCTACTCTTTTCCTTTTCTCTCGACTCTTCCCAATCGTTCGCGATCGCCGACAAAGGGAAGCCATGCATTCCGCCGGTGAGTAGCATCGGAGGGTCGCTCTTTCGTCGGCGGTACGGACTTCGGCGGTTCGGCTGGCGGCGGCTAAGAAACATCGGCGGAGGAACCCTAAATCGGCGGAGGAACCCTAAATCGCGTTGCTAAGAAACCCTAAATCGTTCAGCTGGTGAGTGATTCTGGTTTTCTGCTCTGGTTTTCTTCTTCGCACGGTGCTTGCATCGAACAACAATCCTACTATTGGTGCTTGCTGATCCGGAATCGGCAACATTGAAATCCACCTTCTTTCCAGACCTATTCGACATGGATTCGGAGATGAAGGGTTGACCGGGATATGGAGCGGCTGGGCTGGGATTCGGAGATGAAGGAACGGCTGGGCGAAACTGTCTCGGTGATTATCTTGGTGTATGGAGCGAAAATGGAATCGGGAGAGGAGTTGGGTTGGAGAGGAGTTGGGGTGGAGAGGAGGTATCGAGGGAAGGGATTGAAAATAGAGAGGAAGAAGGGATTGCAAATAGAGAGGAAGAAGGGATTGAAAATAGAGAGGAGTCTCTGTTGTGCGAACCCTAGAAAACAAGAGAGGAAGGGAATGAAAACGACGGCGAGGCCAAGAGAGAGAGAGAGTGTTCAATTTTTTTTTATCCGATGTGGCGTCCACGTGGCTAAGTCCACCCGGTTGGCGATGACGTGTCATCCATTTGGCGGACAGGTCAGCTAAACGGACACTTAACTGACGGAGACGTTAACTCCGTCAAATCTTTTAACGGAAATGGCTAGATTAGACAACGAACTTTAAAAAGTATGGCTACATCTGTGTATTATTCAAAAAGTGGCTATATCTGTCAAAACCGTGAAAGTTATGGCTACACGGGTGAATTAAACCTACATTGTTTAGTTTTTGTGATAGTTATTCTGTTATTTAAATAAGTTATATTACTTTTTGGTTGAGAAAAAAGAACACAACGGTCTCAATCAAACAATCTTAGCAATCTCACAAAAAACTTGAGATGCAACTATCATTAATTTTGAGTGATAGTTTGTGCCACATCAAGCAAACAATGCATGTATTGTTTATGTAGAAAATTCAAAAAATGATGCATTGTAGACAATGCATACATAGTAACTATCTCAACCAAACAATCACTCAAACCAAACGACCCCTAAAGTTTTGGAGGCCTCATCACAATCACTCAAAATTGAGGGATTAACAATCTCAACAGAAAGTAGAGATTCTTCACAATCACTCAAAATTAACTTCTTTTTTTTTACTTTACAACAAAAACACAATCTAAATCTCCAAACAAGGTATTTGTCTAATAGTTGATTTAATACATCAAATGATAATACACTAATTGACTCATTACACCAATTTGAAGAATAGTAACTTCCAAACGACCTCTTACTTGCAGAGAAGAGGTCCAATAAGGGTGGGTTTCGTTGTTAGGTTTTGAATTTTGAAAATTTCGAATTTGTGATGGATATTTTTGTGTTATGTATTTGAAAGAGTTTATTGTTTGTTAAGTTAATTTTTTCATTATGAATTTATAATTTTGTATTATGCAGTGATGATCCAGGGGGTGGCCGCTCCGAACCACGGGTCAACCCTCTTCTGGATTCGGAATTAGTGTTGCACTTATTAATTTTTATTTTATTTTAGGCACTCGGCCCAATGCTATTTTGTAATGAAATTCTGTATAACTATGAAAATGAAGAGAAATATCTAGATAGTGAATTTAATGAGATTTAGTCAATTGAATAAAATTATTACAACTAATAGGATTTCACAAAGAAACAGCTATCGGAAACAACAAGAAATTAACTTATCCTTATTTCACTATTTTCAGTTAATTTTTATTTGTCACTTCCTATTATCACAACAAGTAGTGGGGGAAAAAATGTTTTCAGTATCTATTTTCACTTGTAAAAAAAAAAACAGGAAATGATACTCTTGAGTCTTGACTACATATATCCAAACCTTAACTCAAGTTATCACATATGACCAAACACGGTCGTCCAAGCACCAACAGTTTCAATCCCAGTGAGAGCATGTTTGAATTGCAGCAACCCGTGAATGTATAAACAAAATATAACACTTTTATGGCGAGATCAAAATTCCAATACAGCTCAGTATGATTTTATCACAGTATAGCATTTTACAATGGGTTTTTTTTTTTATCATAGATGGTCATCAGTAGATAAAACAGCACTACAGTGACTCTTCAGCAATAATCCAGCACAGTTGGTGAGACTGTAAGAACAGCAAGCAAAAAATCATATAGCAGAATAAGCAGGCATGTCAAAAAGTTTCCCTCTTATAGTTGTATTCATTCCTGGAGCCAAAAGGAGAACTCGACCTCTTATGTTTGTCTTACAATTAAGGTCGTTACAGAAAGGGGGAAAATGAGAATCATGGATTAGGGTAAGAAGACAGACCCAACCTTTTGAGAATACAGTAAGAAAAACAATCACAATCACAAGCAACACAACACTCCCTCTCCAATGAAATAATGATTTGTATGCTGTCAACTGCAACCGCTCGAATTCAAGAATGCAAATGCTTCTTCCTGTGTAAGCTTGCAGGTTCATGCTGCCGGCTGAGCGGAAGATGTTTTCGACACAATTAATTACCGTTGGGGAAGATTTAGTATAGAGTGGCAGAGAGAGAGATCGATAGATACCAGATTAAGGCAGCAGCAGTAGTCAATCGCGCGACAAATTAGTAATCTATCTGCAAAGGGTATGCCATTAATTTGGCTACTGGAATTCAAGATCTAGTTTCCTCTTCAGGTGGGATCTGTCAGCACTGCAACAAAATAGGAAAACTTATTATATATATATTATCATCTATTTTGGCCATCTGGGGAAAAAGTTTCATTGAACAACAGAGGAGAACATTGCCAGGCACGCAGGAAGAAGAAAAGGGAAGATCAGGGAGCAAACATGGTCATTTAAGTTTAATGCTACTTCCCATATTCTATTGGCTACTTGGCATTCTCATAAGATGCTACAATTAACACTCCACTTTTGAGTTTAAGAACTTCATTACAACATTACAAATCTGCCTCTAATTGGACATCGACCGGCACTAAGGCTGTTAAGAATTAACGTCTGTTTTTGTTCTTATCTATGGATACATGCCAACCTTCATGTATTTCAAACACTTGGAAGCGTACATACACAATACTTGAAGCATAAAGGCCTTTCAAATTAAGTTCATACTCCAAATGAAAATCTAAGTTCACCTGGGCAGTGAGAATTCAAACTACAAATCAAATCCAAACTTGTTTCTCTTTTCTTTCTGTAATGAAACCAAAGTTATGCCACCCACACATAGAGGAACACAGATTTGGTGTCAATATATCCATAAAAAAAATCAACCTAGCTATAACCCAAAGACTGGTCAATAAACATTTCCATATAATCCCGTTATCCTGCAAATATATCGGGAGTAGTTTTACCTATTAATTGTTGGTCTGCTAACGGGTCTTGTGCCGAACACTGAAAGATCTACTGACATTGGCATGTTGTCGGTTCTTCCCGAGTTATCACCAGCTGTATGTTGTCTCATTTGTGCATGTTCATCAATCTTATCAAGTTGTTGGTGGACATTCACATCAAAGCTTTCACGTTCAGCCATCACTCTTCTTGTCTTCCTCGGAGGTGACAAAACAGTTGGACCAGCCTGGGAATTCAAATCTGAAACCCTGGAATTGAGAGGTTGCCCCTTGGGAGCAGGCCTGGGAAGCTTAGCTGGTTCCGTAGGTAAAGGGGCAGATGAGAAGTACCTAATACCAATTACAGATATATTTAAATAATATTATATTAGAAACCACATAATTTAGTAGACTCTCATCTAAATAAAGTTTTTCTTCCTCACCGGTGTTCCAATGCCTGTTGGATCGTAATCCTAGAGTTTGGATCATAAGTGAACATCTTTGATAACAGATCCAGGGCATCCTCGCTAGCCATTGGAAACAACTTACGCAAAGGTTGGGAAGGAACTGTTTGGTACTCGACATAATCAGGAAGGTATACCAAATCATGCCATTGGGAAGGTGTTGGAGTCCCAAATGCTTGGAAAATCTTTCCCAACTGATCAATGTCACTTGACCCCTGCCACACATCACACGGTACAGATAAGACACATATAATCACCAAAACAGATAAGCCTTTTAACTTTTCCAAGATGCATAATGCACACTATCAGAATCAAAATCGACAAGGAGCCTATCATCTCTCCTCTTTGTTCTCACGTGGCAGCCCAGATGAGTAATAAATTTAAACTGTAAAAGGATTTCATATCAAATCAAAATTGCAACTCTCCATTGCACATTGCTAAGGTCAAATCCAATCAGCCAGCCGTCAGAAAGAAGAAGAAGAAGAAGAAGAAACTAACCAACGGCATCCAACAGTGATTTTTTTTTAGAAGTTAAATGTACACTGAAATAAAAGATTGAAAGAATCCAAACAACGGTTCAGTTGATTCCAGCTCCCAAATGTCACAGAATGGTACACTGTACCAGCGAGTGAAAGCTAAATATCCACAGGCCTGGTTGGTAAAGTTTGTGTTAAATACCATGGCCAAGACTTGGTAGATCAAAGAGAATCATTGACATATTATCTTGTAAATATGCCTATGACAGTCGAGGTTCAGAATTGGTGGGGCTAAGAAGAGGGAGGCAGAAGGTGGTCGAGAGCCCCAAACATTCTCAATTGTCAACCATTAACTGACTAACTATGTCCACATCATACAATGTCCCGGACTGGTGTGTGAAGATCCAATAATTAGAGTAACACCCCCAATCCCCAAATAAAACCACACACATGCGGCAAGGGACAAACATGCTCCCACAGAAGATTAGCTTAGTGTCTGTAACAGCCATAATAAAGTAAATCATACTTGAGGACAGTGATGGAGAGCAAAAGAATGGAAGTTACTACAATGAAACCGCAAACAACAATGAGCATTTTTACACTAAAACACCAATAACCATGGATTTGATTCTGAAGAACTCCTGAGCAAGAGAAGACAACCAACCTGTAGAAAAGGCCGGCGTAGTAGAAGTTCTGCAAGTATGCATGCCGCAGCCCACACATCAACACCAGAACCATACTGCTTTGCCCCGAATAACAGTTCAGGTGCCCTGTACCACCGAGCGAACACCTGAGCATAGAAGTTCAAACTTGTCAATTTTAATTATTCAAAGTAATAAATCATGAAACCAGAAAGAAAAATTTCAGACTCCAAAGGCAGTAAGAAATCAAAGATTCCAATAGACATTACAGAATACAGATCAGTCGAGCAAGTATTGAAGAATAATGGAGAAGAAGGTAAGGTCCTGTGAAAATACAATTATTCATCATTAATCTTGTTATACTTCATATACAGTTAATTTCGACAAACAGATTCTTACTACTGCTATGCCACTAACTAAACTTATCCAGTTCCTCTCGTGACTACATGCAAGCTGAAGTTTTCTGAAATCATACAAAAGATGAGCTTAATTCACCAGTATAAATGGCTGCTAGGACCGATTGCAGACATTCAAACTTTGATGTCAGAAGGGCATCATGATCAAAATCAAATTGAAAGAAAACACGAAAATAGGAGAATCCAAAAACAGGGGGCACAAATTTGTCAAATATAAACAAATATTCCATTCAACTTTTCTGTAGTTCCATACATCAGCAAACGAAACATACATGATGAGTGAACTTGCGATCAGGGCTCCCAAATACACGAGCTAAACCAAAATCTGCAAGTTTAAGTTGTCCACCAGAGCCTATCAACAAATTATTTGGCTTCATGTCCCTGCAGAGCACGTACGGAAAACTTAGACAAGGTGCAGCATATTTATGTCCCAAACTGACCAAGATTTAAGCAAATACAACATTCACCTATGCAAAACCCATTTCTTGTGGCAAAAGGCTAGACCTTTCAGTGTCATTTGAAAGTATGACTTGATATCAGCTGGTGAAAGAAATATATTCCTATCACGAATAACTGCTTCCAGGTCGGTCTCCATGAACTCAAACACGAGGTTTAAGTTTCCCTTGTGAGGAAATGCATCGATCAACTCGATTATATTCGGATCTTTAAGTTCCTTCAGCAGTTTAATCTCTCTAAGAGCAGTAAAATTCACCCCTTCCTTTTGCGTCCCCAGCCGAATTTTCTTGATTGCAACGGTCTGTCCAGTCTACAAAAGAGGACAAACTTCCATGATTAACCATAAACTATTCATGCAACTACGTTTGCAAGGTGAGGAATGTGTTCATTCACCCGGGAGAGAAACCCCAGTGGCTGAACTCAAACAACCTAATCTCAACTGAATTGTTAATAATCTACAGAAATGAAATGCTCAGCTCTCCCTAATCCCACAGAAACGTAGTCAGGAAATTTCAAACGCCAGTAACACGCTCGTTTCCAACTACAATCTTTTTCCTCCACACAAACCAAGCAACCAAATCCCACGAACTTCGTAGCTTAGAAACCCAAAACCCAGAAGGAAGAATTGGAGAAAAGAAGAGGAAGAAGTTGGGGGGGAGTTACCTTGGTATCAATGGCCTTGTAGACGACACCATAAGTACCTTCACCAAGAATTTCACGCTTGAGATACCTATCGGCAACTCTCTTTTCCTGATCGTTCTCGGCCATCGCGAAGTCTCTTGGTTTTAGGTTACCCAACTGATTTGATTGTAACTGAGATTGCAAGCACTTCCTGTGGGAATCAATTCTTCCAAAAAAGACCCAGACGATGGAACTGGAGCATCGTTGCAGCTTGGGTAGGCTGGAGGAAAGGGAAAAGGAGGGATGAAGAAGAAAGTGGAGGAGCGGGGTGCTAGGCGGCGAGGCGAAGAGGAAGATGGCCTGCCAGCCTGGATGTGCAGAAAAGTTTTTAGTAATGGTCAATTACACGAACAGCCACTAAGCACTTTTGGGTTAATTAACAAATCTATCATAAAACTTCGATTGGTTAACGTTAGGATGGCAACGGCCAACGGGTAGTATAGTATAAGCCAATATTTAACAAACTTATTGGTCGATTTTATTATAAATATCGGATACCGGAGCTCAAACCGTTGGCAATTTTAGTGTTACGAAACAATTGAATGTTAGGTATGATTTCACAAATATTGGTATCATATCAGACGGTCACTCCAAAATATTCTCTCCCGCGTGAGAGCATCCCCTTTCCTCTGTCAAGCAGAGTGACTGTTCATCTCCCGCCTTGTGGGAATTCCAAATCTTTCCCCTATTCTTTCTTCTTGGGGATCTGTTTCGCCCTTCTCTCTTTCCCTCTCACGATCTTTCTTCCTTTCCTCTACATCTGAATCTTTCACTTGGGCTGCTGTTGTCGATTGAAGATTGTAATTTTGGGGTGACTGTTGGTGTTCCTCCATCATGGCGACTGAATCTGAAATCACAGAAAAGATAGCTAGTGTGAGTCTGACGGAAGAAGAAGAAGTTAGTATCAAAATCGATGAAGCTGATGAAGACTCAGGCATTGAAGAAGTGATCAAGGAACTTGGAATAGTGGGGAAAATCTTAGCAGGAAGGATGGGATCTGCACGGGTTATGAAGAACATTCTAAAAGATGTGTGGCGCTTAAGGAAAGATTTCGACATCAAAATAAAGCAGGAAGGAGTGATGCTAGTTCAATTCTACTGCTATGAAGATCGGGATAGGGTCCTCCATGGCGGCCCATGGCATTACGAGAAACAACTTATTGTTTTTAAAGAAATTCCGCCAGATCTGGAGATACAGGACATTGACTTCTCTAAGACAGATATTTGGGTCAGGATACGAAAGATCCCCCTGAAACTGAGAAACAAGAATATGGCTGGGAAACTAGGGGGAATGTTTGGGTCGTTGGTCAAATGGGATGAACTCCATTCGGGCTGTGACAGTGACTACCTCAGAATCAGGGTTACTATCGACGTCAGTAAACCATTACGAAGGCTGGTGAAATTGGATGGCCCTCGAGGACCCGCCTCGTACAAGGTTGCCTACGAGAAGCTCCCAACTTACTGCTATAACTGTGGCATTTTGGGACATCTAAAGGGAGGGTGCCCGAAAAAACGGGAGGATCCGGAAGCTGAGACAAGAGAAGAATATGGATCGTGGCTTCGCGCAGAATCCCCACTAAAAAGGATTGATTATCAGACGAGGGAAGAGAAGAAAAGAATGGATAACCTATGGACTGAGTTGAAAGCAGGGAAGATAGTGAAAGATTATCGACAGAAAAATTCTGAAAAGATAGTGAAGCAAGCTGAGGTGGTAAATACTGAACTCACAAAAGAGGTGTCAACTCTAAACCTGGAGGCTAACCCCTCTCAGCATACAGGACCTGATGACATTACCACAAGGGAACTGGCAAAGGAACTTGAAGCTATAAGGGCTGATGAAGAAGGAGGTCCAAGAGACACGAACGAGGCACGAGAGAAGGTGGAGACCCTGCCTTGGAATTATGAGAGCACTGGTGCAGAAGGAGAAAAGGAGGCAGAGCAGGAAATTGGTATAGAAACAGTACAGCCCTATACTGCCGTCTATGCAGAAGACAACAGGAAAGAACAGAATAAAGAAAGGGCAGAAGCATCAATAAACAAAGAAGAAGGAAAGACTATCGGAGGCAAGAAATGGATAAGGTTAGGAAGAAAGAAAGTGGAAGAACAGGACAAAGTTAATAAACCAGTGGGTGGCAAGAGATCATACAAGGATGAAGCGATAGACATGGAAATTGACCTCGCACCTGTTGGGGGGAAAAAGATGAAACAAAACTCAAAACCTATTGTGGATGGCGGAGTGGCGGACCTTGCCGAAGAGCAAGGCCGCCGAGCCCAATGAGGATCATAAGTTTCAACTGTCGGGGTCTGGGCCAAACCTCGGCAGTTGATGAACTTAAAAGGCTCGTGGGAAAGCAGAGACCTGATGTTCTATTCCTTATGGAAACAAGACTGTCTAACAGGGAGTGGAGGAGCGTTAAGTGCAAGCTTGGATACAAACATGGTTGGGGTGTACCAGCCAGAGAAGACAAGGGAATTAAAGCAGGGGGAATTTGCTTGTTTTGGAGAGAGGGGATTTCAATATCCTATATGTCAAATGCCATTAATTACTATGATGTAACAGTAAGCTATGAGGGAGAAGGGCCGAAGTGGAGGTTAACAGGTTTCTATGGCAATCCTTACAGAAAGGAAAGGGATTCGTCCTGGGAGCAATTATGCAACCTGAAGGGGATGGCTGATCTGCCTTGGTTATGCATGGGGGACTTTAACCAGGTCATGGCTGGTGATGAGAAGGAAGGGGGACGTTTCATTGATGAAAGAATGGTTATTAAGTTCTGCGACACACTTGAGTATTGTGGCCTTATTGATTGTGGTTTTGAGGGTTACCCCTATACTTGGGATAATGGCCGAGGGGGCTCGAATTTTATTGAAGAGAGACTGGACAGGTGTTTAGCCAACTGGGATTGGCATCTACAGTTCCCAAATCATAAGGTGGTCCACCTAGACAGATGTGGTTCAGACCACTGCCCAATCCTTATGATCACGAAGGATAGAGAAGAAGAAGAGATCAAATGGGGTTGGCAATTCAGAGTTGAATCCTACTGGCTAAAGGATGATGAAAGCAAGGAAATCATTTCCAATGTTTGTGCCTCTAATGATTGTGATAATATTCTGGATGTTCTGGGTGATTGCAAAAGAGAGCTGCAGAGATGGAGCAAGGAAAAGTTCGGGAATTTACACAAGAGGATTGAGAGGATAGATGAAGAGCTGAGAAGAATCAAATACTACCCTAAGTCAGAGCAACAAATTCAAAAAAGAAGAAATCTAGAGACTGAAAGGACGGACCTCATCCACAAAGTTGAACTGAAATGGAAGCAGAGATCTAGGGCTGACTGGCTTAAAGGGGGGGACAAGAACACGAATTTCTTTCATACAAAAGCAACTCTGAGAAGGAAAAGGAATACAATTAAAGCAATCTGTGATGATCTGGGAAAGGAATACAAAGGTCAAAAGGAAGTGTCAGATTATTTATATGATTACTACAGCAATATATTTATGAGAATGCCTAACCCTGATTCAAACTATGTAGTGGATGCAGTCGAGAGAAGAGTTTCGGACAGCATGAATGAGGAGCTGTCAGCTCCTTTCAAAGAAGAGGAAGTCTACAATGCCCTCAAGCAGATGCACCCCACAAAAGCCCCTGGTTCGGACGGCTTCCCAGCAGGATTCTACCAGCAGAATTGGGAAGCGATTGGGGGACATGTAACAGCAGCTGTGCTTAAGTATCTCAATGAAGGTTTCATCCCCCCTGAAGTCAATCACACCTTGATCGTACTTATCCCGAAGGTGAAAAATCCAACCATGGCCAAAGACTACAGACCTATAAGTCTATGCAGGGTTATCTACAAGATTGTGTCTAAGGTTCTGGCAAATAGACTCAAAAGATTTCTCAATGATATAATCTCGGAAGAACAGAGTGCATTCATAAAAGACAGATTTATTACTGACAATATTATCACTGCCTTTGAATGCTTTCAGTATTTGAAGAAGAAGACAAAGGGGAAGAAGGGTTTCTTCGCTGCAAAATTGGATATGACGAAGGCTTACGACAGGGTTGATTGGGATTTCTTGGAAAAAATGCTTCGAAAGCTTGGTTTTATGGAGAACTGGATCAACTTGCTCATGATGTGTGTGAAAAGTGTTTCCTACTCTGTGATGGTTAATGGTCATCGAACAAGCGAATTCAAACCATCTAGGGGCCTCAGACAAGGTGACCCTCTGTCACCATACCTCTTTCTTATTTGTGCAGAGGGTTTCTCAGCCCTTCTAAAAAAGGCAGAAGGAGAAAAGAAGTTACAAGGGATCAGGATTTGTCATCGTGCCCCTATTATTTCACATTTACTCTTTGCTGATGACAGTTTGGTATTCGGGAGAGCTACTGTTGATGATTGTGAGGAGCTGAAAAGAGTCTTGAAGACCTACGAAAAGGAATCTGGCCAAAGTATTAACCTTTCTAAATCTGAGGTGTCGTTTAGTAGGAACGTAAGATGGAGCAGGAAACTGGAAATCAGTGGGACTTTGGGCATTCAGATAGTTGACAAACACACCAAGTACCTCGGCCTACCTACAGTTATTGGGAGATCTAAAAAGGAAGTTTTTGAAGAACTGAAAGAAAGAATCAGAAAGAAACTCAAGGACTGGAAGAGCCTTTCACTCTCGGCTGCTGGAAAGGAAGTGCTTATTAAAGCAGTCGCCCAAGCTCAACTGATCTATCCAATGATGGTTTTCCAGATTCCTGAAGGAATCCTTCATGAAATTCAAAGTTTGATAGCCAGGTTCTGGTGGGGTCAAAAACATGAGGAGGGAAGAGTCCATTGGATTAAATGGGAGGAGCTTTGTTTGCCTAAAGAAGCAGGTGGAGTGGGATTTAAAGATTTGAGAACGATTAACACTGCGATGTTGGGAAAACAAATCTGGAACATCTTGAACCGGCCTAATTCCCTGATGGCGAAAGTCCTAAAGGCGAGGTATTTCCCCAGAACTGAGATCTTAAATGCGAAGCTCGGAAGCAACCCCAGCTTCATATGGAGGAGCCTTATCAATGCAAAAAACGAAATCGTGGATGGGTTCAGATGGAGAGTGGGCGATGGAAATCACATTAGGGTCTGGGAGGATTGGTGGATCCCAGATATCAAGCAACTACCCGTGAATGACCAGAATGCCAATTTTGAGGCGAATATGAAGGTGAATGCACTTATCGACAAGAATAGTGGGTGGTGGGATCTCTCAAAGATCCAACCTCTCTTCCCTAGTGAGATCCAATCTAATATCACGAGGATACCTCTAAGAAACCCCCCTATTGAGGACGCAGTTGTATGGTCAGGGAAGGAAAATGGAATTTACACTGTTAAATCTGCCTACAGGGAGATAAGGAAGAAGAAGACTCCTTGGCTGGAAAGCAATACCCCAGAAGCACAAAGAATGAAATCCTACTGGAAAAAGATCTGGAATCTCCCAATCCAACCGAAGGTCAAAGTTTTTCTATGGAAGATCAGTAGAGACATCTTACCAGTGGGAGCAAACATTGAGAAGCGCATCGAGGAGGCATCATCGGACTGCCCATTCTGTGGGTTGCCCGAAACTCAGCTCCACTGCTTGAGAGACTGCGACTGGACTAGAAGATTGTGGCAATCACACGACCAGACAGGCATTTTCAACCAAGGAGAAGGACTTTCAGGGAGCGAATGGTTCCTCAAGGTTTTTGAAGCACAGCCAGAAGATAGCTTGCAAAAATTTTGTGCCATGCTATGGTTCATTTGGAAGGAAAGATGCAACCATTTGTTTAACAACAAGAAATTGGAAGAAGAAGAAATCATACCAAAAGCCCTCGACTGGATAGCAGACTACATTCATGCGCAAGGGCTCGCAACTCCGAGAGAAAGACAGATTGCTGAGATACGAGGCTGGAGAAGACCGCCGGACGGAATCTATAAGATGAATAGTGATGCGGGGCTCCTGAAGCCGTCTGGAATTGGAGTCGGATGTGTCTTCCGGAATTGGGAGGGGGAATTCATGGGAGCGGTGGCTGGTAAAGAAGATGGGAGCTGCAGACCAATTGAGGCGGAGGCGAAGGCAATCATTGCCGGGTTAAGGGAGGCGAATCGAAGGGAATGGAGCCCCTTAATGGTGGAATCTGACTGTCTCACTTTGATGAAGATGATGGACAAGGAAGAAGAGGATAGGACTGAGCTGGGTCTGTGGTGCAGAGAGATCAGGGACTTGGCCGAGGTGAACGCGAGGATTTCTGGCAGATGCATTGTTTGGGCTTATGTGCCGAGAAGCTCAAATTCGGTGGCCCATCTATTGGCCCACTCTGCCCCTTTTTGGAACCAACTCTGTATCTGGACTGAAAGTCCACCCTGCTCCATTAGGAGCCTGTTAGTGGCTGAAAAGGCCCAGAACCTTGATGCTTAATCGATGAATATTAACAGGGCTTTTGATAAAAAAAAAACAAATATTGGTATCATGACGGATAGTGATTATCTATTATCCTAAGTTAATTGGTTCGGGTTTTATCCATGTCCATGTAAGATTCATATAGTAAATTAAAGGGTTAATATCTTATTTTGGTCCGAACTATACCCAAACTTTTTCTATTTTGGCACGTGGTTTCTGAAATTGTTCTTCTCACCCAACTATATACCATACTTCCTTGCTTGGCCGAGTGCAGGTTTTGACCGCCAAATTGGACGGTCGACTCCATTGTTTGTTAGTCAAGCGCTAGGTCCCTTGCCACGTCAGCAAACTCGAAATAAACAAAATCAATTTCAAATTTATGTAATAATTTTTTCGTTATCTAATAAATTCAAAATCCAAAATTTATCACATAAAACGAAACGAATTAGATACTTTTGTTATCTAAGAAAAAAAATGAATTAGATAATTCAAATACCAAAAAAACATTTGTGGGTTCGCTAACGTGACAGGTGACTTGGCGCTTGACTAACAGTCAATGGAGTTGAACGTCCAATTTGACAGTCAAAACCCACACCGGACCAAGCAAGGAACTATGGTGCATAGTTCGGGCTAAGATAGCTATGTCGGAAATCACGGGCCAAAGTAGAAAGTTTGATTATAGTTCAGACCAAAATAAGGTATTAACCCTAAATTAAACAATGCATATACTTTATAGGGTATCAAGTATCGATCCACGAATAAAGTAGATTATTATGCCTTCATCAACACCCGATCGATCGAAAATAGTTGAGCTTGATGGTGTTGCTAAGTTTAACGGATTTCGTGAACGGGTATTAACCCTAAATTAAACAATGCATATACTTTATAGGGTATCAAGTATCCATGGATATCCACGAATAAAGTAGATTATTATGACTTCATCAATACCCGATCGATCGAAAATAGTTGAGCTTGATGGTGTTGCTAAGTTTAACGGATTTCGTGAACGGAATGACTATATTTGTCATTATTTGAAAAAATGACTATTTTATCACAAAGGTTGAAGTTTTGGTTATGCACATGTATTTTGTCTAAACTAAACTGCACTTAATATTCAACATTTAACATTCGAATCGGTGTTACTTGAGTTCTGCTTTTAGAATTGGTATCCTTTTATGAGATTAAATAACTTCAAATAAAATATAAAAATAAAAGCATCAAATACCAAATATGTTTCTATCATTCAATTAAAAAAAGTGTAATAAATACTACTTAGTCTAGTTGGTCATATTACTATTCCTTATTTGAGTGGCCTAGATTCAAATTTCATTGACGAGATTTTTAATCTATAAAGAAAAATTAGGCACAATTACTAAAATAATATTCCTAGAATTGCTTATGGACCACGAAATTCGAAATGAGTAAAAGTTTTCTCAACTCACTATAATAATAAGTGTAGATAGATGTTGCATTAGTAGGGATGACAACGGGTAAGAGATAGAAAATGAATATTTATTACCCAACTTGAAAATAATTCAGGTTTTACTCCTTCTCATGCTCACACAAGAATCAAGTAGAAAATCAAAATCATGCTTATACCCAATCGAATTTTCATATATCCACGAGTGATAATTTATCTTTATTACCTTTAGCCAACATGTTAACCATTACATTTATATTGACATCACATAAATGGAAAAAGTACAACAATAAATTACTAGAAGTAGAACTAAGAAAATTAGGGGTGTTCAAATGGTTACCATGGTATTAACAAACCAAACAAGCCTAATTTCTATTAAACATGGAATACAATATCATAACCAAACTGTCTAAACTAATACAAGAACCAAATGAACCAAACTAAAATTTAATTGGTTTGGTTAATTGGTTAACCAGATTAACCAATATGATATCACATTATCATTAAGTGAAGAAAAAATTCAGTTAATACATCAATTCACAATTAATATAATGAATAAACATAATAATCAACACATAGTTATAGTTAACCCTTACATAAATACATACAACTAATACTAATACAATTATCTTACAGTCAATAAAAGTATTCACCTAACAAATGCAATGGTATGCGGTTAATGAACTGTTGTGTTTGTGTAAATTGATTGAGTCTTTTAACAATTATCATAGGCCGAAAAAGATATTTTTTTCAATTTATAATCCAACTTAAAGTATGAGTTTTATCTGAATTAGACATCCATATGATGTGGTCTACACTCTATAAATACTAATATACAGTATAGGAACAATATTGAGTTTTATCTTTTATGAGACTAAAAAGGAGGGACGTTTGACTCTTCGGTGGTTAAGCAAAGTATTAAGTATGTATATATAATATATATTAGATATATGACTAATTACTTAACTTGTTAATTTGATTCGATTGGTTAGGAGTGTTTGAAACCAACCAAACCACCTAAGCCAAACAAGCTAAAAAATTTAACCAAACAAAAACAATTATCCAAATTAACCAAACCAAATTTCCAAATATTACCGGTTAAAACGATCACCATGGTAACCACTTCGTTTGAACACCCCAAAAGAAAATTAGCTAAAAATTGCTATTTCGTGAAATTTTATATGATGTTAATATTGAATAGGTAGGAAAAAATAATGTTCATTTATCTAGAAAAATAGGAATTCATATATATAATTGGTCGGGTTCTGGTTGTTAGTGAAAAAACTATATCCACTCATTACCCACAATATTCAAATTCAATTTTTAATCATACACCGTAAAAATTCTTTAACTTCTGAAATGAGACAATTTGACTCGATCGCCTAAAAATTGCCTCATTTCGTAAACGATATAAGGTTCGTGTATGGAGTTTAACCACTTCCTTACATGTCATTAACCAACTGGTCCTAATAGTTCAAGTTGTTGGGAAAAAATCAATTATAAATATTATATTATTTATTAACACACACCCACAAACGAAAGTCAACTCATAAAGGTATAATATCATGTGCTTAACAAATGGGGGTCGTCAGCTTTAGAGTCATATCATAAACCAACTGGTCTCAACATCTCAAGTGTTGTGAGATGTTCAATTATGAATCTTATTTCATTTACTAACAAGCCTCATGAAACAAAAGTCAAGTCATATGGGCTTGAAATTTGCATAGGTCCGAATAAAATATATTTAACAAATGAGAATCATCGGAATTTAAACACAAGACCTCTCGATCATTAAACTTTATTATTATGTCATAAACCAACTCGCCCCAATACTCAATTTGTTGATATAAATGTAAAAAAAAAAAATTTGTTGATATATATATGTTCTTTTTTTTTTGCCAAAAAAAATAATACGCAAATATATCGCTACATTAGTTCACTGTGTCATAAACTTCTCTCTCGAGTACTGCTCGGTTCTGCCGGGAATAGAGGTGGGATTAGGTGCTAACCTTGATAGGGGTTAGCACCGTGATAACTAACAAAAAAACGCTATTAAAAACAACGAAATCACTACGGATTATTATAAAATCACTACGGATTATTATAAAATTAATACAATATCTAAGCTAAATCACTACTAATTGAAACTAGTAGTAATTTTTCTCTTGGTTAGGATGGTGCTAACTATTGTACAATTATCACCGTACCTCCTCCCGGTTCTGCCCAATAGTTTCTATACACCGTCTTTCTGGCATGTTCAGCACCGGCTCCCGCCACAAGCTCTAGAGAAACCCACATTATTAGCCGGAGGGCTTGGCATTCGGCGAGAAATTCTCCGTTGTTTCCCATGGCTACTCTACGCCGACTGTCGAGAACTGCACGCTTCTCCCGTTCCGTCGCTGCCTCCTCCAAAACCCTCCCCGGTCTTCCACGCGCACACCCTTCGCGGCGGCTCTGTGTGTCATCGTAAGCTCACCCCGCCCTCCTCCAGCAATTCATACTTTAGGGTCGCTAATGATCAGTTCCCTCTTCTCTTCCATTGAATTTTTGCCTTCATTTTGATTGGGGGTTTTCTTTGATTCGCCTAGTGTTGGGTCCTTTGAATGCTACTCTCGTCCTGATACTCAGAGAATTCCCCGGCCATTGTTAGTGCCTGGTGCTACCAAGCTCAGCTCTGTGTACCCTATCCTTCTTGCTGGTTTGCTTGGCGTTGGGGTTAATGTAGCTTGTGCTGATGCTGATCAGGTTTTTTTTTTAACTGCTTACTATGTCAACGCATTCTTCGTGTTGTAGCAAGGTTGCAGGTGTGTAGAGAATTTCAGATTTCAGTGGTTCATTAAGTTTATTTTGCGTGTGATCGTACTAGGGATCTGAACCCTTGCCTCCTCTGCCATCCGGGGCTCCTGCGAGTTATGCCGAGCTAGAGGAGACAGCCAAGAAGGAACGAAAACGGATCGAGAATGAGCTCAACAGTAAAGGAATCAAATATGGTTCCTATCCTGCCTTCACAATCGCTGTCAAGGGCCAAAAGGTCATCAAATGCCTGCCATTTTGAAACCTGGCAATGTTAATTGCCACCACTTTTGTTGTTTTTTATGGAAATGGCAGTGGCAGCGATTTTCGCTTCTGCCTTTTTTCAGTTCTTGCTGTCAGTACACAATTGTTGAATATCTAAAGTGTAGCTTCGCTTTTTTTATGATTGTGAATGAACTTGATACTGTTGAATATTTCTGACATGATTAACTGCAGATCACGATCAAGTTCCAGATTCCCCCTTCTTGCGACATTCCTCATTTGATAGCTCATCTTGCATCACATCTTGGATTAAATGCCAAAGAATCAGGGGGTGGTCGGGATATGTTGCTACGTTCTTGGGACAGGTCAGTGAATGGGACTTTCAGGGCATTTGCTAAATGTTTTCCAGTGTATTCATCATTTGTTGCTCGATTTGTTGAACGGTCTCTCACCTTCGTTATGATTCCAGTACTGTTGCGTGGCAATTGATACTTAGTCAGCCATTGAGGGAAGGAACCAATGAGGACAAGTCACCAAAAGGAGATGCAAATTCACTTGATGGGGCCGATTTGTGCATTGTCTTATTTCGATCACTCATTACCTCAGAGAAAGCAGTTAGTGGATTTGGGGGCATCAGTTACTTTGATATTATATAAAAAAGCTTTTTGTTCCCCTGTTTTTAGTTTGTAGACTCACAAAGTCTGACTGTAAAAATTTGATTATTTGTTATAGGAAATCGAGTTCATGAAGCGTGGGAGCTTGAGCGCTGTAGAGCTTAATGCTTTGGTGTCTGTTTTAGAATTGGCTGGTGGAGGGTTAAAGAACTTGGAAAGAAAACCAGGTGGACCTGCTGTACGGGCACCTGCAACAGATAAATCAGTCGCCAGTCTGAAGGACATGGGAGTAAGAATATACGGACTCGAGGAACCTCTTATAAATTCTTCGAGCAATGAGATTTTGTGGGAGAACATAGCTGGTTATGATAAGCAAAAAAGGTAGGCTGCATGTGATTGCTTGTTTCATCTAACTCTGAACCTTATATTTCAGTAAGCCTTAGTGTAGCCTGAATTGAGAGGGCTCCTAAGAGGACCAAACTATAATATTTCCATGTCTGTATGTAAAATCTATTTTATTGATGGAGTTTGTTTCCTAGCAAGAGGTCAAGATATTGGTCAGATATTTCGATCATCTACATAGACTGGTGTGACTGATCATTCTCAATTACCTTGCTTCTAAAACCATTTCATTATGTGCATCCACACTTAGAAACCAATTTTTATTGCACTATCCTTGAAGTTCACATCCAGAGAGGCGAGAAGCAGGAGGAAGAATATCTATATTATGTGGTCATGCAGCTGAGCTCATTGCTTATAGTTCTTAAGTTTGATGCATATTCTCAATCTAGTGATTATGAAGGTTCTTAAAAGTTTTTTTGCATGGCTGTATAGAGAAATAGAAGACACAATATTGTTGGCTCTACACAATCCTGAAATATATGATGACATTGCTCGTGGGACTAGGAACAAGTTTGAGTCAAATAGACCTCGAGCCGTCCTTTTTGAAGGTCCTCCAGGTACTAACATCTTCCCTTTTTTAGGATTCTGGAAAAATTAATATGTAAATTTTATGGTAATGTGGGTTATCGTAACACTCTTAGTAGATCATTTAAGAATTGCATTGATTTAATAAACAAATTATTGACATATGCAGGTACAGGGAAAACGTCTTCTGCTCGTGTTATTGCTAATCAAGCGGTGAGATCACTGTCTCTGGTCTCTTTATGTGTGGATCAATATTCTTTGTCTTACAAACGACACTGCAAATTTCTAGTTTTTTGTTCTGATCACATGTATATTTATTTCCCCCAAAGCATGTTGAATTTCAGGGGCTGTAGGTGGATTTATTTAATAAAGTTCAATGCTTGAATGGGTTACTTTGGTCATTCTTTTGATTAGTAGCCATTGCTACTAGTTGCTTGTGAATTGGATGATACTAGTATCTATATAAACTAACTTGTGGAGCAAGGATTGATATGCGTCAGTGACACTGCAATTGTATGAAGTTGTGTATGCTTGCTTGTGTATTATTTAATTTGTTAGAAAGTAAGAAATAACCTACATTTTATAAGATAGATTGCGACTTAATGATAGAACCCTCCCTTTAGAATGGGAACTATTTTCAATATGGGAAGACGCAGCCTGCCTACTGTTTAGGATAAGGGCAGAAGAAGACTAATAGTCGACACATGGTTCTGAATTACTGACTTCAGTTGCTTAGTATTTGAAAGGACACATGTACATCATATAGGTTCTGAGACATAAAGGTTTGAGCGCCAAACCTAATAGCTTGTATATGTTCAGTACTTGCTTCATCTTTGACAAAAAGAAAACATTCTTGTCAAATTTGCTGCACGATTGGCTTGTGATAAGTAAGCATAAAATATCACCAAAAGTCCAACAACGAAACTTGTGAGTTAATGTAGTGTATGCGACGTGTTCCTTGGCAGGGTGTTCCACTTCTGTATGTGCCGTTGGAAGTCATTTTGTCAAAATATTACGGGGAAAGTGAACGTTTGTTGGGGAAAGTCTTCTCTCTTGCCAATGACCTCCCCAATGGCGCCATCCTATTTCTAGATGAGGTAAGAGATGAGTAATTATTGTATAGATGATTTGGCTCCAACGTCTAAACACAGGGTCGGTTGGATGTTTTACATCCATCATTACCTCTAGGCAAAAAAAATTGGGTGTCAAGGTTCGAGTAATTGTAACTTCATACATTTTCTGTCCTCCACCTTTAGTAAAACTGCAGAATTCATTACTCCTGGTTCCTCTTTTTCCCTTGTCCTTTGCAGGTTGATTCTTTTGCTGTTGCTCGTGATAGTGAAATGCATGAAGCTACTCGTAGAATTTTATCAGTATTGTTACGACAGGTAAAGATGCATCCTTCCCTGACCTCAAATATGTGTTATCTCTAGTGTGCTCAACTTGTCGGCTGTTCTTTTTCTTCTAATCTCAGTTCATCGTGTTGGGTGAATATGTAAACTTTCAAACTTAAATATTTAGCTGTTTCTAGTGGCCGAGAGAACATGGTCACTGAAACACTCATTAATGGTCTGCCTAACTTGTGCATTTTGTAGCCTGCTTAACTTCCTAGCTGTTCTTTCACTTTTTTTCCTTCTGCCTCTGCGTCTTACTTTATAATTGGTGAGGCTGCTATTGTTTACAGATTGATGGATTTGAACAAGACAAGAAAGTGGTTGTCATTGCTGCCACAAATAGGAAACAGGATCTGGATCCTGCTTTGATCAGGTATTTCCTTTGAAATTGTTATTACTGCACAACCTTGAAAATTAGAGTATTCCCTGACCCATGCCGCATGTCTTCTTTTTTCAGCCGGTTTGATTCAGTGATTACCTTTGGTCTGCCTGATCACTTGAATCGCCTAGAAATTACAGGCCAGTATGCAAAGCACCTCACAAAATCCGAACTAGAGGAATTTGCTAGAGTCACCGAAAAGTGAGTGATACATATCTCTTTTCGATGAATTTAGTCTCTCAACGTGTCTGTTTGTTGGCCATATGCAATGTGCATATGGAGTTCCAGATGATATGGCGAGAATGACTTCTCTGCTTTACAACAGGATATCCATCCTGTGAATCTTTGAGCGAACATTTCCATCGCTATCTTTGGAGATGCCTTGTTCAGTTTGTAAATCGACGAATTGAGTTGTGTGTGACCATTGTACCATTATCTAGGTTAAGACCTTCAATCATACGAAAGTTCGAGTGCTCTTTATTTGTCCATGTTAAGAGCTTTGCATAATAAGTTGCCATTGATCATTGATGTATGCTTCTGTATTCAGCATGTCTGGGAGGGACATAAAGGATGTGTGTCAACAAGCAGAACGATCATGGGCATCCAAGGTAAAGTTTCCTAGTACTTGACAGCTATATTGTAGAGTTGTACATTTTGCTGAATTTTGTGGACTTACTAGTCAAGCTATGGCGGTGATAGATAATAAGGGGACAGGTAGGCAAAGAAGTAGTAGAAGATGAGGAGCATAGTCGTCGTCGTCTTCTTCCACCGCTTTCAGAATATATCGAGAGTGCCGTAAGCCGTCAGAAGGCGCTGCCGCTGGGCTCGTCGGAGCAGATCATTCAAGGTCGACAGAAACTTCATTTAGATTTTCATTAGAGGCGTGTTGAAGCTGTCAATCATATTAAAGAAGATTGCTTGAAAATTGGGTTATGCAGGGTGATACTACTGTTGTATAAAAGATAACCTCTAATCTTAGATAGACCTTGTAGTATACAAGTAGTGTGGTGGGTGGCTGTGGCATACAATATGAAATTTCAGATTCAAATCCTAGTTACTAATTCAACAGACCTGAGCGTGTCCAGGGATAATCTTCGAATGAAATTAATTTCTCTTACGACCGCGGAAATCTTTGTCACTATCAATCGGTCACGTTTAAAATGTCTCTTATGATTTGCGAAAATCAAAGTAAATGTGGCAACTCATATTATAGCACATTGCGAGATAAAATGAAATGCGTGTACAGTTTAAATCAAGTTATAGAGTATAGACCACTCGAGTTTTTTATTGATCAACTAAAGCGGGATAATCAAAAACAATATTCTAACATTCTAACCCTCATTTATAACCGAAATCAAAATCATTAATAACCAAATAGAACTTGCTAACCCGTAAAAAAAAAATTGAAATTGCTAATGACATAAGGCTGGAAATCACTAAAACAATGGTCAACACATGCTTAATGGCCTGATCCGACCTGAACTCCTAGAAATGAGTTTTATCCATGGATGGCCCAAGCCCATACTATATGCCGGATCATTGGGCTTGGAATTCCAGTACAGCAAACGTCTGAAAATGCGAAGACCCTCCGGCTCCGCTTCGCCGTAGTTTTGCTTCAAGCCTACATTTCCATACTGCGATCGAGGGTTACTGTAAGAACTTCTCCGTCTCTGAAGGTACAGCAACTTGGTTACATTTGTTTGCATCGTATTTTCTGGTTATATTGTGTTATCTACCTCAAGTTTGCACCTTTTTCTTGGTGGGTTCATACTGACAGTTGTTGCTACCTTCTGTCCAGCACAGTTCAATAGCTCACGTAGGAAGATGATCGTCAACAACTGCATCATCCATCGAAACTGCTCTCCATTTCTTTGGCATAGAAAAGTCGGTACCACTGTTCTCCCTTACTCTTCTTCTGCTAGTTCCGCAGCCCCTCTCTCGTCATACTTCGCCTCCAATCCAACTCCAACTACTACTCGTACCTCCAATTCTGCTACTTTGGCCAGTGTAGATGATGCCATGGATTCATTTAATCGGATGCTCTGCATGAACCCTAGGCCGTCCATTGTGAAATTCGGTCAGTTATTGTCTTCTCTCTTGAGAGTGAATGCTTTCCAGGCTGCCCTCTATGTGTCTAAGCAGATGGAATTAGTTGGAATCCCCCATGATCTTTACACCCTTAGCATGTTGATTCGATGCTTCTGTAAATTGGGTCGTGTGGATTTTGCCTACTCAGTTCTCAGCAAAGCTTTGAAACTTGGTCTTCAATTCGATGCTGTGATATTCAGTACCTTGATTGATGGGCTATGTAAATTTGGAAAAGTAGTTGAGGCTGCGAGGTTGGCTCATAAGATCAGGATTTTGGGGTATCAACTGAACGTGGTCGCATATAACGCAATTATTTGTGGACTGTGCAAGGCAGGAAGAACAAGTGATGGGCTTGAATTGCTCGGAAAAATGGACGAGTTAGGTTGTCAACCTGATGTAGTTAGTTATAGCACAGTCATCGATAGCCTCTGTAAGGATGGAATGGTATCGAAAGCTTTAGATGTGTTTTCAGAGACGAAGGATAAAAAGATTCAGCCAAATGTTTTTGCTTACAGTAGCTTGATTTATGGTTTATGCATATCAAGCTCTAGGAATGAAGCTATGAAGTTGTTGAATGAAATGATAGAGAGGAACATCATGCCCAATACAATCACCTATTCCATATTGGTTGATGCCTTTTGTAAGGAAGGAAATGTTTTGGGCGCTAAAGTTATACTCAAAATGATGATTCAAAGTGGATGGCTTCCAAATATTATCACATACAGTTCACTGATGGATGGGTATTGTTTGCGGAACGAAGTAGACAAAGCTAGAAAGTTATTCGATTTAATGGTCAACATGGGATGCAAACGTGACGTATATTGTTATAGTATCATGATTCATGGATATTGTAACGCTAAAAGGATGGATGAAGCAGCACAATTATTGAATGATATGCTTGAGAAAGATTTGACTCCAAACACGGTAACATATACTACTCTCATTTCTGGATTTTGCCGAGCAGGGAGGTTTAAAGATGCACAAGAACTCCTTAGGAAAATGCACAATCAAGGTTTTTCTCCAAATGAAGTGACATATGGCACTTTGTTGAATGACTTGTGCAGACAAGGTCATGTTGATGAAGCACTGGCTCTGTTTCAAGCAATAGAAAGTAGTAGGTTGAAGCCTGATGTTGTCATGTATAATATCCTCATGGATGGTCTGTGGACAACTGGCAGGGCTGAAGAAGCAAAAGACATGTTTTCTAGGCTTTCTAAAGATGATAGTTTACGACCTGATACCCGCACTTATAACATAGTAATCGACGGACTTTGTAGACAAGGTTTTGTGGATGAAGCATATGGTTTGTTCAGAAATACTGAGGGGGGTAGTTGTCCACCCGATAGTTGCTCTTATAATGTGATGATCCAGGGATATCTTCGACGTAAGGACCCGCTTGAAGCATTTGACCTCATTCAGGAGATGGTTTCTAAGGGTTTCTCAGCTGATGCATCCACAATGTCCTTGTTGATAGAAAAACTGCCCAAGGATCAGTTGGATCATTTGATTGTGCAAAAGCTTCTGAATGGTCCTGATATCAAGAATCGGGAAATAGGGTCTAATGGTCTATCAACTTCTGGTACTCTAGTTAATTGTTGATTTTGTCCCATGGAAGTCAGTTGGATATTCCAGTAGTTCGCACGATGCTCTTAAAATCCAAAAGATTCTCACGGTACAAAAATGATGTTATTGAGGCTCAGAGAGAACATCTCAAAGTTAATGTTGGTTCTGCTGACGTCTGTGGAGTGCATGGTCATTTCAACCATTAGATGGTATGCCTAAGTTGTGCATTATGCAGTCTGTTTAACTTGCTGGTTGTTCTTTTCGCTTCTTTATTTGTGCCTGTGCATCTGATTCTGATGCTGCTTTGTTTACAGATTAATGGAATTGAACAAGACAAAGTAGTTGTTATTGCTGCCACAAATAGGAAAGCTGGATCAGGATCCTGCTTTGATTAGGTATTTCCTTTGAAATTGTTCTGTGTGCGTACTGAGTTGTCCTTGAAGATTGGAGTGTTTCCTGACCCATGCCATGCGTGTCTCTACTTTTTTCAGTAGGTTTCATTCAGTAATTACCTTCAGTCTGCACTTGAATCGCCAAGAAATTACTGGCCAGTGTGCAAAGCACCTCACAAGATCCGAACTGGAGGAATTCTCTAATTTCACATAAAAGTGAGTCGTCCAAATCTTTTTAATGAATGTAGTTCCTCAACATGTCTGTTTGTCGGCTATCTGCAACGAGCATGCGGAGTTCCAGATGATACAACGAGAGATAGGAATGAATACTTGGTCTTGCAACAGAGTGAACGTTTCCAGTACAATCTTTTGGAGATATCTTGCTAGCTTGTAAATCTGTTAGAAACCGAATTATCTAGGGTTTCTATATTTATTATTTTAATTATTATTAGGGTAAGTCTTATTAAGGTTAGTAGTCATTTAATAGAATTAGGTTTATTGTTAGGGTTTTCCAATCTTTCGTTACAAATATGTACTTTGCGTTTTATTCAGGATCAGTCAAGAAAGAATTATCAAATAATCTCCTAAACCCTAATCTCTCCCTATCCTCTCAATTCTCGATCCCTATCCCTCCAAGGCCTCGGCCGATTCTCTATTCTATTCTTCTTCTTCCCCAAATTCCCAATCTCAATTCCTAATTCTATTCGTATAAACCCTAATCCCCAAATATCAAATCCGTTAGAAACTTTGTTTCTAACATCTGGTATCAGAGCCATGGTCGAAAACCAGAGTTCATCACGACTCCCACCCGAGGACCACTCTCGTGTGCTGCATGAGTGCCTTTGCAAGCTGGAAGCCCTCAGGATCAAACAGGAGGCAGTATGGGAGCGGCGGGACGCAGAGTTCACACGACTCCTAGCCGTGATTAGCAGAAAGAGCCGATCCTCCAATACCGCTGCTACAACGCCACCACCACATGCGGCTGCCGCACCTCCTGTCCCCGACGAGAAGGCAGAGCAGCCCTCGATGGAGGAGTTGATGGAGGCAGATTTGCCGGCCACCAAAGACAAGTCAGCGCCACTACCTTTGGCTGAAACCACCACGATGCTGCAACCGGCTGCTGTTGAGGACGGAGAACCTGATGCTAAGCTCACAAATCAGCAGCAGCTGCTGCCGCCGACATCAGCTATGACACTGGACCACCTCACCGCAACGCCGTCACCACTATCCACAAAGGCTAATTCAAGGTCAACCACAGAACTTGCCGTGGCGGTTATATCCACCGCGATGTTAGAGCTGAAACCAATCATCACCACCACGGTTGGACTAGTTGGTACCGTGACCCCAAGCATGGCAGCAAGGGCCGAAAAGAAGAGGAACATCACTGTTGAGGCAAAAGGGGAAGGAGACTGTGTCGCCACCGAAGATGAGAATTTGGCTGGAGATGTAGAGAAAGGACCGACCTTGGCTAGCTTTGCAAACTGGAGATACAGGAGGAAGAAACGAAGGGCAGACGAGGAGCGCGGAGCAGAAAAGCAGAGCAAAGAAGCACCCTCGCCATCTGCGACGCCGGGGATGGAGTTGAGAGCGACGAAAGAAACGGGCTCGCATCCTAACAGCCGACGGGTGGCCTGCTCTCCGTCGGGGAAGAAGTCGGCAAGGGAGTTGGCAGTGGACTGAAAGAAGCAGGAAACGAGTTCGCCGCCGGAGCAAGGTCGCCGGGACTCGTCGCAAATCGCGCAAGAGGCTCCGCGATCTGCGGCAAACCCAATCGCAGTGACGAGGAACCCAAGATCGAGTTTGCCTTCGGATTACCGGATAGGTCGTTCGCCATCGAAGAAAAAAGCAGAAGCGCTGAAGAGCTTCCGACTCGACCAATCAGAGCTTTGGGGAGAGAAGTTGAAAGTGACGATTGAGAATAAGATGACCAGGAGATCTGAAGCGATGCTTGAGGGTTGCACGACAACTCTAGGCGTGCACGGGACGACGAAGCCGATGAGAAGTTCGCCGCAGGCGACGAAGTACTGGATGGGGGAGCTGAAGGCGACGGCGGATCGGGGCTCGCCTCGTCGGCGTCGGATGAGGAAGACCTCGACGGAGAACGAGGATCTGGCGGAAGACTCGTCGACGGAGGCAGAGGCAAGGGGAAATCCGTCGGAGCCGAGTCGTGTGAAGCCGGGGTCGACTTCTCGCCTGGCGCGCTGCTCGCTGCCGGAGAAGGACCAGCCGGCGACCAAGACGGAAATGCCGCCGACAGAGGGGAAGCAGAGCGGCGGCGGCGTCTTCTGTCTCTGGAACCCTAGGACCTCGGTTCGGGTTGAGGAGCAGCAGCAGCAACAACGAGTCAGGCGGGCCGCGCTCAAAGTCTTGGGCCTCACCGCTCGGATCGCCAGACTCAAGTTGGGCCAGTGTGTTGGGCCGAATGGGTCAGAACTTGAGTTTGAACAAGCTGCAAATGAGTTGAGAATGGGGCCGAGACTTAAGCGTAGTGGGCCGCTTCAACTGATAGGGATTAAGTCCAACTTGGGCTTTGTGTTGGAGAAAGCAGGATTGGGGAAAATGGTTATGTGGGTGGATGGGCTTGTTAGTGACTCAGGCCCGCTAGAAGTTGAGAAGAAGAATAGCACAAGGAAGCTTGATAGTGGGTTGGGCCATGCATCCTTCTTTTCAATTGATATGGGCCGACCCAAGAGAGATGAAATGGGAGGTGGGAAGCAGTTATGGCTCTACTTTACCACCGAGCGCATGAGGGAATTTACGGAGTATTTCTCTGAAGACCTCGAGGTAGAGCATAATGAAGAACCATTCTCCGATTCTTATTTCATGGATTTCGAAAAGAAAGAGAAAGAATTGTTCGGCTATGGAGACCGTGACCTGTGTCACGTGGTTCGAGAAAAGTTGGGGAGAGTCGGGGTCACGGGAGTGGGTTTCATTCGAGCAGTGGAGCACAATTGGAAGACAAGAAAGCGCAAGGAGTGGAGAAGACAAAATGCGGATTGCGCGGGAGATGTGAAGAAATGGGTCGAGTCAATCAACCTTGAGGACAAGGTTGGTCTGAAGTGGGAGGAGATGTTAGAAACCGAATTATCTAGGGTTTCTATATTTATTATTTTAATTATTATTAGGGTAAGTCTTATTAAGGTTAGTAGTCATTTAATAGAATTAGGTTTATTGTTAGGGTTTTCCAGTCTTTCGTTATAAATATGTACTTTGCGTTTTATTCAGGATCAGTCAAGAAAGAATTATCAAATAATCTCCTAAACCCTAATCTCTCCCTATCCTCTCAATTCTCGATCCCTATCCCTCCAAGGCCTCGGCCGATTCTCTATTCTATTCTTCTTCTTCCCCAAATTCCCAATCTCAATTCCTAATTCTATTCGTATAAACCCTAATCCCCAAATATCAAATCCGTTAGAAACTTTGTTTCTAACAAAATCTTTTGGGTGAAGGTCTGTGTGACCACTACACCTATAGTGTAGTGTTGTAATCTAGGATAAGGTGAAAGATGGATCGTATGAAAGCTTGTGTGCTTATATTGGTCCATGCTAAGAGCCTGCATAACATGGCGTTGACTGTTTACTGTTGATGTCTGTAGCTGTATTCAGCATGTCTGGGAGTGGAAGGGGCATGAAGGACGTGCTTAAACAAGCAGAACGATCATGGGCTCATGGGCATCTGAGGTAAAAGTGATCTAGTATTTTACTGTTTTATATTTGTATTATAGAGTAGTGCATTTTGCTGAATTTTGTGGACTTACTAGTTAAGTATGGTGGGTGCTGCGTTTCATATATATTAAGGGGACAAGCTGGTAAAGAAAATAGTAGAAGATGGGGAGCATAGTCGTCATCATCTTGCACTGCTTTCAGAGAATATAGAGAGTCATGTTAGCCGGCGGAAGGCCATGCAGCTGGGCACATTGGAGCAGAGCATTCATGTTTGGGAGAAACTTGATTTAGATGTTCATTAGAGGAGTTCAACCTGTCATAATAATGGAGACTGCTTGAGCAATCCAATGTATTAGTAATGTTTATAACAGAGCATTCGTAGATTGACTAGCATACATGTACTGTGGCATTACCATGTGGAAGTTTTAGGGTTGTTTGCTTGCTTGTTAGATTTGAAATGTGAAGGTTTTTAGCAAGTTATTGTCTTCAGAAAATAATGGATTGATGATAGATCTATTAGGTCATTATATATTTGGAAAAACAATTGTTTGCATGTTGGGTTTGATGATGAATTTTGATGAATTAGATTTGTAGGCATTAAACAATTACCTTATTGTTATTCTGCAATAATCTGTCTATGATGAGGATAATGAGTTATATCGCATCATTTAATTGTGATCCTATCTTATGAAAAAATTCAAAAGTACCACTGTTTAAAAAAAAAATCCAAAAATACCACCCTTTTTCAAAAACCGCCACCCAACCCTACGGTTTACACGAAAATTGCTTGTCGGGGGCGCGGTTTTCTATGCAAACCGCGGGCCTAGGGGGCGGTTATAAAAAAAAATTGGGCCAAACCGCCATTTTGGACCAAACCGCTGGGTGGGGTGGCGGTTTGGCCCAAAACCCCCACCCCACCCAGCGGTTTGGTCCAATTTTTTTTTCCGATCAACTTCTAACTTCGGGCGAAACTTCAAATGAACGTAACTTTGCACTCGGGTATCCGATCGTAGCGATTTTTTTTTTCATTTCGCATAACTTTTCAAGATCTACAACTTTACTAGGATAAAATTTTCAAAACAGGAATTAGATGTGGATATACGGGACCTTGGGAATAACTTTATCTTTACTTTTCACAAATTCATGTACATTTTGAAATTATGATTATGTTAAAAGTTGTAGATCTTAAAAATTTATGCGGAATAAAAAAAAAATTCATGACATTCGGATTTTGGAGCACAAAGTTATGGCCGCCCAAAGTTTGACGAAATAAAAAAAAGGCTCGTTCGGGGTGGCAAATGACGTTTTTTCAAGACGAAGGCGGGACCCGGCGGTTTGCGGCTTGCAAGATCTCAAAAAGTTATTCGGATTCAAAAAATGGAGGCCGCAAACTTTTTGAGATCTTGCAAGCCGCAAACCGCCGGGTCTCGCCTTTCGTCAAACTTTGTGCTCCAAAATTCGAACGTCATAATTTTTTTTTTATTCCGCATAACTTTTCAAGATCTACAACTTTTAATATAATCATAATTTCAAAATGCACATGGATTTGTGAAAAGTAAAGGTAATCCAATTTCAAAATTTCACATAGCATCTGGCCCTGTATTCACATGGTCCAACCACCAACAAGAGAATCCAATTGCTCGCAAGTTAGATCGGTTGATGGTAAATGTTGAATGGTTAGGGGAGTTTGTTGATTGTGTGGTGGAGTTTCTTGCTCCTGACTTCTCAGACCATTGTGGGATCCTGATTCGGCCTTGTGTCCCAGAGAAGACCTATCCAAAACCATTCAAATTCTTTGATATGTGGTTTACCCATGTTTCTTTTTCATCTATTTTGGAGGCTTGTTGGAGGCAGGAGGTTCGTGGGCAGGGTTTGTTTGGGGTAAAACAGAAATTGTATTTACTGAAGCAAGAACTTAAGAAGCTGAACAGGGCTGAGTTCTCTGACATTTCGACTAAAGTTAAAGAGGCCAGGCTGGCTCTGGCAGATAAGCAGCTTAAGGCTCTCCAAACTCCTTCCAGTGAGATTTTTGAGGAAGTTCGTGTACTGACTTGTGAATATATTAAGTTGCAGAAGGCAGAAGAGACTTTCTTTAGTCAGAAGTCCTGCATTAATTGGCTTACTTTAGGGGATTCTAACTCGGGGTTTTTCCACAAGACTGCCTGTATTCGTAATGCCAGGAAGAAAATTAGACGTTTGGTCTCACATACTGGGGTTGATCTCACAGACATGAAGGATATTGCTGAAGAAGCTGTGTTCTTCTACAAGGAATTATTTGGCAAAGTTAATACTGATGTGCTGGTTAATCTTGATATGATTGAGGGATGCTTGAGTGGCAAACTCACTGCTGAAGATGGAGCCAGTCTTTGTCGATCAGTTTCAGGGGAGGAAGTCAGGAGTGCTCTATTTGAAATGCATCCCACAAAAGCACCTGGCCCAGATGGTTGGACAGCAGGATTCTTTCAGAAGTGCTGGGGTCTCATTGGCCCTGATATTATCCGAGGGATTCAGGCTTTCTTCCATGAGGGAGTTCTTCCAAAAGGTATGAATTCGGCCTCGCTAACTCTAGTTCCCAAGGTCCCAAATGCTGATCAACTCACCTCTTTCCGCCCTATTGCATGCATAAACATCCTCTATAAGATAATTGCAAAAGTTCTTGCTAACAGGTTAAGACTAGTTCTCCCTTCTCTTATTAGTCGCAATCAGTCAGCTTTCATTCAGGGGCGTAGTATTTTAGAGAATATTCTCATGGCTCAGGAGGTAGTACAGAATTATCATAGACCCCATCTGTCTTCTAGGGCTGCTGTCAAAATTGACCTCAAAAAAGCTTTCGATTCTGTTCACTGGGAGTATCTCTTAAATGTAATGCGATTAATGGGCTTTCCTGATATCTTCGTTAAGTGGATTACTCTTTGCCTTAGTTCTGCCACTTTCAGTATTGCTGTGAATGGAAGCCTATTTGGGTTTTTCAATGCTGTGAAAGGGGTTAGGCAGGGGGATCCTCTCTCCCCCTACCTCTTCACCATTGCCATGGAGCCTTTATCTGGTTTGCTCAACAAGGCAGCTGCAACAGGTCTTTTCCCTTTCCATCCTCAGTGCAGACAGATTGGGCTTACACATTTGAGCTTTGCAGATGACTTATTAATTTTTTCAGAAGGTTCTGGTATGGCCTTGTGGGGTATTAGACAGGTTTTGGACAAATTCTATCATCTTTCAGGTCTGCAGTGCAACCCAGACAAATGTGAGGTGTTCTTTGGAGGATTTGCTCATCAATTTAAAAGTGCTGCATTACAAATCTCTGGATTTAAAGAAGGGAAGCTGCCTGTTAGGTACTTAGGTTTACCTTTGTCCTCAAGGAAACTTACTAGTGGGGAATGTGCTACTCTGGTGGATAAGTTGACTAAGAGAATTCAAGGATGGAGAGCAAAGAAGCTCTCTTATGCAGGCAAGATTCAGCTTGTTGAGTCTGTACTCTATGCGATTATTCACTATTGGATGGCTATCTTTATAATTCCTAAGAAGGTGCTTAAGAGTATTCAACGGATTTGTTCAAATTTCTTATGGCATGGTGATGGTGTTGGTCGTGCAAAAGTGGCCTGGGAACTAGTGGCTTTACCTAAGAGAGAGGGGGGCCTTGGACTGAAGGATCTGAATACATGGAACACTGCTTGTTTAGCTAGGCTGATCTGGTTGTTAATGATACAGGGAGGGAGCTTCTGGGTTGCGTGGTGCACTAGATATCGGTTGAGAGGTCATTGCATCTGGGAAGTCAGACCTACCTCCTCTGGATCTTGGATCTGGAAACAGCTCCTCAAGCTTAGATCATGGCTGCAATTCAGAATGTGCTTAGAAGCGGATGGAAGTGTATCCTGGTTGGGCAAAAAGCTCAAGACCTTCTCTATCTCGGTAATTTGGAACACTATTAGACCCAAATTCCCTGAGGTGGCTTGGTGGAGAGTGATCTGGGGACGCTTTATTTTACCAAGGAACAGATTCACGGTTTGGTTGATCATATTGAACAGAATTATGACTCGGGACAAATTAAAAGGTTGGGGATTGATCACTGATGATGTTTGCCCCCTGTGCCATGCTGCTGTGGAAACTCGTCAGCATCTGTTCTGTGTATGCCCCTTCTCCTTAGCCTTCTTAACTTCACTTCTCAAGCGACCAGTGGCTCCCCCTGGTACTTGGGAGGAACTGATAGGGCTGCTGATTGATAAGTCTACACAGGGAACTCAGGCAGGTTTGATTGAGTGCTCTGTTTGGTGTTGGTACTTGCGATTTATTTGGCAAGAGCGCTGTCGTCGTTGTTTCGAGGAGCAGGCTCATTCCCCCGAGAATCTTGGTGAGATGCTGCGAAGAGAAATAAGGCTGTTCAGTTGTGGTAATGCTGATTTTCAGCAGGCAGCTAGCAAGATCCCTGGTTTTTGCGAGCTGTGCTAGCTAGTAGTCTATGTTTTTGCCCTTTGTTCTTTTGGAGATTCAGGATGTATAAGGACGGTTGAGGCTTTGCCTTTGTATTTTTCGACGCTTACTGCTTTTAGCAGTAGTGCTGGTGCTTAATAGAATACAAACTAATTACCGAAAAAAAAAAGAAAAGTAAAGGTAAAGTTATTCTCAAGGTCCCGTAAATCCACAAATAATTCCTGTTTTGAAAATTTCATTCTAGTAAAAGTTGTAGATCTTGAAAAGCTATGCGAAATGAAAAAAAAATCGCTACGATCGGATACCCGAGTGCAAAGTTACGTTCGTTTGAAGTTTCGGCCGAAGTTAGGAGTTGATCGGGGAAAAAAATTTGGACCAAACCGCTGGTTGGGGTGACGGTTTTTTTTATAACCGCCCCTTAGCCCCGGGGTTTGCATAGAAAACCGCGCCCCCCGCCCAGCGATTTTCGTGTAAACCACAGGGTGGGTGACGGTTTTTGAAAAAGATGATATTTTTGGAATTTTTTGAGGTTGGGTGGTATTTTTGGAATTCTTTTTTTAAACGGTGGTATTTCTGGAAAAAGTCCCTATCTTAAATCTCACAAGGTTTTCCAAATCTATTGGACATGAATTTAGAACCTCTGAATTTGTGGTCCTACAAATTTGATACCCTTTTAATTCTCAAGCAAACATTGGATTTAAGCTAAATTCAATAATGAATTGGATTTTGTACTAAATTCATCCTTCAACTAATGAAATTCAGTCACCATCTCCAAACGTGGAAATCAATATAGTCAAAAGTGAATTTCTATATAGAAACGTTTTAGTGATCTAGAAGCGTAAAATCGTAAGTTTTTTAAGCTTTAAAAGGAGTTTTTAACTACATAGGTTATAAAAACTGAGATTTTGTGTAGAAGCGTTTTAGTGACCTAGAAACATAAAATCGTAAGCTTTTAAGTTTTAAAACGCGATTTTGACTACATTGGTGAAAATATCATAACCTTTACCAAAAAAAAGTGAAAAATCACTTCATGAATCAAGGAGGCTTCGGCCAAGAGGCCCATACCAAATAGGACCACTACAGATTCTCTTCCAACTGCTACTAAATCGGGTTGACCCGATGACCCAGGCCCACACAAACCTATTGAACATGAGAGTCCAGCAAACGACTGACCGACGGCCAAAAATTCCTCCTCTCACCCTTCCCCGCTCCGCCGACGGCACTACGAGCAGATTCGTCGTCTTTCAGCTGCTTCCACGCCTGCAAACGGTAGCTATAAGTCTCCCACTTCTTCAGGCAAGACAAGTTCCCAACTTTCCTCTTTGGCCCTCCCAGTTTTAGGGTGTTTCTGAATAAACGAGAAGTTCGGTTTCCCCGTTGTATTCTGTTTTTCTACACTCAAAGTTCTAGACTTTCATGGCGGACTAGGGCTGGAGCTTGATTTCAGCAATAGGGGTTAGCTGATGATGCTGGATTGAGGAACTGTATAGAACAATGATTCTGAAAAGGATTGATAATCTGATTTCAAGTCCTTGCAATAGGCTGGCGGCGGTATCTTTCATTGCTGCCTTCAGTTCAAATTCTCAGCCTCAAGTCGAAACAATCGCCAGAATCATAAACGACCATCCATTTCCAGAACAGCAATTGCTCCCAACTTTCAGAGCCCACCTCCCACCTTCTCTCATCTCCACAACCTTCGTGGAGAATGTTCTCGGCCGTCTCTTTGCTGCACATTCCAATGGACTCAAGGCCCTGGAGCTCTTCAGGTTCGCCCTCCGCCATCCCCATTTCGTCCCAAGCTCCGATGCATTCGAGAAGACTCTCCATATCCTTGTGAGGATGCGGTACTTCGAGAAAGCGTGGGAATTGATGGAGGAAATTGGGAAATCGCACCCTTCTTTGCTCACCACCAAATCCATGAGCATCATGCTGTCCAAGATTGCCAAGTTTCAATCTTTCGATGAAACGCTCGATGCTTTCGAGAGGATGGAGAGGGTTTTTGAAGGCAGAAGTTTCGGGATCGAAGAGTTTAATGTCCTCCTTCGAGCCTTCTGCACCCAGAGAGAGATGAAGGAAGCAAGGTCGGTTTTTGTGAAGTTTCATGATAGATTCAAGCCTAATACCAAGACCATGAATGTATTGCTATTAGGGTTTAAGGAATCAGGGGATATTAGTGCCATGGAACTCTTCTACCATGAGATGACTCGAAGAGGGTTTAAGCCGACTAGTTTTACTTACAGTGTCCGAATCGATGCATACTGTAAAAAAGGTTGCTTCAGCGATGCACTACGAATCTTTGAAGAGATGCAGAAGGCAGGATTTCCACCGACGTTGGAAGTATTCACCACGTTGATCCACGGAGCAGGAATTGTTCGTAATGTGCTCAAGGCAAGGGAACTATTCGATGAGATGCGTGAGAGAAACTTGCAGCCTGATGTTGGAGCTTATAATGCATTGATCAGCACATTCATCAAGTGTAGAGAATTGAAACCGGCCATTACACTAATGGAAGAGATGGAGGAAAACCATCTAGCCATCGACAATGTGACCTACCACACGTTATTTGTAGGGTCCATGAACTCGAGTGGCATTGAAGGAGTTTACGAGCTGTACCAGAAGATGATCGACAGGAAGTTTGTGCCTAAAGCAAGAACGTCTGTCATGCTGATGAAGTTCTTCTGTGTGAATGGGCGAGTCGATTTGGGGATCGAGTTATGGGGTTACTTAATGGAGAACGGTCATTGTCCTCACGGCCATGCGCTGGATATTTTGGTTACAGGGTTATGCTCACGAGGGAAGTTGGAGGAAGCTTTGAATTGTTGTATGCAGTTTGTCGAGAAAGGGATGAGGTTGAGCGACTCGGTGTATAGAATGCTGAGGAAGTTCTTAGAGCAGTCTGCTGATAAGGCTGATGAGTGGAAGGAGCTCAATCGGATGATAAAGAAGCTTGAAGGCTTCTTACCGCCTTCAAAGGGTCATGCTATTGGTAATCTTTCGATAGAGTGATTTGTGTCTGAAGCAAAGCCCTTGACATAAATTTATGATAGCTTCTTTTTGCTTAAAGTTTCTGTTTGTGCAAAGGTTGCATTCCTCTGCTTATGCACTTGAGACCACCCAACCATGATAAATATCAGCAATTTCTTAAAATTGGACGATGCAGAGTACACAGTCTTCCCAGTGAGGTAGTGACCATCATCAAATAGAGTTTTCTCAAAATAGTACGCTATACAAATCAGACCAGGTAGTAACGTGTACAACATATCTCATTCTTAAATGGTAAAAGAAGGGAAAATGAGGGAAAACTGATCTTTTGGTCATTTTCCATTAGAGCAAAGGCAGGCATGACTTAAGGTCCAATCTAACTACTTGTATCTCTAGTCCTTCTGCTACTCATACCAGCAAACAAGATGCTTTGGTTTCATTTTTTCGTCAGCTATTGCCATTTCTTCTGAAAATGAATGCCTCGAGAGCCGCGTTTTTCGTACTCAACGAATGGAATCGGCTCGAATTCTGCACAATCTTCATACACTTGGCATGTCAATGCATTGCTTTTGTAAAGTTGAGTGAATCAGTGTGTAGACATGCTGAGAAAACTTCTCCGGGAGCAGTCGGATAAGATTGATGAGGAGGAGTTCATTCAACTGATAAAGAAGAAGCTGCAAACTATTTTACCGCCATCAAGAGGCCATGTTATCCAGTTATCTTTCGACAGAAATGACTTGTCTAACAAGCAAAGTCCTGAACGTTTATCATATCATGGCTTTTATATCACCACCAGCATCTGCATGGCTTGCATTATACAACCTGCTCCTAGTTCGTACTATAAATTCTTAACCAAGAGCTCTTACTTCAGTCACAGTGTATGTATTATAGAGACAGAGATAATAAACAGCAACTTTTGTCCAGATAAAAACTTGCGAAAACGAGAAGTAGCAGACAAACTGAAAGAAATTGCGATAAACCGGGATAAACTTCGCAAAGACTTTGATCTCAAGTAATATCGAATAGTACAACTGGCCGAAACGATAAACCACAATAAACTTGTATAGACTTTGATCTCAAATATGTAAAATATAGTACGACATTGTTCTCCTTTATTTTTTACCACAGAATCCGATTCTGTTTTGAGTTACACTGTCTGCTGACTTGATCAGCAACTATTGCAAAGATTGAAAAACGCTTTTACCATTTTATTTTACATTTACATCTCATATTTACAGAATTAATGCCCTCAAATTTCCCCTACAAAAATCTCAGCACCCCCCATCTCCACCCTACCCCAAATGGTCTATTTTGCCCTCTTAACCTTCCTATGCAAAGTAGAGAACATATTGATTTTATACATATAAACCTCATCCCCACAATCCCATTCATTCATAACTATAGCAGCCTAATTCTACCTTTGCTTCCCTCCTGTTATCTTCCTGTCATAATTATTGCCATCCCTATAATTATGAAAGAGGAAAACACTTGTGAGCATCACCCAGCATAAAGCCGGAGAGTCGTCAGATGCTCTTTTCGCCAACCTTGACCACCTCCAGCACCGTGGCATTGCAGAAGAAGCATCTGTGGCAGTTGAGTAGATGTCTGGTTATGCAGCCATAGCAAGAGCGATGCGAGCAAGGAGCAAACTCTGTGTCCGCTTCAGTGGTGTAACAAATGCAGCAGGTGGCATCGTCGTCTGTTGCTTCTCCCCTGCTTCTTGTCGTCTGGACTTGATCCGACTCAATACGGGTTATGAGAAGGCTCAAGAAGGTCTCAAGCTGGCACAGCTTTCCTATGTAAGAGTCCCCGCGACCACAGGTTGCCTGATTAACCAATGACAAGGAGAAGTAAGAAGGCTAGTACTTTGGGGTCAATTGTGTAAACAGTCACTAAACTTCGAGCACTAACAAATTGGTCGATGAAGTTAACTGGTGTAACAGACAATTGGTCCATTTCAGTTTGATTTCCCACCCAATTCTAGACTGGCATGCCACATTACTCGAAACCATCCTTTTCCTTCTTCCTTAATAACTCATTCGACGGTGTATGAGACATTTTCTTTCTTATTATTGGTGTAACAGAGATGGATGAACATAAACAGAGCGACTGTTATATTGGTTATTTGAAACTTCAATAACAAATTTGTTCGCAAATTTAAGTTCAATGACCCATTTGTTAGTGACCTCAAAGTTCAGAGACCATCTATGTGAAAGGAAGTGGCTGCTCAAACAACAAATCTTAATAACCGAATGAAGAAAGTTGTGGAGCAACTTACCCAGTTGTACTCTAATAGGTATTGGAACCCACAGTGCACTGTGTCAGGGCAGTCCATGCTTGCAAAAACTCCGACAACATCATTCTGATCCTCACCTTCCTTCCCAATATTCGCATCCAACAGATTGAATATGATCTCTACAAGAGGCGCTAATATCATACCTCGATTCACTTTCTCCATGGTCTGACCATAACGTCGAAGTGACCTGCCGAAACAAAAGGAGGTCCTATATCAGGAGCAAGAAGACTGATAGTAAATACACTGAAATAATAATATAGAAACACAAGCTCACAAGTCAAAAAACTCAGCATCAGCAGCTGAAGTTATGTGGTTGAGTATAAATACGATCAGTTCGGTCAGTCTTCGGAGGTTTGTATCGGCCCCAGATAAAAATGCCTGAGGAATCTCACGGGTACAGAACTCCAAAAGCTTTGCCAGGTTGCACGAGAGGTCAAATATAACGCAGCATTTCCTTTGCTGGAACTCCAGCACCTGCAATGATGTAAGATGTTAGCGAAAGATAAATCAAATAATTCTAGATAAATTCCTTCTCCAAATCCAACAATGAGGCAGTTCCCACATACCGAGTACTGAATATAGCAGGTTTCCCATGCAAAGAAAGTTAAATATTATAAGGTACCTGGTACTTTTCTTGCATTTCCCGAACAGAAACAGAGAACTCGGTCATCGTCCAGCTTAGAGTATTGAAAAGTCGATTAAGGAAACCCGAGAATAACTCCTCATCACCTACGCAAGTTTCCCTCAGCAACATCTACATAATTATAAGATAACCATACAAGAGAGTTGAACTATGGCTCCCAAATAGTTAATATGACAAAGAAACAAAATAAATAAATAAATAAAGCTTAATTCACCTGGAAGACCACTGATGATGACGATGATGATTCTCCATGCTTCGAAGATCCAAACGGAGAGCCCTTGCACAATCGCAAAAGAATGTTGGTCACTGGTATCCAAGATCTGTTATCAAAAGCAGACAACAATGATCTTGGCAGTATCTGAGTGGCTGCCCTATTGGTCTCAAAAGTTGCCACATGTTCCTTGTACTGTACAAGCACTGATATCGACTGCAGAAGAAGATCCCTGAGATCTGCACTCAGTATTCTCGGGTCGTTGAAGTGGCTAACCACAAAAGTGACCTGATGATAGAGAATGGCACATAATAAACACTGATGTCCTTGGAAAAGTAAAGAAAAGGAGGGTTTAATAAGTGAAGAAAACATTGCTATCACAGCGCCAGTCAGAGACTGGAACTGAGACGAACCAAAGCATATGAAAACATCTTTTTTTTTGTCTATGTCAGGTGGAGCATTAAGTTTCGAATGAAAAATGCATTAAAAATATGCATGAAGGCCATCAATGAACTCAACCATCCACAAAATAAAAAGAGTGAATCCACCATGATGTTGGAACCATTAAAAGCACATGATATAGCAACTTGGATTGACTTCACGTACTCATTTCAGACAGCTACAAAAGTTCAACAAAAAATTAATTATCAAAATCCACTCCCCTAATATTTACAGACGAGAGAGCCAGAAGCCAGAACCTCTGGATATCCTACAGGACTAGTGAGCTTGTGCATCTTTCGACTTAAGCACAACCTCTCCCGAAATTTGCATCTCGAAGAAAAGCAGAAGTCAGAACTCATGGAAAAGCTTCTTCCACATAAATTATGCTCACTTGTAGGTGTGACATTGTAGGAAAGAACGATTAGAACTTATTACTAACGGTAAACAGAAGTTATTGCTAGGGAATCCTCAGGAACATGTGAAGATGCATAAGGTACAATTTCTAGTTTGAAAGAACAGGTAGGTCATAAAAGCTTGTCACCTCCAGTTAAAAATAAGTGGCCAATTCTCAAGTTTGCTTATGTGGGGAAGAAAGAACAGGTAGGTCATAAAAGCTTGTCACCTCCAGTTAAAAATAAGTGGCCAATTCTCAAGTTTGCTTATGTGGGGAAGATAACAGATCGGAATATTGATGGTAGAACAAAGAAATTATGGATGACAACTTGACAAGATATGGTTCAACAATTTCGACATTTGAAGCAAGTCAACTTTTTATGGAATATACTGAAGCTTCGCTTTCTCAAGATTCATTGAACAGTTTGGCAACAGGGTCTTTAAATTTTCCACAACAGTTTTGACATATATACATTATGCTATGAAAAGGTACTCATTGTCGTCCCTTCCCATCTCTCACTCTGCACCCTGTAAAGAAACTTACCAACTACTCAAACCAATGGTTTCTTGAAGAAACACTTCAATATTTGTTCCAAGTTTATTGGCACACTCCAGGAAACTTAAAAGCTAAACCCACATAAGGTGGCACCCCTTCACGAGGGCCTGTGCCTATGTAAGCCGTCTAGAACTAGAAGACCAAGCAATTAATAGATAAAACTGCAGCAGCAACCATTTAGAAACCCATACTCAAACTACATAATTATATGAAGAATACACAAGTGACTCACAAATGGAGCAAGCCCTTGCTTGATAAATATTGCTGAAGGAACAAATGGAGGATCACTCTTCCGCAGCACATGAAAGCAATCCACCTGCAACCACAACAAGACAACATGAATTAACAATTTAAGCCAACATATAATGTGATTAAACCCATGCTTCTAGGCTCAAGCAAAACAATTAGTTCTGTAAAGTAATTTGTATTGGCACTCAAATGCCACAACCTTATGACATTTTCAACGGATCAAAAGTAAAGAAAGAACTCTAAAATCCCAGCACATAGCAATTAGTGCGACAAGCTCGAAACTCAATCTTATATCAGAATCATAGGAAAGTTGGGAGTATTTCTGAGATAACCTGAGAGTGGCATAAAAAGAATCTTAATTTACAAAGTCAAACAGCATGCAAGAAGTCATCAAAAGAAATAACAGCATTCAAGCTGCAAAACTCACACTGCATTTCAATGACGATAGAAGATATAAACTGACTTGCAGAAACAGATAATCCGAGCGAGGTTAAAGACCACTGAACACAATTGTTAGTTCTTCTGTGCACTTGACATATACAGACAGAAGGAGCAGGATAGACCATGCATAACGAATACATAATATACCATTTCCTAGAGTCAAAAATATTAAAATGCGTAGCTATCTTCAATTATTGTGATCTCAGAAGATAAGCATGTATAGGTACTGGCATGCCCCAAAACGCACCCTAGCAAACATACACAAATAAGGAACGTATCAACTTTTACCAATGTGAGGGGAAAGATTTAGTGCATATATACTTACCATTGCCTCAAGATAATATTCTGGGGCATAGAGAAACAAGGAATCCACTTTGCTCAGAACCAGAAGTAGTTGGGCTATCCACATACATGTTGCATACATCCCTCTCTGCTTCCATCGGGAGAAAAGAGTTATCCGATACCTGCAGTTATTGACAGGTTAGCAGCCAACAAGACTGAACCTCAGGCCTATACCACTCCTAGTCATAAGCAATTGTCAACTTCATCATAACAATTCAAACAGACACCTCTAGAGGGGCGAAGCTCTATAGAGCTAAGCAGCATGAAATCTGCATCTGTAAGGAACCACCCTTTTTCCAGAGCCTGTTCGAAGTCCTGGACTCTTTTTTGTTTCAATAAATTGTAATAAATGACCTATTTGTATTTGATTTGAAAACAAAAAGAATTGTTATTGAAAGAACAAGAATTAACAATTATATGAGATAAGGAGGATTCTTTCTCGTCTTATAATGTTCTTAGGATAGAGGATCAAATAATATAGAATCCCCCTTTCCAGGATTCAAAGAGATACCTTACTGGTCTGGCTTAGCTCGTTCACTCCTAAATGAGAAGATTTCTAGCTACTTAGACTTGTAAGACAAGAGATACTATCAAGAACTAGTGGAAGACCTAAGCAGCAAGAAATCTGCATCTGTAAGGAACCACCGATGTGAAGTCTCAATGCATCCTACACTAGAGCAGAGACTAATAGAGACATCAATTAGTTGACAGTTGCACAAACAATTAACAAGTTCCAGCATAAGGAACCCACACATTGATCATATTGTTAGCAAAGGACGCCACTGTGGGACTTTCATTATAGAGAAGAACTAGAAAAAGAAAACACCATGCAATCAACAAACACTCTCCTCTCCTGTCAAGTCTCGATTTTGAAGAACTATTTTACATCTGTAGCACACCTTTTACCCTGAGAACCAAGTTCAAATTATAAATTCGTGACCTGCTAAACCCTGAACAGATGATTCCATGTAGATACCAGAACAACTCAGTTGTAGCAAAAAAAATATCCAGAAATAACCATAAAGGAAAGTTTTTAATAGAATAACCATGACAATTTCCACAAACTTGACATCAAGATAGAGTATCTCACATTATGAAACATTTAAAAAAGCACTGGGACACAAGTACAGTATGTTTCACACTATGCTCACAGCATAACTTAAGTGAAACAGAACTAAAAAAAGCAAAAAAAAAATCAACAGTCATACCATGTACAATGTCTGACACAATCAATTACTTCTTCTCGATAATCATTACGAGCTTCTTTCAAGCGCCTTAGTTGTTCACTGCAAGGTCGTTCCCTTATTTGTTTGTCAGTTTCTTCAAGGAGGGCTACAGATTGTGACTGGTGAGACATGTAATGTGATGCCTGCAAACGTAAAACATTTACCCTTCAGAGCAGAAAATGTCGCTGGGCAAGAACAATTAGTAAAAAGATTTTCATGCACGGCAGGGACGGCAAGCAAATATATCCCAAGAGCCCAAGACAAGTTCAGCTTCCAATACCAATTATTTAGAGCGCCTGTTCCCAACATTTTGACAACCACATCTTTCTTCTTGATAGAAAGAAACATCCCCACTTTATTCCTGCCTCAGTTCATCTTTTGTCCAGTAAACACAATATATTCCAAACCAGGACACTAACAAATTGCAGCCAAAATCATATGCCTTCGTTGCAGATTTCAGGAAAATGTTCAAGATTGTGGAAATGACAATGAAAAAATCACATATATTCACGTCAGAACAATTCTAGCAAGAGGCTCTCACCTGCTTAAAATTTGGGGCAACGCCTATATGATACAACAAAAGTAAAGTATCCAGAAGCTCCTCTTCTCTGAGGGTAGCACAAGACATGTTACATTCTCTTGGCACTATCCTTAAATTCTGCAATGGGCGATAATCAAAGTCTGCTTCAGATTGATCACTTGTACTAGGTTTGTCCACTATCTCATCATTCAAACTTCCAGTACTGCATTCTGCAGCAACATGAGCAGACCTCTCCCCCATTGGGCTACAATGGACACGAGAACCTCGAGGGGCATATCTAAGCGAATTCTTAGAAGTCCTTGAAAACTCAAAATCGTAACATGAACAACAACAGGGTTTCTGAATAGTATTATGAGTTACTCTGGTTTCTTCATCATCCACACAGCCTTCCTCCCACCGAATGACTTCGTCTTCTTGATCACTTACGGGATGAGATTTCGACAAATGACTAAAAGATCCTCCAAGCCTGGAGATGTCAGTTCGATGAGAATCATTCTTCAGAAAGAGTTCTACCGGAAAACTCTGGTCTCCGCCTCTATGCAAAAATCCAATATTATGCCCATTTTTTCCACCTACATCTCTCATGGCAAACCCCTCAGATAAAAAATGAAGTATGACAGTATATAAAGAAACAAGCACAGAGTTGCTTGAGACTCCTGGAGGTGGCACATTACGGTCTGCTCCCCTGTTCTTCAACAGAAGATTCTGCAGAAACGTCCTAAACACTGAACCAGGAAACTGAGGAGGCAGTGACGGTGGCAGAAACTGAATAACCAAGAGACAAAGCTCCCTATGCTTCTCTTCAATCTACAAAGGAACATAAGATAACAAGACATAGAAGAGATTAGATACAAGTTAGAGATGAACTGATATCATCGCATATGATGAAACCACTAGAGTAACAGATTGAGAAATGGCATAACTTGGTGGAGTCACAACTGGTTAGCAAATCTTCAAAAACAGGGGTAGCACGGGTACTACGACCTTTGATGTGATACATATTGATCACATAAGCAAGATATAGGATTACAAGTTTTCGTGAATCATGACACATCATTTGTGGCTTTCAGTTCCTGCCTTAGCTCCAACAGCATTTTATGGCTTGCTTAAAAGATCAAATCCAGTTAACATGGACTAGGTCAGCATCCAAATGAGAACCATCTTTAGCGCCACATTGAAGCTAGAATCAGGATGTTAACCCACCTCTGAATCTCAGTTGAATGAAAATATCCATTTCAACAGTTTTAAGAATCATTAGACATTCAAACAATCCAGTCTAATGAAACTATGGAATTATGCATCTATATCAGCACAGCCCTAACAAATGATAGCTGAAATGAAAATGAGAAGCAGCAGTGTCAAGCAGGGATTCAAAAAAAAAAAAGCCTCTGCCACCAGGTAAAATTATAAAAGCCTTATTTTTCATTCTTTCCATCCTAATCCGAAATTATGGCATCTAAAATTCTTGACTTCTAGTAAGATTTTTATTTATCACAGGGCATACCTTACTGATTGCTTCAGATAATGCTGTTGTTGTCAACATCATGCTACCTTCATAAGCAGCATCCTCGTATGAACCAGGCCACCATACAGAAGGCATCATACACTGCAGATCCTGCTTGTTCAGATTTTTTTGTGATAGAAAACCTTCGAATAAGAACTCAAAATCGGATGATTTCCACCAGAGTACCATCAATTCTCGCCGCCTCAAAATATGGCATGCCAGGGAAAGATAAGGATAGGATCCTGAGTAGGGGCAGTCAGTCAATACCAATGGGGCTGTCTTGCAGGCACTTGAAAGTGCATTAACAAGGTGCTGGAACACCATCTGTGACTCCTGATATTCTAGAAACACATCAGCAATTTTGTCCAAACTCAAATATTCATGTGGTGCCTGCATTCTGAAGACCTCTAACAGGAATGTAAGAAAAGAACCCCAAGCTATATACTCCATGCTACCTGCTTCGGCCTCAAGTACAGTGAACATTACCTCACATATTCCACGAGAAACAGGATAATACAACTCCTCAAGTGAGACAAACCTCTTCAATCTCCTGAATTTGGCAGTCAGAAAACTATTGGAACGCTCCCTGGATTGCATATCCAACAGCCTCGATAAGCAGCTAAGCAATTGTGTCGCAAGAATATTGGCAGACGGTGGGGCTTGGAGAGGAAGAAACCCCTGAATAGGGTACTTAAATGGCCGTGCCCCAAAATTCAATTCACAACGCTCACCCTGAGAAAGAGATATTGCTGGATGGTACCCGAATCCAGGTCCCATTTTACGGATACCACGAAATGCCACACCAAGAGACACACCATTTCTGTAAAATAGGATCTCATCAAGATCCATGTCAATGCAACATCCAATAACATCACCAACTACCCAAGCCTGACCGTATGGCCCAGCATCTTTGTTCCACTTACTAACCCTTTTCCCATCAAAAGCATACGAATCATCTGCGTCACCTACACCTTTATGGTCAGTGAAAGGACAAGATCGAGTTGCCCATCCAAGCTGCTGAACCCCAGAAGTTTCCAGAACGACCTCATACATCCATTTCCCTTTCCAAACTCTCACATTAGCCCTCATACTACTGAACATTGCTAAGCTCTCAATAAGCAGTGGCGGTTTAATGATTCTAATGTCACCACAAATGCTCAATTCTTCAAGCCCGACAACATGAGATCCACACCCATTTTCAATACAAATCCCTTCCCTTTCACTGGTCGAACTAGAAGGATTTGGATTCAGTGTAGCCATCTCATTCTTTATCAAAGCACAAACTAGCTCCTTGTCTACAGGACCAGTAATCGTACCAAGCGATCTGTGAGGGAGACCGAAGATATACTCAAGAGCTCGTTCCACAGTCTGATCACCGAAATCATCAAAACAAGAAACAAGCCGACTTTTCGACGGATTCTCCTTCTCCTCCTCACCATTCAATATCACTGCCAAACCAGAAGATAGCCCACCACCTCGCGCACTATCTTCTGCCATTTCATACAAGGGGCAAACCCCACTATCCCCCCAAAACAACCAAACCCCACTTCCTTGAACGTCAAGTTTGTTCTTCAAGAAGATGCGAAATCTATTTCCAACAAATCCACTTCAGAAAGCTGCTCTGCCTACATCCATAACTCCATCCTCCAGACCCTGAAAACTTCAATAGTTCAACAAACAAACATCTTAAGATAATTTATTTCAACATTTATTAATAAGTACGGAAACACGGGACTCATCAATTACCATCAAAAACAAAATACAGAATTGCTACCGTATTAATATTTCATTCAGCTCCCTACTGAAAGAAGAAGAAGAAAAAGAAAACAGCTGCAAACAAACTCAGTCCATCTCCAATTAATTAGGACAACCGAAAAAGAGATTCCGCCATAACCAAATTCAAAGCTTTTCACTCCCTCGCTCTCATAGTCTCATTCCGCCCGTGTAACTCCCATACAACCATTCAACCGAGCTCGAAGAATTAATTCAAACAAATCCGCCACCGTCCCCGACGGTTCCAATCCAAGCCAACGGAGAGGACAGAAGAAACGCCAAACCGAATAATTAAATAATTAATATAGGCACGAAGAACTCACACATGTGTACGCGGCGGCGCCGTGCTCCTCACGCTCTCTCCATCCGGAGGTGCGGCGGCGGCGGCGAGGTCGTCATCTCGCTAGGGCGTTTCTCTCTGCCGGATGCAGCAACCATTTGGTGCAAAGGAGGAATCGAATTCAAATGTAGAGAGAGAGAGAGGGGTTGTATCGAATAAAAAGCTGTTTATTCAGAAATGTTTAGAGAGATAAAGCGACGGGCAGAAAGGGGGAAGAAAAGGAAAAATATTGTATTCCTCCCTCCACATCGCACATGTAGAGAGAGAAAGAGACGAAGGGAGAAGAAGTGTGGAGTAAATACGATCTGTCTCTCTCTCTCTTCTGGTTACTGCGATTATTTCCCGTTTTCTCTTTTTCTTTCTTTTTTCGTTACTTTTTTTTTTCCAAGGATGCCAAAATTCGAGGAGGCAAAGCCGTCCGCCGTCCGCCGGCGGGAAGTGGCGATGCGGACCCGAGCCACCGAGTGGGCCTTTTGACCCGAACTAAACGGAGAGAGGCAGAACCGGTTGAACCAGACCCAGGGTCAGGATTGAAATCGAAGTCCGGTTATAAGAGCCGATTCTTTTGGGTAAAAAAAAATTGATGTTGATTGTCAAGGGCGGGTGATAAGTCCTAACGTGATTTTTGAATGTAATTTAGTTCAAATTAGGGATTTGTTTTATTTATTTATTTGCACCGATAGAATCGAATGCTGGCCGAAACCGAACCAGGGAAGGCGTTTTGGCGCGAACTGGGTAGCGCTTTCTGGCGCAGAACGGCAGAAAGGTGTTCTTTTCGCCGAATAGCGCGGTTTATAAAATTATAATTAAAGATGCTGACGTGGGCAAAATGCTAAATTGCACGGGTGGCGGGTATAGAGTATAGCCAGAAAGGCAAGGGGGAATAAATAGAGAAGGCGGAGATTTTTAGTGACGGAAAGCCGCCATTTTACTATTTCTCCAAATTTTGGTTTTGTGTTTCCATTTTCCAAATCCATAGAATTTGGAGAATTTCCTACGTGGTCTGGTAATTATTCTTTATGACAAACAAAAGCTAAATTATACTGAATGATATTTAAAGTCATAACATCAAGGAATTTAATTTAGTTTTTATATTAAAGATGAATATTTTAATTTTAATTTTTTTAATGGAGATGTGATTACTTGACCAATATATCGATCCAGGTTGCTCATAATAAGAAATTTCATTAGTTTTACACTTAAAATCAATGTTGTCAGAATCGAACCGGAGAATGACCCGGTAATGCGAACGACTCGCACTTTAGTGGTCCAACCATCATTAGACCGTTTAGACTGTTCCGAGCCGGTTTTATGACCGGGTGGCGGTTTTACCGGTCGGGCCGAACGGTTCGGCTCGGCTTTAATAACACTGCTTAAAACTACTATAGTGAGCAAGTAAACAACATTGGTATCTTCTCTCGATTTTTATTTGGAACAAATAAAAATTAGGGTTAATATTTTCGTATGGCCTGAACTTTGATCAAAATAAACATCCTGGCCAATTTTTTCGATCTATAACATCCTGGCCCGAACTATACAACAAAATAAACAATTTGGCCAGATCCGACTTTTGACCGTTAACTTGGACGGTCAAACGCGTTGACCGTTAGTCAACGCGCCATGTCACTGCCAAGTCTGCATAAAATATTTAAAATAATTCACAATTTCCACACATTCCCTAATTTTAAATTATTATAAATTAAAAAAATCATCTAATACCTTAGTTAAACCAAAAATAAAAAACGAAAAAATTTAAATATTTATCAGATCTTCTGACTTGGCAGTGACGTGGCGCGTTGACCGTTAGTCAACGCGTTTGACCGTCCAAGTTAACGGTCAAACATCGGGTTTGGCCAAATTGTTTATTTTGGTGTATAGTTCGGGCCAGGATGTTATAGATCGAAAAGATTGACCAGGATGTTTATTTTGGTCAAAGTTCAGGCATACGAAAATATTAACCCTAAAAATTACGCTATAGTCAAAGTGATAAACCACTCAATACACATTTTAAGTTTGTCAACCATATGACTCAGTGACTGATTTAGGTTCAACCGGTGACTCAATATCATTTCTTGATTTTATTATATCTTCCTATGATTTCTGTTTTCATGGCATTAAAGGGGAACATCTTTATCTAACTCGTTACCCTAAAGAATAAGGCAAAGTATACGCGCGATAAATCAGAGTGATGTACAGCTTAGCCATTGTTGTCTTTTTTTTTTTTTTTTGAAACCGCCATTGTTGTGTTTGCATCACCCTCATTGACTTTTCCCATACCTAGAGGTGCTAGATTTTCCTATATTTAATATCTATATTTAATTTTCCCTACTTAGGTAGGAAGTTAAATGCCCTTTGTTTTTTTAATAATTGACCCATTGCTCCAAGTTGAGGGCATGCATAGTTGAATATCCATACATGTCAAATAATTTTGAGCTTCTTCAACATAAAAGTCCAATTTTTTGTGTGATTCATGTTAGTCAAAGATAAATAGTAATTCAAGCTTGTGATTGATTTGTCCGACGGATTGATGTAACCGATAAGTTAATCGAATATGTTCAGTTGAGAATTATAGTATCGGAAAATGCATTCTTCGACGACATATGGTTGTTATCGTGTAGAATACTATTGACAATATATATCTCTCGAACTATGTGTCTTTGAAGTGCATGTTTGTCGGTACTGTAGTACATGATATAGGATCAATTATTGAACCTCTTTAAATAACTTGAGTTATTGGGCTCAACTGGTTCTTGACATGGTATTAGAGTCTTCTGTGACCGTGAGGTCTTCTGTTCGAATCTCGATAACCCCCACTAGTAAGCACATTATGTCTGATGCTTGTGTAAATTTCAAGCCTATATGAGTGCATTTTGAACACAAAGCACATTATGTAAACTTAACGGAGACTAACGGAGAGTGACCAAACGTGACACTTTTTAGTAAACTCAGTGACCAAACTTGTCATTTACCCGTATAACATCCATTATTGAACCTCTAGCAAGTTATTTGACTTTGATACAATATTTACAAGATTATGATATTCATAATTTTTTCAACCATTTCTGCCCATAAAAGGGTCGTAGAGAGAGCTATGGGGGTCCTAAAAAGTGTAGTGCACATGGCAATTGGGCGTGGTGGTGCGCCTGCTGCCTGCTGGGATGCGCATCTCTTCTATTCTTTAACCCTTTTTCGCCGCTATGATCCTTAGTGCAACAACCAACTCCCACGGTGGTGGCGCACTGTGCAAACAGAAGTCGTCACCTTCACTATTGTCCGGACCCAAAAAGGCAACAAAAAGAGTTCTTTTTGATGATTCCAAATCACTAATTTACAAAACTGATAATTTTTGGTTGGGGACTGTTCTGAATTTTCGAGTAGAGCCCTTTTTAATGGCGAGCTACTAACTAAGAAAAGAATATACGAAGGTAAACTAGTTTTTTCATTGATCATTGATAATAACCATGTCGTCATGTAAAGGACCATGATCCCTAACCCTAGATAAAACCTTCGGCATAATGTATACCACTAATCTTGAACCTTGGTGTCTCATATTTGAATATATTAAACAGTATCTAACAAAAAAAAAGTACAAACCTATATCACCCTTATAAAAAAAATAAATACTTGGTTATTATCACCCTTATAAAAAAAATCAATAACTAACACATATCCTCCCTATCCACCCTCGACTATAGCTATTGCCGACACTCTCTAATTACAATACTTGGGCATAATAAACACTTGCGTTACGTGCTTGGGCCGACTCGATATAGCTCAAATTTTTATCTCGTAACAAAAAAACCTATTCCATTAAATTATTGTGCCCCTTGTGTTGCTCGTCGGATGCCTGGACTACAAAATTCATCGAATCGGGGTTACAATCTAACACTTTTTAGACAATATAACTCGTTAATGATTATTTTGGATAGTAACTTTTTGCCGATCCATGTTGGTAGTTAATATTGCGATAATGAATTAAAATCGTAATATCAAATTGGAGGTTGTTGCGATCCTCTTGAGATAAAGGACCAAATGGACAACAACAACAACAACAAAAACGTGCGAGATTTTTGTTATGATGATTTCTTCATCATTGGATCAAGACAGCTAGATCTGTTATTCGGTAATTTATGCCCATGTGGGCTGTTCATCATCATTAAGAAATAAATTTGTGAAAAGGATGGCTGATTAGGACTTGGGTCCACCTTAAGCTTGATAGTAAGTAGTAACTATAAGGCCAACACAGTAAAAAAAAACAAAAGCAGTCAAAAACTATAAGGCCAACGAAGTCCATCAAGTTAAGAAGTTACTAAATAAGAGCCTAAGCCCACTGCGGCCCAAGTCCGATTAGCATCCATCCATGGCCCAATCAAATGGCTTATACTACTCTCCACGAGCGCGAGCGCAAATGTCAAACCCGAAAGTAGGGATGACAACAAAACCCGAACCCACGGGTACCCTATCCGATCCAACCTAGTCAACTCGGGTAAAATCCGTGTTGACGGATTTTTGGTCGGGTTTGGGTTTAAATGTTCACTATTCACCAGGTTGGGTTTGGGTTTTGGTAAACCCGCCCCATGGGTACCCACCCACACATATATAATCAATTTTCCCGGTATATTTAATTAGGGGTGGGCAATGGGAAACGGGTATTTGAGTATACCCGTCCCCTTTTTTGAGGGTTACGGGTACCCAAATACCCGTAATTTTTTTTATGGGGTGAGACTTGGAATCAAGAATCACTATTTCGGCTACTCGCGGGTCACCCGTTAATACCCGTTTGGTATTACGGGTACCCGTTATAGCCATTAATCCATGCCAATCTAGGATTACCCCAGTCAACGTAAGCCCATGGTGTCCACGTTCACCTTGCTTTCTCCACCCTATGCGTCGTATTATGTTATTTTTATAGTTGCAAAACCACCGACTCCCCTAACGGCGGCCATCTCTTCGTCTTTCCTTCCTCTGTCCTTAAGCGTCGCGTCTTTCTATCTTCTTTTTGCAACTGACAAAGGCCCAATATTCCCCCACGGAACTTCCTTCCCCATAACACCATCGATGCAAACTCCTCTCCATACTCCGCCCGATCCCGCTGATACCTTCTTCTTGCAGCCGGCAATGGCCCAATGTTCCCCGCGGCAAAACTTCTATTTTTGTTCAAGAACTTTCCCATGTAAGTTGCTTATGTATATTTGCTCCTTTGATCTGTTGTAGTAATTTTAAGATATGTCTATTATGTGTTCAAAGCCGTGTCCATGAAATCGTACCATACCGACCGTTCAACCACGAAATACCAGTATCGGAAGCTAAACCGGTAGGCGGTATTTAACGGTATAACGGTTGAACTATGGTTAAACCATGGTTTTATCATAAAATACCCTAAAGCTTACTTTCCCGGTACGATCTCCGGTACGGTTTCATGGACCATGGTTCAAAGATATATGTTTTAATACTGTTAGAATATGACTTGAATTTGATTTGAATTTGTTTTGTGTTTTAGGCCTATTCTGTTTGGGCTTTGTTTTGACCTTTTCCTTGTATGTTTGAGAAAAGGTATTTGGTTTTCTGTTTGGGATTAGGAGAAGAGTTCTATAAATACTCTTCATCACCCTAGTCTATAGTAAGGTCAGTCAGGTTAGTTTGTTTGGTTTGTCCGTTTGGAATTTGGTTTGTAACCTGTACTCTCCTCAAATCAGTGAAATTTGTTCTCCCCTGCCCGTGGATTAGCTAGCACACATTGTGTTAGTGAACCACGTTAAATTTGTGTTCGTTCGTGTTGGTTTGGATTATCGATTGCACGCTTCTGCTCTGACAAGTGGTATCAGAGCCTTTGGTTGCGGTTTTGGGAATTTGGCGCTGAACTGAAGCTTGGTTTGGTGGAGGAATCGCTTTGAAGTTGACTTTGGGTAATTGTGTTTTGGTCTCGATTTTTTGGTGAGAAGTTTGGTTGGAGTTTGTTTGATAGTAAGAATGGCTGCTATCAGTATGAAGATTGAGAAGTTTACAGGAAGAAACAGTTTCAGTTTGTGGCAGATCAAGATGCAAGCACTGTTGAAACAACAGGGTTTGTGGGCTCCGTTGTCTGGAAAATCGAAGAAGGAAAGCATAGATGAAGAAGAGTGGATTACTTTGGAGGAGAAAGCTCACTCTACAATCTTGCTTTGTTTGGCTGATGACATCATTACTGAGGTTGCTACTGAGAAGACTGCTGCGGGTTTGTGGTTGAAGCTTGAAAGTCTATACATGACAAAGTCTTTAACTAACAAGTTGCATATGAAGCAACGTTTGTTCAGTTTGCGTATGGAGGAAGGTACACCTTTTAGGAATCATCTAGATCAACTCAATACCATCTTGTTAGATCTGCGGAATATTGATGTTAAAATAGATGATGAGGATGCTGCATTAATTCTGTTAGTATCTTTGCCACAGTCATATGAGAATTTTGTGGATTCTTTTATTGATGGGAAAGATAGTTTGTCTTTGGAAGATGTCAGATCTGCTCTACATACTAGAGAGGTTCGACATAAGGCATCTGGTTCAGGTTCGGAAAATCAGGCATCTGGGTTGGCTGCTACTAGTAGTAGGAGACAACAATCTGGTAATAGGAAGGCGAATACAAATTTCAATTCTGTTGGTTTAAAGGATGATATCTGTCATTACTGCAAGGAGAAAGGACATTGGAAATTTGATTGTCCTAAGCTAAAGAAAAATCAGGAGAAGAAGGAATCATCCGCTGCTGTGGCGGAAGAAACTAACTCTCATTCTGAAGATGGTTTAGCCTTAGCAGTGAATGAGCAGGTACATCATCAGGATGTGTGGTATTTGGATACTGCAACTGATTATCATATGTCTCCAAGCAGGGAGAGTTTTTCAACTTATGAGCATATAGATGGAGGGCATGTTTCTATGGCCAATGGTGCTATCTATAAGATTGTTGGAAGAGGCTCCGTCAGGATGAGGACACATGATGGTTCTGTTCGCACCTTGAACAATGTTAGACATATTCAAGAGATGACTAAGAATCTGATATCTTTGAGTCTACTAGACAGCAAGGGTTTCAGTTTCAAAGGTGAATGTGGAGTGTTGTCTGTCTACAAGGGTTCTAAGGTGATTTTGAAAGGTGTCAAGCGGGGTGCCTTGTATAATCTACAAGGTTTCTGTTTTGATATGTTCTGTTGGTGATAAGTGCACCAAGCTGGTTCCGAATGGCAAGTCTCAACATGAGTTGGATTTGTCGAATGGTTTGAGTTGTTGACCGTCCTTAGGGGCATTTGGAGGCAGGGGAGATTCTGGTACAACTGATTTGGAGGAGTTGGGTACATCTGGAAAATTTGGTTGCATCTGGTACATCTGGTACATTTGGTATTTGAGAGAGAATTCAAGTCAAGGTGGAGATTGTTAGAATATGACTTGAATTTGATTTGAATTTGTTTTGTGTTTTAGGTCTATTCTGTTTGGGCTTTGTTTTGACCTTTTCCTTGTATGTTTGAGAAAAGGTATTTGGTTTTCTGTTTGGGATTAGGAGAAGAGTTCTATAAATACTCTTCATCAACCTAGTCTGTAGTAAGGTCAGTCAGGTTAGTTTGTTTGGTTTGTCCGTTTGGAATTTGGTTTGTAACCTGTACTCTCCTCAAATCAGTGAAATTTGTTCTCCCCTGCCCGTGGATTAGCTAGCATACATTGTGTTAGTGAACCACGTTAAATTTGTGTTCGTTCGTGTTGGTTTGGATTATCGATTGCACGCTTCTGTTCTGACAAATACATTCAAGTAAGAAAGAAATTGAAATTGCAGAGGAAACATGAAAAAGAGACAATTGGAATGGCCATTTTTTTGCAAATCTTGCCAACCTACTGAATATATTTGGCGGGCAATGTATTCCATATTTATTTGTCTTTCTTTTTGTGAACTGTGAGGAAGCCAAATTAGCATGAGATTGTTCCAACTTTAGTGAATATGAATATGAGTTGACTTTATTCTTAATTTAACAAATGACAATGAGTTTAGGGGTCGTTTGGAAGTTGCGATAGTTTTGTTGAGATTGTCATTATGCATGTATTGTTTACAATGCATCGTTTTTTTTGTTTTTTTAGGTTTCTGTGATGTGACAGAAACTATCACTCATTTTGAGTGATTGTTATATCTCAACTTTTAGTTGTGATTGTTGAGATAGCTGAGTTGAGATTGTTTTGTCTCGGCTTTTAGCTGATCCGACATACACAATCACACATACCAAACGTTGTATTCTACAATGCATCAAATTAAATTTTATGTATACAGTTACAAATGTATACTTTGAGTTCATAATATATAGCACCATGTGTGAAATTCAATCTAACATAATCTTATCGCGGCAGCAGGGAAACAACTATAGAAATTTGTATTATACAACTCTACAACCTATAACATTGATTTGTCATCCAATTTATTAATCATATGATTATACATAAGGATAAATCATTAATAATCCAAGATATACACTCAGTCATCACAAGAAATAAAAATGTCCGAACATAAAGAACCCGTATTCACAATGAAATGAAACTCACCCGGCCAAAAGCTAGTATATTGTATTCCTTTTATGGCCCACCAATATTAATAAAAAAACTTCAAATTTGCACATTTTTTTTTGCCATATTCCAATTGGCAAATTAGGAATAGCAAAATAATAAGGGTAATGTCTATCTTTTATCCAAACATTTTTTAGATTTTTTTATATTATTCAAACCTATCAAAATATTAAAAATTAATCAAATGTTAACTTCCAATTAACAATTTTGTTAGTAATATGAACTTGGCAAGATAATACTGACTTGGAAGAGACTTATGAAGGTCAATATTCCAAAATTTTAGTATTTTAACTAAGAAAAGAGTTACAAAATCATTAACGATAACGTAAAAAATTAAAAATGATTAATATTTTGATACATTGTAAAAGATTTGGATAATTAATAGAATTTTAATAAATTTGAATAATATAAAAAAATCTAAAAAAAAAAATAGATAAAGATAGACATTGCAAAATAATAAATAAACGTACCAATTAGCATAAGTACGGTACGGGGCAGCGTTGATTTCAAGCTTGAAAAATAGCAAAAACTTTGATAAACCTAAAACCCAGGCAGTAGAGAACTATGGCCCGACCCGTAATATAAATACACACACAAAAAGAACACCAAGCCTCAGGCCGCCACGCAGTTTCTCTCTCCACAAAATTCGAATTTCGAATTCGGATCCGGAGCCACCGCCTCCGTCTTCCCAATTGACCTTTCTCTTCCGCGGCATCCGCCATTTTTTCTCCTTCCTCTACCCGCAAAACCGAAAAAACCCACAACCACACGAACAATACGACTCAGAGAATCCCCTATCCCCAATTCTTCTCCTCCTCTTTTGCTGCGGCCGGGTTGTTTTCTATAGCACAACAATGAGGAAGGGAGCTAAGAGAAAGCGGGCGGAGAAGGCGGCGACGAAAGATAAGAAGGATAAGGAGGTCGCCGTCGTCGAGGAGCCCAAAGCTTCTACTTCTTCGTCTGCGGAAGCAGAGCCTGCGGCGCCGGCGGCGGATGGGAATCACAAGCAGGCGAAAGAAGAGGTGGCTCCTCCTGCTGCTGGTAAAGCTCGTCCTCCTCGAGCTAAGCGGGCCAAGGTCGAGCCCGAGCCGGAGTACTTCGAAGAGAAGCGGAACATGGTACTTATAAACCGATGAACTGCCTGATTGTTCGTTTCTGGATTTTTTGTTCGTTTGGGTTGCGGATAAGGGCTGTTTGTTTTGGTAATGTGGATGGGGGATCAGGCATTGATGGGGTGGAATTTGGTTTGGGGCTTTATTTATGTCGCAAATTTTCGGAATCAAAGACTTGCTGGTTGGTTAATCTGTGGTAGGGTTTGATACAGGTAGTTCTTTGATTGGGGGTTAGGATTAGTCTTAGAGAGTTAATTGTCTTAGCAAATCTTTATCCATGTTGTGAAGTTTGGAATGTTGATTGTACTTTGGCCTTCATTTGAGAGTTTTCTTCTATGGTTACTGTTTTTTTTCTGTTTGTTTTGTGCTTGGAGTTTCGGAGCAGTATATAGCTTTGCCCTTATCACTTCCGCCACTTGAGTTTCTTTTGGGGTCTTTTTCATGTATAATCGAGATGGTCGAACTTTGCTGTGCAGGAGGATCTATGGAAGGCTGTATTCCCAGTCGGGACAGAGGTAAGACATGGATTGTCATTGCTGCATTTATGGTTGCTCGTTTCCTTTGACTATGAACTAAGTGTTGCATGTTTGTTGTTTCTTTGCAGTGGGATCAATTGGATGGTTTGTACAAGTACAACTGGGACTTCTCCAATCTGGAAGTGAGTTGCATATAACCTTTTTTCTTCTGCTTCCTGTATTTATTTTGTAGATATATGTTCTTAGTCATAACACTGAATATATGCTCAGTGTAGATGCTAAAATAACTTTTTTTTTGTTTCAGGAATCTTTTGAAGAGGGAGGAGCTCTGCATGGCAAGAAAGTTTATCTCTTTGGCTGTACTGAACGTATGTTAATCTCCCCGTCTGGTTATTATCGCTTCTCTTCCTGGGAGATAAATGCCTTCTAAAATAACGAATCTTGTTCTTATCATTCTGTATTCTTTGGCTGTCCATTGCATTTTGTTCTCGCTCGCACTATTTTTTCTGTTACTTAGCTAATTGCTTTTGTTACTCTTGATCTGCAGCCCAATTGGTCCCTTACCAAGGCCAAAACCACGTAATGAATGTTCCTGCAATTGTGGCTGTAAGTATACTTCATACTGTTGAACTTGTTTTTCGCATTAGTAGCATGGATGGTATGTCAAAGGGTCGAGTAGTTATCACTTTCTTCTGTTTGTTGGTCAGATTGTTTCACCTTTCCCGCCATCAGATAAGATGGGAATTAATTCGGTTCAAAGGGAAACGGAAGAAATAGTTCCCATGAAACAAATGAAGATGGACTGGGTCCCATACATTCCCATGGAGAACAGGTTGGTTATGTTTTCTTGTTTATTATGTCAATTTTGATTATTCTTATCCAGTTTGTTCTTCAATCCTGAACTTTTCTTCTTCAAACAGGGACACAGAAGTTCTCAGATTGAAATCTCAAGTTTACATCTTGAGCTGCACTCAGAGAAGGTTTAGTTTCGTCAAGTCTGTTCTTCCACTCTCATTGTTTAAGTTGTCCAGTCTCCTGTTCCTATTTGGGCTGTTGGTATTTGTCCACACCTAATAGTATCCGATAAGTGGTGGAATGTCTATCTTTGATTTAATAGGTGCAACAGATGATTTTGATTGCTATATGTTTACCACATTTATAAGGCTGATGGCTTTTGTTGTTGCCATGGTATTCATGTACTTTTTTTGCAGGGCTGCTTTGAGACATTTGAAGATAGAGCGGCTTAAGAAATTTGAATACTGCCTTCCATGTGAGTTTGAACACAACTGATGTTCAGAAATTCAAATATATTTTCCCTGTATCTTGAGCCAAGTTGCTTTATGATTTATAATGTTATTGAATTTGTTTTATCATTTGGATCAGACTTCTATCATCCGCTGAAGGAAGACGAATTTGACCAGAGCACTGAGGTCCAAATAGTGTTTCCAGCAGAGGACAAGCCGGTAAGGACAACTGAATTGATAACTTGCTAGTTGCAGCTCATCAGATCCATCCACATTGCCGATGTATTGTCTTGGAAATATATTGTAAATACTAAATAGGAACTGATGATTCTGCTATTTTATCAAAACCATTTGCATATGTGGTAAAAATGTCTACTTATATCAGTTCTAACGTCCTATTTTTTTTTTTGTACTTTCAGGTTTTATGTGAGTTTGATTGGGAATTGGATGAGTTGGAGGTAAGAGTAATATCATCCTACATAGTTACTTTTTCTGTTCTACACGTTAATCAAGCAAAATTTTAAAATATTCTAAGCAAGATGGAATATAATTTAGAAGTATCATGTGTAAACTGCTAAAAAGACCGCAACCTTAGTGGTTGGTCCAGCTGCTAAAAACTTGATGTAGTGTTTTGTCTCCTTATATGTTTCCAAATATATGCATGGTTATTTGGAAAACTACTGATGTGTGTCTACATTTATCTTTAGGAATTCACTGATAATCTGATAAAGGATGAGGTACTATCTGAAGGTCAGAAGGATGAGTTCAAGGTAATGACTGTTTTTATAGGGTCCAAGAATTCACAATCTCATGTGTTAGCTGGTGAACATCCCCCCTTATTTCTGGCTTTTGCAGGAGTTTGTTAAAAGCAAAGTTCGAGAATCCAAGAAGGCTAACCGAGAGGTGCTTGTCTCGATTACTATTTGTTTTATTCGATATACAACTGTGACAGACAGGGCTGGTTCCTTAAAGAGATTTTCTTTTCTGTCTGCAGGCTAGGGAAGCTCGGAAAAGAGCAAGGGAAGAATTGAGCACAGAGGCCAGAGCTGCGTTTGAGAATATGAAATTCTACAAATTCTACCCTAAGAAAACTGATGATTCCCCTGATGTTTCTGCAGTTAAGGTATAGTAATTTTAAATCTAACCTCCTAGGTGCATGCTAGTGCATCAAGTGCTTCAGCTCTTTTTACTTCAAATAAACTCTAAGTAGATCGTATCTTATGGCATTGTTGCTTCTCGATTTCTTATACTCTCTAATATCAACTGTGGGTTTTTGGTTGCAGTCTCCTTTCATCAATAGGTATTATGGGAAGGCCCACGAGGTTCTATAATCGAAATGATCTCCGCCCGATCATTCAACTCAGCCAATTGGGATGCAGCATTCATCTAATCTAAAGCCCACGGATGCTACCAATGTGAACCGAGGGACTTGCAGCTCGTTCCCTGGCATTCGAGGAAAAGTTTTTCTTCTGTCTTTTTGCCTCTGCTGTAAGATCACTACAAATGTCTGTAAGCACATTGCAGAGTCTTGTGGGTTTTCCTCCAAGAGTCGGGGAAATATGTAAAACTTGTAGGTTTCTAGAGAAGAGATTAGTTATCAAGGCAGATAGAGGAGGAATGTGTAAGATCTCTGCAATGTTTTTTGAGGATTTTGCTCTTGGGAGCTATGGGTAGTTTTGAGTTTGGGTTTGTCATTAAACCCATAAAAAAATTTATCTCCTACAAATTGCTACTTACTCAGAAATATAGATGAGGATCTACAGAATGGAAGCTGTACTCGTTTTGATAGATTTAAATGCAAATCGACTTGTACCTGTCGAACTTAATTGCACTGATTTTGTTTGTTCTGTACTGTCTGTAAGTGACCCAAAATCGTTTTAGGCTTAGACAGGAGCACGATTGTAGAAACAGCTTGATCCTTTTGGATTTGGTGTGGTTTAGTTGTGCGCTATAACCTTTTAACTCGAATCCTAATCCTAACATAAAGTTAACAATTAGATTATGGTTCTTTCTGCTTCTGTCACGAAAGAGGGAAAATTGAGGGTGGGGAAAGACTGAGAAAATGGAGGGATTCAGAACTGTTCTCCTGTTTCAACAGTATCATTTATAGCTGAAAAGTAAAACTGCATCCCCATTCAACTTAATAATTTCATTATAATCTTAAATGTGATTGAACCGTATTTCTTAAACCGATCTTGTTGTTTCATTATCAATTCACACGAATGGGAAAAAACAAAAAACTGGATAAAAAATGAATTGAACAACATGTGCAGATGGCGTGCTTCAACATAGTATAGCTTCAATTGAACAAAAGATCCTTTTATTCAACAACAACAAGATGATACAAAAGGACAGTGTTCCTTCATCATCAGTCACCACAACGATTATAAGTCGGTACAAAAGGGTACACTACACAGTTTTAGCCATCAACCACCCACTCAACATTTTTCAACTGTTGCTTGCTGCTGCTGACAATCTGAATCAGCCCTCTATAAATAAAACCCCTAAAGACTCCCCGCGATCTGCCTCCCAAAATCAGTAACTCTAAGCATTCACTACATCAGCCTGACATCCATCCCCATGACAGAAGTCTTTATGTTACACATTACCAACGAATCGGGCAAAACCCTTCATCGTCTAACATTGTCATTGTGGTAGCAAGGCGGCTTGCACCTTCCGGCATACAATCCATGACAAGCATTGCAAAATGATCCTTCCACTCCCCTAACCCGGCAAATGGCAGTAGCCCGCAGCACAATGGCAAGACCAGCAGCACGACGGTGTAGAAAACTGCTCTTCGAAGCCAGTATGGCCATAATATTATTCTCCGACGAGGTCTGGACCCTCCTGGGGAGATGTGGAGTGACCCACAGAGTACACGAAACACGGTAGACGTGAACATGTTGGCGAGGAAGTGGATGGAGCATATGGTTTCCCAGAAAAAGAGCCAATGGAGGCCGTCCCCTCCTAGTGTGTCGACGCAGAGTTTTCCAGCAAAGCCGCACATGACTCCGAGCAGAAGTAGGATGAAGGTTATCGGCATTGCTGACCGTTGCGAGGTGGTGGACCGTTGGAGGAGGAGGTAAGCGACTGAGAGGATCATTAGAAATCCAAATAGCATTCTGCTCACGACTTGGGCTTGGCACTTGAGAATGTGGAGGTTGGAGTTGAAGGAGGAGAATGATTTCGGGACCCACCATGACTTGGTTTCCTGCAAAGGGAGAAAAAAAAATGGATTAATGATTCTAGATAGATAGCCATCTCAGAGCAATCACAAAACCATTTAGATCAGTATCCCCCTCACGAATTGAGGTGTTTGTTTACCGATGAAAATGGTAAGCCCAGCCATCCAGAAGATGCTCAAGCTTAAATAACTTTCAATCAAGTCTCAACCGTCACTCCAGTGCTGCTAAAATTCTGTTTTGATCTTTACATGTAACAATTTCCAGTACTTTTTTTTCGATTTTAGGGGGAAAAACCCCCACATTTTGACCACAATGAACAGCATCCTAGAGAACCATAAATTGATGATTCTAAAACTAAAAGAACATCGACACTTCAGTCTTCCGTTGTCCTATAACGTGCAGAGTCATAGAAGATCCTATTGGTGCTAAATGCTAATACTGCATCATACGATAAACCGACAACAATTCAAGGCAGGGTAAGAGAACAGGTTTCTGACCTCAAAAGGAGTAGTACAAGACTCGGTAGCTTCTGCAATCCTTCTATATGAATAAACATATGCACCATACGAGAGGGATCCCGACATGAAGAACAAACCAGCAACAAGGCAATCTGTGCAATTCCGAAGCAGCTCAGCATGCTTCGTGTCTTCTAGTTGGGTCTTGAACTTTTCAGCTCTGAAAGAAGCCTTGTCTACACCCATTGCTAATTTAGACCTCTCGAGTCTATTGGAATCCAACCCAAGAGCTATCTGTTCCTCTTTCAACTTCAGTCTTCTCATCGAGAGAGCAATCTCCAAAGCCTTTAGGTCATTGGAACGAGATTGCTCAACGACAGACCTCTCTATGGTGCTCAACTCCGTTCTTGAACCAAATGAGCCAGGAGTATAAGTCAGTCGGTTGTCATGGTCACGCAGGGTGAGTTCCTGGGTCAAGGAAATTGTTGACAGCTGGCCCTCTCTTTCTTCAGCTGAATTCAGTTGATTGAGCACTGAACTGACTGGCAAGTCCGAATCATTGAGAAAATTTCCGGTACTTGTAGAGCCAATTCGGTTGTCAGAAAATACATCACGATTGAACTTATTGGGATTCAGGTGGCTCGAACTACGATCAGGTACATGGAAAGATGATTCATTGATCACTCGAAGAGTCCTTAATGTGCTCCGAAATGATCGCTGGAAGTTGTTAGCGAATAATTCAAATTTATCGCCAAAAACCTGTTATAACATAGGCAGTCAGATCGAGCATACTTATCTGCATTCCTTTTATAGAATCTTCTACTCCACCACCTCAACATAATCACACGAAGAAGTTTGGGTGCTTACATTTGCTAAAGATTCTCTGACAGCAGTGGTGCATATCTGCAGGTAAAGCAATAATTATCTTCAGTTGCGATCTTACATTTCAAACTGCATTTTCAAATTAATGTAACAGTGAAAACAACATCATAAGAACTATAGATTGCAGCTGCTATTACACTATTGTTACACTTATTAGCAGATATTTAACACGAAGGAAAAAATAAGGTTAGTCCATTTGAATTTTACATGATACTAATCCATTTTCAACAAATGAAAAGAGGATACATTTGGAACACAGATGAAAGACCAGTGGGACATGAAAACAAAATGTGTAGTGAGTATAGCAGAAGGCCTGAATCTTACCGCTGAAAGGAGCTCGGCTGACATCATCCTTTCGCCTTCAGCATCTTTCCTCTCCAAAACCTAGGGAGATAGATAGAGAACAACAAGAGCAGGAGCACCACATCCAAATTAATCACTCCACAATCATCACCAAGTCCAGAACAGAACCACATGCTGTCTATAAAACAGTAATCACTCATGTGAAAGATTAGGTATTCGTGGACCGGTCTTTTGTCTACAGCATATGCATGCAGCTTGGCTTGCAGTACCGGTCAATGCGTTATGTTCCACACCTTTGATGTTCAGAGGAAACCAAGATTGGGAAAGGATTTTTTCTCAAACTTTTTGCTCCAGTTTGAGAGAGACACAAATGGGAGAAACTTCTGCCTCTGGAATGACAGAGGCATCAGCAGATGTTGTTGGCCAAATAGACGAGCAATCTCAAATCAACACATAAAGTAGAGATATTTGAATGAATATCAGACCCATTGAGAACATAATAAAAAATGACTGCAGACAGTATCTTGTATGCATCTAAGACAAACTGTAATTTCAGGTTCAACCAAGCAATGACGTAAACTACACATAAGTTAGAGTGAGATTAGAACATCAATTCAAGTCTCGGCAGCAAAGTTTCACAGCCGAATTTCGATGGTGCAGCTTTAAATGAACTGCAGAGTTCCGCCGGATATAAACTCATTACAGCAGCAAATCATCATTGAGCTGTTTGCAGCTAATCAGCAATAAAAATCAAAACTTTATTGTTCTTCTCAAAAGATTCGGACTTTGAAGCTAGAAAAACCTTGAAGACAAAGCAGAGATTTTCCCCCCACTTTCTGTGACGAACCTGCGCAATAACAGCGGCAAAAGACATGCCGAGAGGGAGTGCAACGGCGTCCAAGTTCTCCCCACGAATACCATCCCCGCGACTTCGCCGTAACGGAGCAACCACCAACTTCCGGCGACGGGGCACGCCGGCGGGCCGCGGATTTCTCTGGGCAGAGCTGAAAGAGGATGAAGTAGAAGTTGCAGAGGACGAGGAAGAAGCTTCGTCAATCGACAATAATTTCCTCTGATTCTTCTTCCTCGTTGTCTTGTTGTTCCTTATTCTGATTGGATTGCCGTTCTCGAGGGGTTGTGGAGGAGGAGTTGGGATCGCCGGAGTAGAATCGTTTGCGGCGGATAGGGTAGGAGTGGCCATGGCCGGCGGCCGGGGAGGATAGTGACCGGAGATCCGATTTGAAAATTATGCATAAAAATTGGGAGGGAGATGGAGAGAGAGAGAGAGAGAGAGTGTGTTTACGGGAAGGAGAAGGAAGAGTTTATTCTTCTGGGTAATCGGCGAGAAACTGAGAAGATACGCGACTGTTAGAAGTTGAGGCTGTTTTCCGAGGCGATGGCTGAATAAAATGAATAAATATAAAACCACCGATTTCTGATTTGTTCATAGATTTAGCACAATAATGGTACAACGGTAAATTTAATTTTCGTGACTCTTCAATTTTGTTTGAAAAATCATTTTCAATTATTTTCCAATAATGCATACAAATTATTTTATGGTCAAATTTCTTTTGAGATGGAGTTTCGTTATGTTTGATTGTAAATGATAGACTTTCGAATAAAATTAATGTTCAAAATTGGGCTAATTTCATGTTTGGTCATTGATATTACAAAAAAGTTCAATTTTGATCACTCGAAATATTTAAATTCATTGGTGGTATACTTCAGTTTACTGAATTCATTCACGTTTGGTCACTCTCTGTCCAACTCCGTTAACTTTTGCTTACGTGGCGGTCAACTCTAAAAGTTGACCGTTAAATGTATGACGTGACAATTTAAAAATAATAAAAATAATTTTTTTAAAATTCCCATCTCATTTCCACCTCATTATCACATTTATTTAAAATAAATAAAAACTCCTAATTTATTCTAATCCCCAATACCAATATCCCGCCGGCAACATACCTCGCCGTCGCAAGCAGGCGAAATGAGATGACAATTTTATTTATTTTAAATAAATTAGCAAACCTCGCCGCCACAAAAGACGACGCGAATTTCCCCATGACTCCTCTTCACCTCACTGCCAGTCGTAATTACCTAGATACCTTCACGCCCTTCGAGTTCCCCAAAAGCCCCCCCAATCCCCGACAATGTCCAGTGACGGTGGCGCCTTCCCGCAAATCGACGTGGCGGCGGACGCATCCGAACAAGGCAAACTGCCCTCCGAACATCTCCACCGACGCGCACAAGCAGAGTATGCGAGAATGGAGGATCCTGGAGAAGCACCTGCCGGACTCGATTTGGGTTCGCGTCTACGAGAACCGGATCGATCTCTTGACCGCGGCCATTGCCGGGAGCCAGGGGACGTCGTACCACGACGCCCTCTACTTCTTGGACATTCAATTTCCGCACGACTACCCTAATTCGCCGCCGTGGGTCCGCTATCCCGCCTGCTAGCAGCATACCCCGCCGTCGTAAGTAGTACTGCTGCAAACATCATTGGTATTGGGGATTAGAAGAAATTAGAGTTTTTTATTTATTTTAAATAAAAGTGATATTTAGGTGGAAATGAGATGAAAATTTAAAAAATTTATTTTTATTATTTTTAAACTGGCACGTCACACATTTAACGGTCAACTTTTAGAGTTGACCACCACGTAAACAAAAGTTAACGGAGAGGGACCAAACGTGAAGGGTTCAGTGAACTTAAGTACCACCAATGAATTTAAATATTTCGAGTGACCAAACTTGAACGTTTTTTGTAATCTTAGTGACCAACCATGCAATTAACCCTTCAAAATTTAAAGAGAGTATGACATAGAAATATGGCTAATTCCAAGGTTGTGAAACCAGTTTAACCCGTTGGACCGATGAAGCAAAATATGAGATTTATTGATTGAATCGTGGTTTGACCAAATTAAGTAATTTTATAGAAATATATGCTATATATGGTAGTAATTTAAGATTGTAATAATCTGAACCTTTTTTTTTACAAAAGATAATCATATATTAATTCAAATAATAGGCAGTTACATCCTGGAGTTCAGCCAGGACTGAAAATCGAAAAAACGACTCATAATCGGGTACAAAGAAAGGGCCTTTCTAGCCACCAAATGGGCTACCCTATTACTACTCCGACCTACAAATCGAACACTAAACCCGGGGTTACTGGAAAAACCTAGCACACTTCTTCCAGAATCGCACCCAACCGATTGTCCCTTGTATCGGCCCGCATGATCTTGTCGATGATCACCTTGACATCCCCTTCAAAACTGACGTCCGTGAAGCCCCGATCCAGACACCAAAGAATACCCTTACGGAGGACAAGCAATTCCACCACCATGGTGTCATCAATTATCGGAAATTGAACCCCTTTAGCCAGAAGGACTTCCCGAGAAGGGGTCATCAGGACTAACCCGCCCGCCGAGTGAGAGCCGCTCCTAGTAGCCCCATCCCACATGCAAACAACCCCAGCATGAACCACCAGCCCTGGTTGTTGTGTCATAGGATCAGCGGCCTGAAGAGCTTTATCCACCGGTAGCCACACCCATTCCTCATACTGCTGGGCAAACTGGCGCATCAAAGCAGGGATCCCAAACTGCTTACCCTCAAAGACCACCCAGTTCCGAGACTGCCAGATCCGCCAAAGGACGGCAACCATTCCCATGAAAAGCGGCGGCTGATGAATTAAAGTCATAAGCCTTTTAAGAAAGAAAGGGAAGGTATGACGAGGAAGCCCCTCCCCTAAATGCACTAGCCCCGAATAGCCCCACAGGGCCTGTGCCACAGGACAATCTAGAAACAAATGCTCCATCGTTTCCGGACTCTCCCAGCAAATCGGACATCGAGGGTGCACCAGGAACTTCTTCCCAATGAGAGCTTTCGTAGTTGGTAAAATTCGATTTAGGAGCTGCCAAACAAACACCTTTAACTTAGGTGGAATATTAGCCTCCCACAACAGAATCCAACTGGTTCTATCCATCCAAACCTAATTTGATAGATAACATAAAATAAACAATTAATATATCACTTATCTTAAAAGTTGTGTTAGAGTGTATATTTACTTTATTTTTCTAAATAGGTATGGGAGGGGGGTTAAAGACACATTTGGTCGCTGAGATTACTAAATCGGGACATGTTTAGTCACTAGAAAAAGTTAATATTAAATTTGGTCACTATAATTACTAAAACATGACACATTTAGTCACTCGCTGTTAGTTGTCGTCCAACTCCGTTAAAAGAGTCTGTTATGTGCTGACGTGGCTAACGTGAGCGCCTAGTCAGCATCGTTTTGGGCCAGAAATGGTCAAACCCGACCCACCACGTCACTATACCCGCCACTTAATAAACCCAACCCAATCCCTTAACCCAACCCGACCTAGAAATAAACCCTAACCCACTTAATCAGACCAGAGCCCAAGCTCTCCACTTCCTCCTTCACGACTATTCCACTTCCCAGTCCCAATCCTCCGTCGCCGGCCCTCTCACCTCCATGACCGCCGTCGTCCACCACCTCCAGTCCAAACTCGGTGTCGACCTCTCCCCCAAGCTCGACTTCATCCGATCCCAGCTCCAGCAACTCCTTTTCCAGCAAACTCATCCACCGCCGCTGCCACACCACCAGCAGCAACAACCCTTTCCTCCTCCGCCGCCGTCTTACAAAGACCGTTATGCCCCTCACTAACCCGCTCCCAATTTCCTCCTCTCTTCCGGCTACCCTCCAACGCACCAAACCCCCAATTTCTTGCTCTCTTCCGGCTATCCACCGCCGCCAGCAACATCACCAACCCTTTCCTCTGCCCTCTTACAATGACCGTTATGCCCCCCCCCCCCCCACCAAACCCCCAACTTCTTCTCTCTTCCGGCTTCCCTCCATCACTCCCCCGGCTCCGTCAATTTGGAATCCCCTGCACCTGCTGGTGCTCCCCTCGAGTCTCCTAAGGAGAATAGTAAGGATTAGAGGAAAGGCGGGGTGGGTGGTTTGAACAAGCTCTATGGGGTCTCGCCGGAACTTCAAGTTGTAGTCGGCCACTCTGCTCTTCCCAGGACTGAGATTGTTAAGCAGTTATGAGTATACATAAGAAAGCACAACCTCCAAGACCCGAAGGAGGTTGCTGGGACAAAGGGGTCAAGGGGGTAGCGTTAATGGCTCCATCTCTACCTGCTCTCTGCTCTCAAATTAGTTTGATCGAAAATGGCGAAGGGAAAGGGCTCTCGAGGAAGGAGAAGGGTTTTCGGGTCTACAAATGGAAACTGATCAATTTTGTTTTTTTTAAGTGGGCTCTGGTCTGGTTAGGTGGGTTAGGGTTTATTTCTGGGTCGGGTTGGGTTAATGGATTGGGTTGGATTTATTACGTGGCGAGTTTAGTGACGTGGTGGGTCGGGTTTGACCATTTCCGGCCCAAAACGACGCTGACTAGGCGCTCACGTTAGACACGTCACCACATAACAGACTCTTTTAACGGAGTTGGACGACAACTAACGGCGAGTGACTAAATGTGTCATGTTTTAGCAATTATAGTGACCAAATTTGATATTAACTTTTTCTATTGACTAAAAATGTCTCGATTTAGTAATCTCAGTGACCAAATGTGTCTTTAACCCGGTATGGGAGGGTCAGGGGACGAAAACACAACATTCTTTCTTACAGCCTCAAACTAGTAAGACCATTGGTTCTTTTTTTTGGGTAGTTTTAGCCAATTTGGAGGGACAACGACTTTCTGGTGGCCATTTTCAGCACCGACTTTGACCGAATCTGGTCCAAGTGACTGGTCTAAGTACGAGTGGACAACATTGCTAATAAATAAATAATATGTTACACATTGATTGCAAAGTAAACTTCTTATCGTGGTTGACTTTGTTAAGATGACAAACAAGAAAATGAAACATATTACATGTAAAAGAAAATAAATTTTGCCTAGCCTATATCGCATTGATTAATTGGTAAACTCAAAAAATTTTCTCATATTGCTCGATGCTAGGTTCGATATGCTGAACTAAGGAAAAAATGGATGATAACATAGAGTTGTTGTCGCCGCTTGCATCCACGATGAAGTTTTTGGATAGACAACGTAAGTAAAATTGAGAACATGATCAAAATAAAGTGACAAGTTTGACAAGAAAATAACGAGGTACATATTAGAATTTTTTTTGTAATATTAGTAAATGGAAAATTTATTATATTAACTACTTTTAAATTTATTTCATAGATAATGGCAACAAATATAAATAGCTATAACGAATAACGATGATAATCTGGAGAAGTCCACCTTCCCTCTTTTTGGGTCTTGTTTCGTCTCCATCGAATTCGCTCTCTAGGAAAATTTTGGTGAATTGGGTATCGTAAGATCAAACCCTAGAACCCATTTTCCGCTGCATCATATATACATCCCACCCTTAGAAACGCTCCTTCTACCCATATCATCATCGTTCTCACCACCCGGATTCGATCTGAGAAAGGTACGATATCGAACACTTCGCTCTTCCTCTCCCTCTCTCTGTGCTATTTCGTTCGTCGCGCAGTTCCTTAGACACTATTGTAATATGGGTGCTTGAATTTGTATGCCCTGAAGCACCAATCGAAGGCATGCAGGAGCCTTTGTCCTGTCGTTGAATTGTCAGCTCAAAGCTTGTGCAAAATCAATAAATCTAGAAGCCCCTTGAACCGAAAAGCTTTCGTTTGATTTACCCAGTAGTGGCTGTTTTCTTCATAAAGCGAGCTCCTCGTTACTTGCTGTTATGGAGAAGCCAATTTGCGGGTGCATTACATAGGTTTCAAGTTTCAAGAACTGTGAGATTTGGTTCCAAGAATTGTGATTTGGGTCTCGCATCATTGGGTGAATTGGTATTGTGAGATTACATGAGTTGGAAATACATTATATTCGTCTCTAGTAATATAAAGAAACCCATGTATTCTAGAAATGGGCTGATTATGTGCTTGTGAAACGATCCTTTAGTTTGTTTGCTGGCTAGATCGCCAATTTGCAGAGCAATAGTGTCGACAATGTCACAGCTTGCATTGAAGTTTGGGAATAACGAATTAGCAATTCTCCGTGCATATAAAATCTCTTTTTTATTTTGATAAGGCCTCGAACAAGTTGCAATAACAGCCTCGATTTGTTGTAAAAGCACAGACATTCTTCACTATTTAGCTGTTGCCATTTACTTTCAAACATGTTTCCCCCTGAATGGATGAGTCTGGGATTTGAACTGGTTCTTCTGATGATGATTCTTTCAGATCTTGAACAAGATGTCGAAGAATCCGAAGGTCTTGTTTGACATTGTCCGTAGGATGAATGCTAGTAGGGCTACGAATCTCGGGCGCATTGGAAGACCTGGGACGCCTCTTGATCACTATAAGGGCTCTGCTTTCAGCCACCGTATCATCCCTAGTCTCATGTCTCTGCAGGGTGGAGACTTCACCAGGTCAATGGCAAGTGCTGCAGCTGCAAACACCATGAATGGCTCGCAGACGCTGGATGCCAAGCACGTCCTTCGCCCCTTATCTCCTCATCTCCCCGTTTACAAGCCACAGCTTAGTTCGACGTCTTCAATCTCCAACAGAATCTCGGGGGCTTTCCTGACGGCTAATGTGCTGGCTTTCTATATGCTTTGTCTGAAGACGGGTCCTCTTTGTCTCACCTTTGAGAACTTCTACCAGTTCCTATTCTATTCGTCGAAGCTCACCCTAGTCTCAGCTGAGCTTGCTGCCTTAGCCATGTCCTATCATGTGTATGCTGGCGTTCGCCATTTATTGAAGGATTTTTCGGGGGTTTCCTTGAAGAGATGAGAGAATGTTGGGTCTGAAAGTGGTACCCGCTCTTCCAAAACTCTTGTTACTGAGGATTGTGGTGAGACTGCTGAGAATAAGTGGTACCACCTTCCAAAACTTGTAGTTACTGAGGATTGTGGTGAGATTGCTGAGAATAAGTGTATTGTGTTTGTTTTTCTTTGCAATGTCATTGTGTTTTTGAATGTGATCTTTGGATCGAAACACAGAAGCATTTGCTGTAAACTCTCACTTGCCATGCTTTTCAGTTTATACGTTCCTGCTAGCTCATGTTGTTCAGTCGTTACCAACATGTTGCTGCCTACAGTTATGCGCAGAAACGACTGGAGTGATAATTGGTTCGTTGTATCATAGCCTTATTGATTTGCCTGTATTATATGCCAAAGCTTAAAAAGCCTTGGACATGTGATCTGGCTTTGCTGCTTTCTTGTAGCGGGTGTGCAAAGGTTTGATCCATAATGCTGTGGAATTCAACACACTGGCTGAGTTGTTTGCTTGTTGGAGTTAAAAATGAAGGTTTGAATCAGTGTGAGTTGTTTGCTTGTTGGAGTTAAAAATGAAGGTTTGAATTTTGAATTTTTTTGGATTTATGATGGATTTGTTGCATTTTGTAATTGGAATATAATATTGTTTATGTTTCAGCCAAGAAACAAGGGAGGTGCCGAACCTGTGAAAGTGCGGGGTTGGCCCCGATTATCTACAGTCCGACGATCAACATTAGTGAACTTGTACGGGAATAGGAAGAGCAAAGGTAGAGAGGGATTGTATAAAGAGATAAGTGATATATCCCAAAGAGAAGGAAAGGAGAGACCCCTTACTTGGAATGCTTAGTAGTGTATTTATAGGCCAAGCTTGCCTTCTTCATGTGGGCTTTAGTTGTAGGATCATGAAGATACTTTGTGGGTTTGGGCCCATACATACTTGATGGATTGTAGTTGTGGTTTGGGCTGGGCTAAGCCATGTTTAATGGCCCAACAATTGTCCCCCAGTTAGGTATCCAGTAGCGTACTGGATGCCTAACTAGAAGTCTTTGCCTTGCAAGCTTTACTACGAACTTAGAGTTGAACGCTTGATTGTTTAAGCGCCATCTTGTCTCCTGGTTTAGCTGACTCATGTCCCCCAACATCATGTTTGCCGAACAATCTCGAAATAAGAACTTTGCAGAGAATCAACAATAAAACATGATATGACTCATAGAAGAATTAACTCAAATTGCGGCAAGTAACGTATTGTACCCATGACGTCTACAAAATCACGACATTTAGGCTCCCAGTTGAGGACTTATTTGCCTTACACATAAACTTACTTCTCCTTCGACGTCTAACAAGGTTATGTCGCCCTATGCACCTAACTGGGGATTCATTTTCTCTAGACAAGATTTTGAAGTTGCATGTTGTCCCTCCAATTATCCCCAAGATCATAATAGCTTAGGAATTCAGAGAAAAACTATGTAGAGAATTATCAATGTAACATAATGTGACTCATAACATAGTTAACGATATAACTCAAGCAATGATGAAAAATTACTGATTGCACTTTCGATGTCTAACAAGGCTATGGCATTCTAGAGGCAAAATTGGAGATTTATTTTCCTTCGAAGAAACCTGAATGCACATGTTATCCCCAATTGTCCCCTAGTTAGGCGTCCCGTGGTACACTGGACGACTAACTAAAAATCCTCCGACTTGTCAAACTTCACATAAGATACTATGAGATTTTGTCCCCCAGTTCTTACTCCCCACACCATCTTAATTAAATGACGTAAATGACCATAAAAACATGAAGTAGCACACATGAATTGGTTAGGAAAATAACGCGAGTAGTGATAGAAAATACTTATCTTATCCCTTGATGTGCCTCCTTGTCCATGTATGTCGAAATATGAATCATATGAGCATTCTCATACCAAAGCGCCTGGCTTTACGAGTATTATGGACGCCGCTTGGCTTTACGAGCATTATGATGCCTGGTTTGACCAGAGAGAATACTTCCAATGAAGGCGCTAAGTTTGAGCGCGAAGTGTATTTTGATCAAGGATGCTAAATTTGGGGCAGAGAATATTTACAATCAAGGGCGCCATATTTGGACCTTAAATGTATTTCAACCAAGGGCGCTAGATTTGGGCGCATAGAATATTTCAATCAAAGGCGCTAGATTTGGGCGCGAAGAGTATTTCCAACCAAGGGCGCTAATTTTGGCGCGAAGACTGCTTCCAGTATGGGCGCTAATTTTGGGCGCGGAGATTACTTCCAAGGAAGGGCGCTAGATTTGGGCGCGAAGAATATTTCGCAACCATCAAAATATTTGGTGTATGTAAAATTAAATTTCACAAAGTAACAAAAATTGAGTACTTAGCTTTGAAGGCCACGTCGACGCGTCTGATAAATTAGGCGCTCGCTATAAGTTGACACATGTAAGAGTGTATCCTGGAGTTTGAAGCGTTTGTCTCCTCTAGCGTAGGTGCAAGGTTCGAATTGTAGAGTTGGCGAGCGTAGCTGACTTCTTCTCATTTTTTATGACTGCCAACGTCGTTGAGCCCAAGTATGAGTCTCCAATTTCTATGTCAATCGGGCGCAAGATATATATATATATATATATATATATATATATATATATATATATATATATATATATATATATATATATACTAACCCTTATTGGGTGAACCCTAGGTCCTAATTATCATAATTATAAACTATAAACCCTAAGATGGTGCATTCATTTTTTTGCCTATATTTGGACGAATCATAACCGTCGATTATTGTTTCTAATTAAATTGATCTTGGGGTATAAGATTTAGAGAAATAAGACCTAGATTTTGATCTTCAATGGTTAGAGTATAGTATCATGTCCGAAAGATCAGTCAATTCAAGGTCTGTATAGCGTTTTCATACTCAAGGTATGCGGTACCCCGGATTTCACCCTGGGTACCGTAGAACTCGCCATATATATATATATGTATATATGCGCCTCCATTTTCTTCAAAATTGACGGTTCCGCCCACAAATTTGGAATTTCTTCCTTCACTGAAGTTTCGAGCGCATGAGTGCTCCTATCTCTAATTTTAGTTGCAGGCGCCCAGCTGTCGTTTTCTTTCAATTTGGATGCGAGATGCAATTATGCGCCTCACTTCATCCTCCCTCTCCGCTACCGCCCTCTACTGCCCCTCCGATTTCGCAACGTCGATCAGCTGTTGTTGTTCACCTTAAGAAACATGTAGATTACTTAGCTGGACTTCGATGGCGTTGAACTCCACGCCAGTATTTGATGATGACTATAGGCGCCTTCATCTGAGCCTTCACTTTGGTGAGAGCACTTAGCATAATTTTGACTGTGTTTATTCCCAGTCAATAATATTGGGAGCCCTCAACTTGGCGCAAGGTTAGAGATGAATGGCTGAAACGCTTGATAGCTCTTGTGAAGGCGCCGGATTCGAATTTGTAAGGTGGACTGGCGTGTTTTTGAGGGTGGACCGAACCTTGAAATTTTGAGGACTAACGTTGGCGCCTGCTTGGTACTGCCCAATTCAGCATGTCCATGCTCTTAGCCAGGCGTTCTTATTCCTCCAGAAGTTTTCCCAGCCGCTTGTAGCCACTTCTTTCACTTTCATAGAGGAAATTGGAGTCTTGGGCGCCTACTACCATTTATCTCCACTTCCAGCTTCATTCGTCCCCGTCTTCTTTGAATTAAGGCAGCACCATTCAATATTTTCTGTTTCGGTGCTGCATCGGTCCTGGGCGCCTACTCATGCAATTTGCAGCAACGGCCTCGGGTGAGGAGGACGAACTGAGCCGTGATACGCTGGTAGAGGGAAGCGCAGGGCGCCCGCTGAATCAGGGTAAGACATTGGCGAGATGAATAATGAAGATGAATGGCAAAGACGCCCGCCCAATCTAACGAACTCAAATGAACTAGAATGGCAGAGACGCCCGCCCAATCTAACGAACCCAAATGAACTAGAATAAAAAGCAGATCGGAGCTCTTTTTTATCTATCCGAATGGGTTTGGACGGGGAATGAAAACAAGAAGAGGCTGAGGATCTTTATTTCTTCCTACTGATGGGCGCCTCCTTCCATATTAGGTAAAGTTCTAATCATTTGTTCCTCTCTCTGCTCGTCTAAGCATCCTTGCCACCCCCTCGTGTCTTTTTCCTTTCTCTTTTTTGGACATGCGTCCATCTATGAGGCCCCCAGAAGAGCTCGCCTCTTTTGAGCTTCTTATCCATTGCAGCGTGGGATCAAACTAGTTTTGGGGAATTTCCATGTCGAGGAGCGCCTGAAACTCATTATCTCAAGAGTAAAGATCATCAACGCTCGACGCTCTTCCTCCTCCTTAAATCGCTCTTTCATTGGGCGTAATGCTTAGTTTGCAGGCGGGCGATCTTGGCCGAGCTAGCTTCTTTTTCCATACTTTGCTGCTTTACGTTTTCCTCTTCTTCCGGTACACCTAATTCCAGGCGTATTTCCATTTTGTTTTAGAGACGTGACAAAGTGCTCTCCTCTGCGCCACTCCCGCCATTCATATTCGATCATTACCCAGGGAATTGTCATGTTGAAGGCGCCTCCTTCATCCTTATAGTCATTTGGCGCCTCGTAATTTTATCAGTCGACTCCGCCAAAATCTCGGCGCCGCACCAATTGTTGACAAAGTACCCCTACCTGGCGCGCCAATTGTTTCAGCCAAGAAACAAGGGAGGCGCCGAACCTGTGAAAGTGCGGGGTTGGCCCCGATTATCTACACTCCGAGGATCAACATTAGTGAACTTGTAGGGGAATAGGAAGAGCAAAGGTAGAGAGAGATAAGTGACATATCCTAAAGAGAAGGAGAGGAGAGACCCCTTACTTGGAATGCTTAGTAGTGTATTTATAGGCCAAGATTGCCTTCTTCATGTGGACTTTAGTTGTAGGATCATGAAGATACTTTGTGGGTTTGGGTCCATACATACTTGATGGATTGTAGTTGTGGTTTGGGCTGGGCTAAGCCATGTTTAATGGCCCAAC